CTTAGCTATAAGTATAAACTTAACTATAAATATAAATATAGGTATAGCTACCTAGAAAGGTATAGCTATATATATAAATAAGAATAATAATAACTTATCTTTAGCTTACTTTATAGCCTCCTTTATTATTAGTTACTTATATTATATAATTATAATAGTTAATTAAATAAAACTATAATATTAAAAATATAGAAACTTATTAAGATTTTAATATAAGTAATAATTTTAATATTAATTAAACTATATTCTATTATTAATTATTATTTATATAAGGAAGAACTATTACTTCTATTAATTATATTTAATGTAGCTCTCTTTCTTATATTATATAGTACTTTATAGGTAACCTAATAAAGGTATATAAAAGAAAAAGCTAACTTATTAATTTGTTAAAAGTTAATTATATATATAAATATAAATATTATACTTTATATTATTATTAAATATATTTATTATAATTTAAACTTTAATAAATATAAAGTTACTATTAATAAGCTTTAAGTTTTAAATAACCTTATAAATATCTTTATTTTTATAACCTTTAATAAATAACTTATAAAGTTAATTAATAGGTTTTATATAGCTATTATAATTATTATAAATCTTTATAATAGGTAAATAATAATAATAAAAATATTTAATATTAAAAAAGATAAAAGGTAATAAATAAATAGATATAAATTAATAAAAAAACTATTAATTATATAAATAAATATAAAAAGAAAATAGGCTTAAAAATAAAGTAATAATAATAGGTTAATAAATACTATATAGATTATATTAATAAAAATATATAGTTAATTAGTAGATTTTAAAGTAATTATAATAGCTATTATTTTTATAATAGCTATACCTTCTTTTAAATAATATAAAAATATATAAAAAAAAACTTATATTTATTAATAATAAAACTAAGCTTATTTATATTTTTATTTATTTATAAATATTAATAAATATAATAATATTATTATATTAATATTTTTATTAGTATTAGATATATTAAATAAGTCCTTTTAATTAAAGCTATTTAAAGGTTTAAAGGTTTATTATAATTAATAATAATATTTAAATTATTACCTTTTAAATTAATTATAATACTTAAAATTAATATCCTATTATATTTATTAATAAGGTTATTATTAAATATAATATATATATAATTAAAATTATTAATTTTATTTTAAGTAATATTAATACCCTTATTAATAAAGTTTTTAATTTTAAATAAAGTTTATATAATAAATTTTTTTTATAGTTTTAGGTAGTATATTATTTTACTTTTATTAACTAAAAGGCTTATTAATATTTAAATTTTAAATATAATAGAATAATAGAGTAATAGCTATTATTACTTTAATTAAAGTTATATTTAAATACTTACTTTATTATAATTAAAACATTATAATAAAAATATTAATAATAAATATATATTAAATATTATATATTAAGTTTTTATATATTTAAATATTTTTATAAAGCTATTATTTATATATTTAAAAATAAGTTAATAAACTTTTATAATTTATTAAATATTATATATTTAATAAATTTATTGATTAATATTATATAAGTTAGTATTTCTTATTTACTTTTAAATATAAAAGCTATAAAAATAAAGTATTAGCTTTTATAGTTATAATAATTAATATTATAAAATATTAGAATAAAATATAGTATTAACTACTATAATAAGCTAATATTACTATAATAGATAATATAATAAAGGTAAATAAGTATATAAATAGTTTAAAGTAAATAATATTAATTTTAAATTATATATTTATATTTTTAAAAGGGGCTAAATAATAAATATAATTAATAAAAGACCCTATACTAAATATATAAAAATAAATTCTCTTTAATAATACTATCTATAATATTATCCTATTACTATTTATTTATAATTTTAAGTATACTATTAATTATATAAGTAATTATAAAATCCTTAAATATATTATTTAAATTATTATTTTAACTAATATATTATTTAAAAGTATTTATAGCTATATTATTATTTATAACTATACTAAGCTAAAAGGGTAAATTAACTATATTAAGGTATACTATTTAATAAATAATTAAAGCTAATATACACTTCTAGAAACCCTAATATAAAAATAGGAAAAATAGTAGTATTTTATATTATTTAATATATTATTTATATAAATTTAATAATTAAAGAATTTAGTATTATAGTTAAGTATAACTTAATTATTATAGTTTATTAAGCTATTAAAATTACTAATAGTTTAAAACTAAAATATTATAAGCTTTATATATATTTATTTAATATATTATAATATAAGTATAAGAAAAGCTATTATTAATAAAAATACATTTTAATTAAATTTTTATTATATTTTTATACTTTATATAAATTATATTATCTTTTAATTATTATATATAAAATAAAACTTAATAGAGTTTAACTTTTATTATAATTAATTAATATTTTTAATTATAATTCTTTTACTAAACTACCCTTAAAATATCTTTTATAAATATTATATATATTATTTATTATACCCTTATTTATAATAATTATTAAAAGTATAATATTATATATATTTTCTATTAAAATAATATTAATACCTAAAAATACTAACTTTTAATTTATAAACTTAAAAGTATTACTACTAATTACATTTATAATAATCTTTTAACCTTTAAATAAAAATATTTTAAAAATATATTTTATATTTTTATTAAATATTTTTATAAAAATATTTAAAATATATAATATAATATATTTTATATTATATAGTTAATAAGCTTTTATTAATTTAATAATAACTTAATAAACTACTTTAATTAAATATATTAAAAGAATTATAAAATAAAATATTAATTAAGTAATATTAAATTAAATTAAGTTAAAGTTTAATTATATAAATAAAATAAAGTAAAGTATAGCTATTATAAAGTAGTATATTACTATAAAACGTTTTACTTAAATATTCTTATATATTTCTTAAAAGTTAAAATTATTATATATAATAATTCTAGCTAGGTTATTATAAACCTATTTAATAATTATTTATAAACTAATTAATATAATATAGCTATAAAAGAAATAATAATTATATTAACTTACTTTTATAATTTTAAATACCTTCTTTCTTTATTAATTAATTATATTATATAAATTATAAAATCTAAAATTATTAAGTATTAATAACTTTATAAGATATATAAAATAATTATAGATATTAGTTAAATATATTATAAAAACCTTTTTAAGGTAAATATAATCTAATAATAAAAATAGTAATAACCTATACCTACTAATTATAAAAATAAATAGCTTTTTTAAATTAATAACTTTATTTACCTAATTTATAATAATAAAGGAAACTTTTAAGTAAGTTAAATAAAATAAGGATATTTTAATTAAGTATAATTTTATACTAATTAATCTTTAACTCTAACTATTATATAAATATTATATTTTTAATTAACTTAGCTAAATAATATAAAAGTAAGTTATAATATTACTTATATTAAATATTTTTACTAATAAATATATATAATTTATATTAAAGATTATATATATAAAAGACTTTTAGGTTATTAATAAAGTATATAGATATACTTTATTACTTTTAAGTAACTAAATAGTAGATATTAAAATAAAGTCTTCTAATATCTAACTTATTAACTTAAATATATTTTAATAGTATTATTACTCCTTTTATAAATAAATAATATATATATACCTTAAGGCTAACTAATAAGTAAAAAAGTTAAAATAAGTATATTATTATACTTAATTATATTATATATATTTTATTTAGTTTAATATATTTATATAAAATATTAAATTATTTAATATTTAATACTTTTATTTAATAAAGGGTTTATTTAAATTAAACCTATTATTTAATAACCTATTTTTATTTTTATATTAATATAAATTAATTTTTAAAAAAGTATTTAAAATATAAAAATATAGTTTAAATATATCTTTTAAATTAAAGACTATTTAATAGTAGGTTACTTAACTAACTATTAAATAGTATATTACCTCCTAAGTATTATTAAAAATTTATTAGAACTAACTCTAATATAATATCTAAAAGTTATTAAATTACTTTTAAATTATATAAATAAAAATAGTAATTTTAAAATAAAGAAGGAGCTTTAATAAAAGGAACTATATAAATTAAAGGAGATAATAATATAAATATACTATATAGGTATAATAATATAAATATATTAAGTAATAATTAAAGTAATTTTAATAGTTATAAATTATAAATATATATTTTATAATTAAACTTTAATAATAAATATATTAAACTTAAAAATTAAGTTAAATATAATATAATAAATATTATTTTAAAGTTTATAATATTTAAAGTATTTCTTTATATATTAATATATAAAATTATTTTTTAATTACTACTTTTATTTATAATTTAGTACTATTTAAACTTAAACTTATAAATAGTAACCCCTTTTACCCCCTTTATATAACTATAATAATTAATAAAATTTTTAAACTATATTATATTTATAATAGATAGAATTATAGTAGAGAATAATATAGGGACTCTAGTATAAATTAGGGGGGGTACTTTAAAGCGACTTAATATAGAATTCAAGATTCAGGAGGCACCAAAGAGTCTGAGTTTGCTGAGTCTACAGGATTCACCCCTAAACTTTGTCACTCGGGGACTTCACCCATGAAAAAATACAACCTTAACAGACCAATCAGATCTTCTCTTTCTACTCTTAAATGGTGACTTCTATACCGTTACGCTCACTACCGTCATATTGAACCTAAGTACTTTACTTTCCTAGTAATCCTACCTTAGAACCTAGTACTACTATGTTCCTTTTTATAGTTTCAAGGTAGCCGGGGCATCCATTTCTAGCCTCTTGGAAGTCACTCTTTGACAAAGATTAGGGGTCTACCCTGTACATAGGAGCCCTAGAGGCTGCTGGCAGCTGCCGGTGGGCTTGTATAATTCGACCAGGATGGGCGCGAAGCTGGCATCGCCTCGGGAGACGAATCATCTCTCACGTCGCCCATCTCAGCTCCCTCTCTCTTCCTGACCTGCGTGTCTGTCTCTCGTCCTATCGTTGTGACTCGCTCCCTTTATTCTCTCTCGCGTGTCTTACAACACACACAGGACATATCCAGCCGCTCGTTTCTGATCTGCGCCCGTGTCTCACATCCAGACCTCCCCAGCCCCCACTTCTCGTCTCGTACCTGGGCCCTGGGCACAGTTCGCCAGAGCAAGAGAGCAAGCACCTCATCTCTAACCTGACCTCGTCTCCATAATCTATCTCTCTTTCAGACCGTCCACACCTTCTTCTCACCCAGGTCGGCCAGCCAGCTCATCACCGACTCCTTGCACTGACTCTATCTGCATCGCATCGCATCGCATCGCATCTGCATTTGCATCTGCATCGGGATTACGTCCAGCATCCACACGCCCCTCCCTGTGCCTACTCTGGCCCATCCCCCTGCATCCAGCTTCCAGACCCTGCGGCCTCTGGTGCCTCACGACCCTATCAACCGCCGTGGCCGAAACCCTACTCGTGCCCCGCTGTACAACGAACCGACAGGCGCCGTGCTTTGCTCCGTGTGGCCGCAGCTGCTCCTGTACCTGTCCGCCCGTCTCCGCCGTCGGTCTCGCCCCTGGCCCCCGAGCCGCCCGGCCATCCTTCTGTCACCTCCTGCGCGCCATCCGCTACCCGTCTTTGGAACCCCCAATCCAGGCCGAGTTGCACAGTCTGACGGCAGCTGGGACAGGCAACGGCCCTTCAGCTCACCTGTTCCATCCGAGTCTCCCAAACACTCGTTTGAGCCTCAACTATGCGCTTTACTCGTCCATTCGCTGTCAATCCTTTATTTACCGGGTCATAAAAGCTGGAACACCCAACACAGGGCCATGTCTCCTGTGACCGACCACTGCTGCAACGACCACATCTTTGACCACCTTCTCTGACCGGTCTGACGAGTCTGACGAGACCGCAAACATGACCGAACCTTCGATATTTCCCCCGCTGGGGGCCCGCCTGCTGCCCTCGAGTCGACAGTATCACTCGACACCTCAGTCCCCCAAGCACCAGCGCCAACACTCCGATGATTTCATAGCCCGCCTTTCCCCAATGAACGCGATCGACACTTTTCGTGCGCCTAGCGGCCCGCTCAAGGCATGCATGGACGCCGCGACACCCAGCGAACAGAGCTTTGCGCTGCGGGCCGCCGTCGCCTCGAAAAATATTTACGAATGGCTTGATGAGCTGCGAGACTGGCCCTGGCCCACAGAGGGGGGCCTCGGCTTCCAGGCGCCGAGTTCCACTCCCGGCGGGCTTCAGTCGCGCGGCAGGGCCGGGTCGGCTGTCGAACCCGCGCCCGAGAACGATGCTGCGGGCCCCAAGCAGGTATACAACGGGAGCCTGCTGGAATCAGACATAACGCGCTACGAAACGCGCATTGCAGAGATACACCAAGAGCTCGACAAGCTCGAAATCGAGGACATTAAGCAGCACGTGCTGCACAACCATATCATGCCTCTCTCGAGACCCGGGACTCCAGCCAGCCCTATCTTCGACCGCCATTTTGGGATGGGCTCCCTTACCTCGTATGTGAAAATGGATGACCTCACGGCCGTCATCACAGCAACGGTTGTGCAGGCATTGCCGAATCTCTCTAGGCTTTTACGACTTATGAACGCATGGAGCACGCGATTAACGGTTCTTCAGCGCGTTCCTCTGTGGACGTCTTCTCTTGCTGAGGCTGAGGCTGCGATCAAGTCAGCCTGGGCCATGATTGAGCAAGGGTCGAAGGCTCAGGTGCAGGACCCACAGCTGGAGCTCAAACCCGACGAGGTGCCGTCCCAGCACAACTATGAAGTCACGAAGCTGCTGTTAGAGAAGAAAGTCTCAACAGCTGCGCGCACACTCGATTACATGCTTGACAACCTTGAGGGCCGGGATGATACCCTTCCTGACGAGTGGCTTGACCGAATGGAGGTTGTGGAGCGCCAATGCGCGGAATGGACCGCGGCATATGAGAAATGGCTTCGAGACGAGCAAGTTGCAGCCATGCAGAAGGAGGCAGACTCTGCTGGAACTGAAAAGGGTGCAACAGAAATTGTGGCAGAAGAGCCCGCTACGCCAGGGCCGATTATACGCGTTGATCATCCCGATGGGTGTAGATCTCGGAGCTTCGAAGACGATGGCATGGATGACGCTGATCGGCCAATTCCCAGTGTGGAGCACTCTGATGCATTGAGCAGATCTCCAATCATTTCTATCACAAATGACCGAGGCTCGACGCGGACCACCGCCGGACACGTTGCTGATGAGTCGGCGTTAGACTTGGACGACCTCGACGCTGATCACCTTTCATTGGACAATGGCGCTCACGCGCTTGGCTCCGACGAGAATCACCGGCCGGGAACTGCTGTTTCAGACGCCTCGACCGTCGTTCGCGCTCAGCCTAGAGATCCATTGCAGACTCCGGACCTTTTACCGGTAAATGGGAGTCGCGCCTCTCCGCATACTCCTCCAAGAGAAATAAGGTCGACATCGATGCCGGTGGGAGACATGCCGCCAGTCCTCGAGTACCCCGAGGACGAGAGCTCAGAGGACAACTCGCTGGACTCATCTTTCAACAGTACATCAGAGGAGCTGGGAAGTCCTATTGTGCTGAGCCAGGCGAATGGCGAGGATGACCACATGCGCAAGCAGATCAGTCAAATCCTGGAGAATATCCCGGCCAAAATCCAGCTTGGCTCACGCCCCACCGTCAACCATCTTAACCCTCCGGATCTACAGCTACCGTACTCCAAACCAAGACCGACGGCAGATAGGACTGTTCGCAGCAAATCCAGCATGTCCTCTCGCGCCAGCATGTCATCGCGAGCCAGCACCCCATCTTTCATGCTTGCACCGGCACCTCGGCCACGACACCAGCGTGGGAATCAAGACATCAAGCTGTACCATCTGTCCAGAGCGAATGGGGAGGCTCCAATCAAGCTTTTCATCCGCTGCGTCGGCGAGAATGGTGAAAGAGTCATGGTCCGTGTAGGTGGCGGCTGGGCTGACTTGGGAGAATATCTCAAAGAATATGCTATTCACCACGGTCGACGATCACACCGAGGGAGTGAAAGCAAGGTGGAGGTGAGGGACATCCCCCGATCCTCTAGCGCGCTCAGCACTCGTCGACCATCAGCTAGCCCCTCTGTCCGTCCCAGCCCGCCTCGCCGCCCGGGCTCAGCGCTCGACTCAACCAGCCCCATCTATGTCAAGAAGAAGCGACAGCCCAGCGGGGGAGAGGACCTCCTGGGACCAAGACTGCCTGCGACCCCGCTTGCTTATGGCAATCAGCGGGCCTCGGAGCCGCCATCTTCAGGATCAGGCAGCACCGGCCGGTCACGATCGAGCTCGCGTCTAAGCTGGGACGAGGAGGACAGCTCGCTTGGCATGGCGGGGCCCAGGAGCATGAGGAAGGACATCCCCCAGGAGAGTCTGGACTGGGTCGAAAGCATCAAGGAGAAGGTCCGGGCCGTTAGTAGTGGCTCGGCTGTCCCGCCGAGAGACCAAGGCCACGGGAGCGGGAAATTCGGCGAATTGGGAAAGGTGGGAGGAACAAAAAGGCTGTTCAGGAAGCCCACATGAGGGCCGGATGGAAGGATTTTGTGACTGGGAAAGTGGATGGGTCGGTCTGGACTTGCGCGCGGGAAAGGCATAAGGAAGGGCCTCTGCTTTTGGTCCGAATTGCTTCTCAGGGACAAAAGGGTGTTGTGTTTTGAGCGGGGAGGTGTTGAGCGTCACCACCAAGCACGGTCATATGTGTCACGATACCACTTGATTTTTGTCTTTGGGAGGTTTGTTCTCAGGCAACCTGTTCTTTGCTCGTTTGTTTTGTCTGGCGGGATGGACTTGGGACCTGTCATGGAAATACCCCCTTTTGTTTTGTTTTCTATGCTTGCGCCTGCTGCGCGTGCATGCATGAGCCGCGGATCGCTGGAGTGTGGGAAATAGCATGGATGCGAGTGCTGCATATCGCATATCGCATGGAACTATAGAAAGGTGCGATCAGCCGGATAGAATTGACTTATCTGAGCAAACCGATACTGTCCGTAATCGATACTGCTCCTGCTCTGATCACTGTGACGCTGATTCAGTCCATGCTGTGACCCGAGGAGGCCCACAATGAACCCCCACAGCCATCGACCATTTTGGTGAGCTCGGAAGAAGTCGCAGGTGGGTAGAAGCAGGACAGCTTGCAGCGCAGGACGAACTGTTCATTCATATCCTATGATGGTGTGGGAACACTGCAACTGTTGGTCCCCATCCTGTGAGGGTGTGGGACACTGCAGCCGGAGAGTTGACACCCCGCGCGCCCCGAGCCGCCTCATAGGACCCTCGTTAACCAGGTGGGCTGGTGATCTCCTCATTGTTCCCTCCACGTTGAAAAGGGGCAGTGACCAACTCAGCCTGCTCTCTAACCTTTCTTACCTGGAAGGATGCGACGGCGCAATAGCGGGTGAGTTATTTGCTTGCCTAAAGATCATTTGGATGTCAATTTCAGCTTCTGACCTGAGCTGGCGTGGCCCTGAGAAGCCCCGTAGCTCGTCGTACAAGAGCTCAAGCATCCCCCGAGTTCGGTCAGAACGACCTGGGAGAGTTTGAGAGGCGAAACCGCCAAAAGCGAGCAAAGGGTCGTAAATCTGCCCTTGGAAGGCCTAAGCCGGGAGAGGACAAACAGCCCTCCCTGGACACGACGGCGACAACGCCGGCTAGAGCTACATCGGCTGCAGCGAACCAGGAGCAGAGCTCGTTGGACAGCGACTCAGTTGTCGACCCTCCCACGACTATTCCCGACGCCGATTCAGATCTTGTTATAGAACGTCTCCCACGGCGTTCTCTGACACCCGAGTCTGCATCATCTTGCACGGAGACGTCGAGCTTGTACTACGAACGCATTGGCTATCTGCCTCCCCTTAGTGAGTCGACTTTGGAGGTCATCCGTAAGGTGCTGGCGAATCCATCCATGGGTTCCTCAGCAGGCCGGCTCGTCAAGGAGGCAGACCAACAGAACGGTCTCAACAAACGGAATGTGAATTGGAATGCTACAACTGACCCCTTTCGCCAAGAGATCCTGTTGTTACAAACCCAGACTGGCCGACAAGGGGAGTCGGACGACAACAGGAAATGGAACGATGATTTGGAGAAGTGCAGAGTCGATCCCCAGGAGTTTGTTTTTCAGCGAACCCTCATGATGTCGATGGTAGATCGGCACCGCCTCATTTACGGCAGCAGAGGAGTTTTGGACTTTGCAGTCGAGAGGCCGTGGAATTGCTCGCCGATGCCAACACGAGCATTCTTGGAAACAGACGGCAAACATCTGCCAAAGGCAAAACCCGACATTGCTATCGCATTTCGCACGACCACTTTGATGGACACCGGGAGTTTCGAGTATCTCCCGGAACCGCTCCAAAATATCATGTGTTACGAAGGCAAAGCCAATGCTCAACAACTTCGCGCCTTTCACTTCTTCATGATCGAATCAAAGAACTCATGGAAGACATTGCTAGAGCCAGTCTCTCAGTATCAGGCTCTCAATGGTGCGAGCCAGTCTCTGCACAACATGTACGAGTTCTTCAACGAAGCCGGGCCAAAGCACTTGGCAAAGTTTTTTGACGAAGTCCGGGTGTTTACCGCCGTCTCAACAACCGAGGGCATAATCATCCGAGTGCACCGGGCTTGCCTGGCGAGGAATCTCCGCGATAAAGATTCCACAATACCGGTCCCAAAGCATCCCATACTTCCCGACTATCCATTGCAATTCGAATACGATATCTATCATATGATAAAATCCGATGACTTCACCCAGGGGACAGTTGCAGCAGCATTAGAAACAGTCATGATCCAATATGGCGTTGAGCAACTTTTTAAGCTATTGAAAGACGCAGCGGATGACGTCGTCAAGAAATTTGAAGCCAAGCGAGAGCACCGATCGAAATACTACTATTCTCACGGTCAGATACCCAAAGATCCAAAGACAAAGGCACAGCCCAAAAATGGCCAAGCTGGACAAGAAAGCACCTCGCAGAGCACCTCGGCAGCGTCTCGAACTTCAAGGGCAACACCACAGAGTTCTAGTCAGGGCCCTGCCCAGGAAGAATTCTACCCACACATACAGAATATCGAAGAGATGCATAAACTGAACAAAGAAAGCAGTAGCAGATCTGCCCAGGCTAGGTCAGAGCATGATTCACCCACACCCACACCTACCACGCCCCCGAGACACATAGCCGGTCCCGACCCCAACGCGAGCCTGTCCGAGAACTTTGGCAGTGGATTTCATGTTGACGACTCCGCACGGTCCGAAGCTGAACAGCCGGGCCCGGCGGCCGCGCCCAGCCAGAGCGGTGCCCTACCGCCGCGGCACCTAGGTGGCAAGCGCCGTGGAGTCCCTGGCGACGAGGCCGCGGAAGGTCAAACGAGGGCTCACTTCACTCGCTCCAAGCGTTCCAAAAACCAGCACGGGCCGGATAGTTTGCTGAGATGACTGGCTGTCAAAGCCAATTTGGAAGTAAAGGCAGATTGAGTGTACGAAGTTATCACTGGAAAGACGATCTCAGATGGGATCGGATCATGGGGTGAGGTCAACATGAACCACACTGCTCGTCGCACGCTGACATTGCGGGGCCTGTCAGGAGTTTCACGGCAAGCTTTTTGATTGGCGCATAAATGGATTTCATACAAATATTGAAGGTATTCACAGATGGAGGAGCAAAGTTTTCACCTTGTCGAATTATCTGTATATATTACTTTACATTTTGTAGCCCTTCAATGGTCAAATTCATTTTAAGTTTAAGAAAACAAATGCCTAGGTACTCTGGTATGTGGTAATCGAATTCTTTGCATCGCGCGGCTACCCGGGTGCCTTCGCACTCATTACCTAGATAGGTACCTACTCAAACACCAGCACATGTAGTGGCAACGATACCGGCGAAAGCAAATCACATTGAAACCCTCAATTATAGATCTGTCATTTCTTTTTTCTAATACCTACCCTAAAATACACATACAGCAAGCTGGGAGAGGGTGCGTTGTCAGGCCATGTTTCATCTAGTGCAGGCAACTTATCAATGATACATTTTGCTAGACAAGGATACAGCCCAGAAGCAGCAAGACCCAACTCCGCATGTTTATTGGTTAATCTGTCTTGCACGTCAGTACCGCCAGTCATACTACTACAGGACCTCGTTGTCACGGCCAGGGGATCACGAACGGCTCGGAGATTGGCCACACAGTGCTCTTAAGACCCAACTGAGCCTCGTTATCAATTTTTAAAGCTGATGAATGGAGGATAAATCGGCAATGGCCCCTCACTATCCTAGGAGTAAGCGAGTCCTACCTAAAATCCTTTTGTGGGTATCGAGTGTTGATGACCGGCGATTACCATGCTAAAGTCCGCCTAGCTCCCGGCCGACCTACAAAAGTATTTAAATAGGTACCAAGTATGGACCGGCGACTAGCCCGTGGGCTACTTGTATCCACGATTCTAGTCAACACCGTCATCAAGACGGTGCCCCTTAGCCGTGTCTGTACGTCGCAAGGCTAAGACCACAAGTACCCATCATATCATAACTATTATTATTAACATCATATTCTTTCTAAGCACTAGGTCTTAAGTACTTACTATTATACAAAGGTGCTATATATATCCTTAGACATGGGATATATGAAATAGAAGCGAAACCACATAGGTATGGACCAGGCTGTTATGTCTTACTATGAATTACTGTTGTCGTGTATGAGGTGATTTACTTACACTTGTAGCTACTACTTCTAGTCTAGTGATTTGACCACCGTGTTCATATTGGAACTTTACGTCCTGGAGTCAACCATGGCCGCCACCAGCAAGAGGCTCCTGTGCCTGATCACAGGTAAGAAATGATATAGCATAGAACAAGATCCCCCTGCCATCTTGATCCCCTATCTGACTCGATCAAAACCATGGCCCACCAGGCGCAAATCAAGGTCTAGGCTTCGAGACAGCCAAAGCCTTAGCCATATCCCGCCGCGGGCCCAAAGGGGAGACCTACCACGTCTTTGTGGGCAGCCGCGACCTCATGAAGGGTGAGAGTGCCGCCATGGCCATCAGATCGGCCGGAGGGTCCGCGCAGGCCATCCAGCTGGACGTGACGGACCCGCCGTCGATCGCCGCGGCCGCGGACAGGGTCCGGGCTGACCACGGGCGCCTCGACATCTTGATCAACAACGCCGGCACGCTCTCGGACGCCGGCGGGGTGGTAGCCGCGCTGAGGACAGACCTCGAGGTCAACGTGGTGGGCGCTGCGGCCGTGACGGAGGCGTTCCTGCCCTTGTTGCTTGCGCAGCCGACAGACCCGCGCCTGGTGTTCGTGTCCAGCTCGATGGGGTCGCTCACCGAAGCGGCGGACCCGTCCTCTCGGTATTATCGTTCTGTGCTGGGTACGAGCCCGCTTGAGTACAGAGTAAGCAAGGCGGCGCTGAATATGCTCATGCTCGAGTATTGGAAGCGATATGGGGCGGAGCCTAGAGTTCACGTGGGAGGTGTGGGCTTCGAGACCAAGATAAGAGTGTGGAGCGCTGACCCTGGGGCGAACGCGACGAACTTCATGGGCGCGGGCAAGGCTGAGCTTGCGAGGGCGAGAGGCATACAGGGCCCCGAAAAGGGCGCTGAGATCATCGTCGGCTGTGTTGTTGGGGAGAGGGATGGGGAGGAGGGAAGGGTTGTTGGGACTTATGGTTTGGGGCTTTGGTAGATATATTGGTGACTCCGTAGGTGGTATTGAGTAGAATACCGAGTCATCTTTCTCAGAGTCATCTTTGATATATAGGGGTACAATTTTGAAAGCGCTTTGATACTTCAGCGAGGGCTGGATTGTAACCACGACTCTATGTACTGACTGTGGATCCGGCGGCTTTGTTCGCGGCTTTGGGTCGAGAACATTACCAAGGCCTGGCAACGAGATTCGACACACTAAATTGAGAGAACTTGTTACAATGATCCTCGATGTGTGCCAGAGCTCATGTTTCTGGCCACCCATCCCATCCGGATTATCATCAACCAACCTTGAAAGTTGTTCAAGCAGAAGCTCTCGTTTGCCTCGAGGTCGAACTCTGGATCTGACCCAGTTCTCGCTCTTTCGCCTGCCCTAGGGAACATCAGCACTTCTAATGTTGTTAGCTCGGTGTACCCATTTGCCGGCTGCGGAGATAAGATCGTTCGACTCCAAATGCGATTCATCCAGGCAGTCTCCCAGCTTTGTATGATGTGAGTTTGCGTGCCACGTAACCTTACCTGCACTTATTCGCTATACGCTGAACGGTTGTCTTGCATTGATCCCTTACAGACCCGAACCCCGTTAATATTTCGGCGTCCCCACGTGTTAATCCTCTTGCAGTCTCCTTCTGGAGCATCTTCGAATGGGTGGCAGTGCACATGTGGGAGAACGTGAGTGATATTCTCGGTGTTTCTAGGGGGCAACTTGGACAAGAAGTCTCTTGAGCCCTTTTGAGGCGGCGTCGGTGATGCTTACCCTTTGCGAAAGTAAGATTCGGATGTGCTGAGGAGTTGCCCATACTTGGACAGGAGCGATGCCATGGCTTGTGGTATGGCGCATTTACAAGAACAGAAAGACTTGCCTTGGGCCAGCACTGGTGTTTTACAGGTGCCTTGGACTTGACTGCGCTAGCGACTGTGTGACTAGAACTTTTGAGTGACTGAAGTGGAGGAGATACATTAATACTACTACAAGTCACAGGTGCAAAGAGCTTGAAATGCCTACTCTCTGTTCACGGCGCTTACCAGTCCAGGCAAGTGACTTCGTTCTTGTCCGTGTGTTTACCGAGGTGCGAAGCTGTATGCACGTCTTCTAAATTTGGCCGAATCAGCTAATTACGTGGGAAAGGGACCACCTCGTCAAGTCACACTGCAAGCCAATTGGAGCAGGCAGGAAAGTAGACCGATGTCATTGCACCAAGAGTGTACCTAGGCACGGTATCCATGAGTATCCAGACACTGTTCCATGCGTCACATCAGTGAAGAGTTCCGACCGTCACAGTACTGCAAACGCTCCAGGGCAAACATAACCAGACTACCAAGGCGTGAATCCCAACCGCTCGGGTGTCCGCTACGGGTCTATGGTATCGCTCCCACAACCTCTCATAGAACACCCTCCTACAAGACACCCTCATAGATGATATATCGAAGTGTGAAACCACAATTTTGCGATGGCGCCCGTTCCTTAATCTCCTTCATGGTCTTCAATTATGATCTCCGCGGCCCTCTCCGCGATCCCATAAATGAGAGTCTGCGTGTGTGATGCAACGAGCACCGGAACCTGTAATAGTAAGTAAGCAGCTGAATAGCTTGCTTGACTCGCCCATTTGCAAGTATTGGAAGCTTAATGTGATAGGAGAGCAAAAACGGTACATACTATACTTGCATCAGCAACTCGGAGGTTCGAAGTTCCCCAAACTCTCAGACGTGGATCGACCACCCCACCATCGTCCTTCGGTAACATGGCGCATGTTCCAGAAAAGTGATATATGGTGCGCATAGTTTTCCGGATATAGTTCTCCCACTGCTCGTCGGTACTGACTGCCGGAAAACCTGGTGCGTATTCACCGACCAGTAGGCTCGCTAGGGGCTCGGTTTGAGCAATCTTGCGTGCAAACTTGCCTGCCTCCACCAGTGAACGCATGTCATAGGAGTTTGCTACGTAGCGAGGATCAATATCTGGGCTCTGACTGATGTTGGACGACCGTATATGTACGCTCCCCCGCGTTAGCGGTCGCACTAGAACAACAGGCGTTAGTCAGGCTTCTACTTCCAAGGTCGCTATTGCACAAGAGACTGGCCGTTCGAATACAAAGAAAGGATGTGACAATTAGGTGAAGATGAGAAAACTGCAATTAGACTCTGCTAAAGACCGCGTGAAAACAAATGAGTCTTCCACCTGGGTCACTTACTTGCAATTCCCGTGATGGTCACAAAATCGGAGCCATAGAGAGGGTCGTCCAGCGGAGGGTATACTGGTCCATTCGTATTTTCTGACATTATGACCTCCACTTGTGGAACATTGTAGTCCGATAAAAATGAGAGTTTCGCCTGGTCAATCACGTTTGTCGAGTTGCCGAAGTCTGCCTTAGCCAGGCCAACAAGGGCCGTGTCGTCACCCAAAAGCTGTTTCCAGTTCAGGAAACCGACGCTGGCAACGGCTGTGTCGTATTTAGAAAGATCACCTTTCTTCCACAGGGCCAATTGTTCAGCCGCAAAGGTGGCGTTGTATTTGAAAACATCCAGTGAGTTGTAGCCGGGTTTCAATTGGTGTGTGACTCCCACGCCAACATGGTCTGAGTGGAGTGTCCGCCCATTAGCAACATGTTTTTTTTTGAGGGGGGGGGGGGCGAGGGGCTTCTCGGGTATTTAACCTTGGAACTCAACCTTTCACTGAGGCTTATAAAGAGGCAGATTGGGCTTGTAAACAAAACAATCGAGAAAAAATGCGCAACAGGATACAAAAGTCATCATGCCCCAGCGATTTGGCAGAGTTTGTTGGAAACATGGAACGCACCTTGAAAGTTCTCGCCTACACCGTGAAGGTCGATGAGTTGATTGATGCCGACTGCGTCGAGTACATCTCTCTGTCCAATACCGCTGGTATGTGTTAATTAACTTCACCCGACACGGGGCCTGGGTTAATAAATTCGGAACGTTTTGAGAAAATTCAATAGGAAGTCAAGATACTGACGATAGTTCGAGCAGTCCTGGACTTTGGAGTGATCCCGCTGAAAGAATCACCTCCTGCCTCGCCATAATGACAGACCCGTCTTGCAGCGTAACGCCGGTAGCCACGAGGCTACCATCTGAATTGCGTCTTGCCTTTGTCTCCTTGGAGGGGGCCTCCAAGTTGATCTTTGCCACACGGGTGGATAGTAAAAGGACGAGGTTCGATCCAGCGTGGGGTATATACGAGCTGGCGCTATAAGATCTTGTGTTGTTGTCCGGATTAATGTTGCTAGGCTGAAGCATGGCCCCGAGCGGGTTGCCATCCAGGGATTCCAGGTTATGCGACAGCCCAAGCCTCTCCAAAGTCGGCACCCACGATAGTACTTGCTCTGTCCTGTAACGTTCAACGACATTGTGGATGGGTCCTTGTGTGCTTCTCCCGAAGCTGCCGTAGTAGTCCTGGTTGTTGGTTGCTGTGAAGTTCTCTGACTTTGCCATCCCAGAAACCATGCTATCCCAATTCCAGCCGGTATTTCCGACTGTCTCCCACACATCATACTCAGGGGCAGAGGCACGGTTCCACACCAGATAATTTAGAGCTGAGCTGCCGCCGAGGACCTTTCCACGCGTGAGATTCACCCGCCGACTGCTTAGCTCTGGCTGCGGCGTGGTGGTAAGATTCCAATCATATGGTCCGCCAATTGTGGACCCAAACATCCCTGGGACATTGATCTTCAGCTCCTCTGGAGCAGCCGGTCCAGCCTCGATCAGCCTATGGGTCGGCGTTAATGAAAACCATCACGGAGCACTAGCCCAAAGCCAGCGTAATTCTCACACAATTGGCAGATCATGAACGGAAATGGAGGAACTCTAGCTGACAGTATGCTGCTATTTTTCAGCTTCTGGCTCAATCGAGTTGCGACAGCAGCCCCTGCGGCTGTTTTAATGGTTTCAGCAGTCGGATTGTACTGAGGGAACTTGAGGATACTCACTGCCTCCACCAACAATAATCTGAAGAAGCTCCCGGTATTCAGTCTCAGACATTGATAAAGTGAGGGAGATTGCCCAAAGAGTCTTCAAGATCACTTACATAGTCGTAAGTATTACCTGCGTACCTAGGTGCTGCCCCAGGGATAGCAGCTGCGGCTGCTATTGTAGCAGATAGAACCACGTTGAGAGATACAAGCATATTGACAAAGGATTCTCAACGAATATACTCAAGGAATATGTTTTGAAAGCCTATCGAAGGATCAGACTCGTTTAGGAGGTTTATAAGACAATTCATGGTGTGGCAGACACTTGGTCCCATTGCAGGCTTCGGAAGCCATGCGGGGCGTATGTGCAATAGTCCGAGTCGATGACATATCGGCTGACTGTATGACTGAGTATCTACAAATTAGGTGAGGGGATAGTCATGGCGCATAGCAAGCTGCTTATGCAGTTCCCACGCCTGTCTGTATTAAGTAATACGGTGAGTAAACCAGGCGTTCACTTTATTGTTACACCCGGCCTCCGACCAGTCGGATGATTCACCACGTGAAGGCTCTACATATCATGGCTGCTGAAACTGGATCTACGATCTGCCGAGTGATAATCCGGCGCCCCCATGTCGGGAGGGGTGGGCGAGGTGTGGTAGCAGTGGTCGAGTGTGTCGAGCTTGGCACTGCATTCAACTGGTCCACGCTTCACATTGGCTTGTTTGTATTGCAGGACACCCAGGTTGCGTCTGCGATCCCGGCCCAGTACTGCATTACGTGCCATAGGTACCATCCCTCGGGAGGCCTTTTTCCCCAAGTCAGCTCGGAACGTGCAGGAGCACTCGGATCTGGAGAGTGGCAAGCAGCAAAATTCCCTTGGCACTGAGCAGACCCAGTGGTGTTGCTTTCAGTTGGTACTCCTCCTTTCAGAAGGTTGAGGGAACCATCATCTTCAAGTCTAACTATACGCACAAATGAAAAATGAATCTTTGACTTGACCTCGGGCTCTTTCTGAGGGATGGTCGTACTTCGTTGTGCTATCAGTCAGTGCTAAAATGTAGTTATCGCTAGCTGGCATCATGGACCGTCCATCTTTGATTTTTATTTCTTCAAGAGAAAAACAGAGACGGAGAGGCTATGTATTTCCCATGATAGAAGTCACACTATCTAAGGGTTGCCAAAAAGAACAGAAAACAAACGCATTTCCCCCTAATTTCATTTACAGTCTATTTGCGGGCCACCAGTGTTCTCACTCGTCTGCTTGTGCTGTCATCAATGATTGTATTCCAAAACCAAAGTTGACCAGACTGATTTACCGCGTTTATTCGCTGAGTGCATCGAGCGCATTAATACGGTTCTCAGCCAGCATCTTTAGCCGGTCTTTGGTGATCTTCTCGCCACCCTTCAGTGTCAAGAGGTGTGCGCTCTTGATCAGGTTCTTGATTTCACGGCCATTCAGCTGAATGTTAGACAGCTCATCTAGGCCTGCAGAGTCGACATCAAACTGCTTGTCCCCAGCACGATTGATGAAGTTCTCCCAGACCTGTCTGCGCGCCTCAGGCTTGAGGTCCCGGTACGGGAGGAACAGGTCAACTCGAGACTGGAATGCGTGGTCCAGGCTGGAGATGCGGTTGGTGGTCAGGAAGCAGATTCCCTGGTAGTACTCAAGCTTGGTCAGGAAGACGGCGACGAGCTCGTTACGGGCAAGGTCCGTGTCGGTCCTGGCACTAAGGAAGACGTCTGCTTCGTCGAGGAGGAGCATGGCGTTCCAGAGCCTGCAGAGCTCCAGGGCACGCTCGAGGGCTGCCTCTATCTGTTTAGGCTTCGTGCCAAGCGTGCCCGCACTCATTGCATAAAGTGGAACACGCGACTTTTCGGCGACAGCTTCTGCTGTGTATGTCTTACCCACCCCAGGAGGTCCGAACATGCTGAGGCATTTTGCATCAGTATTATGACAGGGTGGACATAAGAGGGGTAGCAGGGCTTGATGTGTAAAGAGAACTCACAGAATGATAATGCCTCGGCCCTTGTCCGGAATGAAATCATCGAACTGGTTCTTTGACAATGCCTTGTTCTCGACAAAAGCCCACGCGAGCTCCTTCTCATTTCCAGGAAGCACGAGATGGTCAAACGCGGAATCATTCCAGACTATTTCGTCCAGCTCGTCGACATTGAATTGAGCCCAGTCCTTACTCTTGAGGTCCAGACCCTTGAGCCAAGGGGATGCCAAGAGGCACTGCTCATCCGTGAGAGGCTCTATGATCTCGGTACGCTTCAAAGAACCACCCGACGGTTTGACGGCAGTCAGCTCGGAGAGGCTATCCTCGGAGTCGTCAGAACTGGTGGTAGACCTGAAGTCGTCTTGTTCTTCATCATTGTCCTCTGCATCACTTTCAGATGCATCAGTGACCACCTCGGCTACAACGGTGCCCTCCAAGGACCTCAAGTTTGGTTTCACAATATTGTTGCTGGTGTAGTAGGCGAACGCGTCAATAATGACTCGGCCTGCAACCGGCCTCTCCTCTGGGCACTTGGTCTCGAGAAGGATCTTGGTTCCGACGCAAGTCCTGAAGTGATAGCCTCTGAGGCTTTCAAATTTACGACCTCTTGCGGTGATTCGTTGCTTGATTTCCGAGGCTGAGGGACTGAAGGAAAGTGGGTATCTAATCATGGTCAGTATCTGATCCCCTAGATGCTCTTGTCACGGAGGCTCTCCACTGGGGCAGCCACTTCGAGGAAGGTTCATTAAATGTGAGAGTCTCCTTTAGGATGTTGTGCCATAGGACGTCGGGACGTTATCTGATCATGAGAATCGTTGTGGGTAGACTTACACGCCAAGGCTTGTCACGAACTTCATGCCATCAAAGTATCTGATCTTGGACTTGGCAGACGTGTAACCGCAACGCTCACCGTTCCAGTCCAGATATTCAAACTCGACTTGCCAATACGGTGGGTCGCAGCGTGGTCGGATCAACTCATAGCGGAGTATGCGAGTGACCGCCTGAATGCCGAAGAACGACGTGACTGCGAGCTCGCCGGGTGGGAAGATTTGCCAAACATTTTCAAAGTCGACCTTGCCCGTTGCCTTAGTCTGCAGCAGGGATCCAATCGAAGGGGCGAGAATTGGCCCAAGGAAGTTCATGAGTTGGTCAATGGCTTTCTTGGACTTGTCTTCGGTGGTATTTTCGCGTAGAGTATTCAGACGGTCCCAGCGGTGTACAATTGGTGAGAAGGGCTCCTTGAACGTCCAATTCTTAAGCTCTAGGTCGAAGTCCTGATAGTTGGCCAGTGCAACACGAAGGTGGTTGCGCATTAACGGATCCTGAACGGTAAAGGACTCTGTAACCCCTTCAACGTGCCAGTTAGCATCCATCTTCCAAGCTCGCATGGAACAAAAACCCATGGAACCAGCTCCCAGGGATGACCTCCTTTAGTCTATCGACTCATGTGTGGGAATGCTTGACGTTGATGGATGAGTGCATGGGAAGGGAGCACAAACATTTCTTGTCGTCCTTGTTGAAGCAATGGCGATGAATGATGGGATCGCTCTGTATAGCATTCCTGAGATGAGCTTGGTCATCCTCATGGCTCGCAAACTTGGACCATCTCGGAGGACATTCCGGTCCATAGTTGCCTGCGTTCGCACAGTCATGCCGATACAATGCCGTCACGGCATTTTCTACCACGTCGGGCAAGGAAGTCATAGTGTTGACAAGATCAGTTCCCACGGAACCCATTGTGAAGTGTTATCTGCAGAGCAATTGTCCGTACAACTTTGGGATTGTGCTGAAAGAGAGAAAGGATGACCGACCGGGGAACAAATTTTTGAAAAACAGCCGTCGAAGGCGATCATACTTGTAGTAGAATTAATTACAGGAGCTTGGGCAGTCGTCCTTAGGCCGGGTGGTGGTTGCCTGCGGTTTCTACCTTATTAGGTAGATACCGGCTGTCTGCCTTGAACTAGTGGAGCGATCTACGGTGCGGTCCGAACTAGCAAATCAAAGCCCTTGTCACGCGCTTTGTATATAAAAAGGGCTGCAGAACGTGAATATGCCTTTTACTGTCCTTCATGTGCGTACTGTACTGTCAGGCTCCCTAGCCGCCGGGCTCGGCTTGTTTGTGATGCAGCTTTGCGTTGGTTTAGGCAGCATGCAGCTGGAGCATGGCTGAAGTGGAGTCTGACAACACAAAAGTGCATGTGACCAGGCTACAGAGTCGTTACACAGCATTTCCACAGTATCCAATGGCGCTCGCCCTGATTTCCTCCCGGCAAGAAATGGGTTTCGAGCTACTGAAGTCACAGAGGGTGCTCGAACCCACCGTTCCTGGATCGATCGACTGTCAGTAGGCTGTCACGGTGAGAGCTCCATGTCATGTCTGACTCACTCGGCGTACGGGCAGATAGGAGCAATTCAAATCAGACTAGGATAGACTACCTGTATGTATGCCTTGGGCTCGGCAGGGGAATTATGTCCTGTTATGGAATGGGCGTTCCAAGGTTGACGCCGTGGCAGCCTGATCCCGAGTGGTCTGCTTCTCTGGAGTGAAGAACCGAGCAGTAAATTGAAGCCGAATGAAATTTAGTTCCATTTGAATTTCCGAAGATCACAAATCTACTTTCTCACAGATGGTTGCTCTTATTCTTTTCCCCTGCTAGCTCAAAGTAATTACAGGACTTTTATTCATTATATCGTAATGTCACGTCCGTGTTTTGCGTCACGGACATCTAAATACCTTCCGCGCAAGTTTCAAGTAACAGACACTGGCATTAGGCAGATCTTAGGTACAAATCGACTGCTTTCTTAAAGTTCAACATGACGAAGCAAACAGTGAGATGTTGAGCGTTCCATAGAAAAGAAAAGGCGGTCTGACATAGATACCAGGCTACGTTATTAGCAAACTTTGGAACCACATGTGCAAACTGCCTAACTATGGTCTGTTAAAATCTAATATAGTCAACATCGCCATCAAGACGATACCCCTTAGCCTTGTCTGCACATCTCAAGGGTAAGGCTATAAGCACCTATCGTATTTTAACTACTGTTTCTAATATCTTATTCTTTTTAAAAATGCTGGATCTTGAGCATGTACCGCCATATAAAGGCGCCATGTACCTAGGTATATCCTTGCATATATATGGAATAGAAGAGAAACTATATATATGGAATAGAAGTGAAATTAATTAGCCTAATACTCCGACTACTACCTTACTGCCTGTAAATCTATTTAGTGTATCAAATGAAGTGCCGGGTGAAATAATGAGAAACTTTGGAATAAATGCGGGCAGGGCCAAAAATTAAAGAGGTGAAAAAGAAAAGGAACTTTGGAACTAAAAAGGGTGAGACTTTGGCATCAGATACCTTAACATCTTGTAAACTGGCTTCAATGATAGAGGACTTCATTGTATTCACCATTAGAGCACTTGAGCACACCCGGAATAGAGACTCGAACAATTGGAAGTGGCTTCTTTGACAACAAAAGGCATCGCAGGAAAATGCATTCCCGCCTCATACCACGTCTCAATCTTTCTCGCTACTCTGTTTCTGATTGATCGTTACCCATGCGCTGATCATGGCATGAGTCGTACTTTCGTTGGTTCGACCAGCCTGCACGAAGGCATGGTCACGTATGTGGTTGCTCAGGTAGTAGTTGCCAGTCTCCCCCTGCAACGGAGCTCTTTCATCGCCAAAGCTAACAATGGAATGTCCCTCTACCTGATTTTCCGCATATGTTGAACTCGTGGAGTTTGGGGCGCTTGAACGTTGGATGGGCAGCGTTGTACTAGCCCGAGGAAAGAATTGGACGGACGCAGACTGGCTTCCTTGCCGCTTATGGCCAGAGTTAGGGAACGGCCTGTTCTGGTGAGACCCTTGTAATCCAGGGTCATGTTCAGGCTTCGAGGGCATATTGCGCAATGTGGTATTGGGAGAAGCTGGGTCTTCAATTCTGGCTTCGAGTGTGGATGCCGAACAAGCCAGAGGCGACTGGGAGTGGATGCTGTGGGCCTCAAGATTGTAGGACGATGTTTGAGCAATGGTCGGTCTCGAGGCGATGATTTCCAAGTTAGACAAGAAGAAATCGAAATCGGAAATCAATACCTCGAGTTTCCTCTTATCGTAGGCTGCCCACGTTGCCCGTAAGGCAATCAGAAGGATTCTGCCTGTCAGCCTCTGGCCGGGCCGCTCTTTGGCACTAGTCCTCTCCCCGGCCAGGCTATCAATTTCTGGCCAGTCGTTGCTTTGAGGCTTTAGGCTGTATCGTTTGCACAGGTGACTGGCTCTCTTCATGATGTCGTCAACCCCCTTCAACCCATGGCTAATGGCTTGGCCCGCAGGGTGATGTGGCACCTCACTTGCAGCACAGTGCAACTGCTCTACAGGAAAGTCCCGCGCTGACACACCCGAGGAAATTGCATCCTCCAACTTATTGAGACGTGTCTTCAGAAGATCAATTTTGGCGACTGTCAGACCAAAGTCGAACATCCAGTCTCTGCTGTCGTCAAAGTATTCGATGAATTCCAGACAGGTTTTGAATAAGCTTGCAAGGGCGACACCGCTGAGGACGAGGCCCGCGACTTCGGCCATCTTTGGGTTGGAGGTGCGAGATCGCAGAGCATTGGCTAGATTGAGAGTATATATATTTGACCTCGGCCGGCATTGGGAAACACATCAGCTTTATGTAGACAGGTCGATCTGCCTAGGTAGGCCGCACTGTAGGTGTACTGTGGTCATGCACTTGGCGCAGTCTGCCTGGATCCCATGGTGATAAGAAATACTTGATCTTCCTTTTGATCCCTAGGCAGGCTGTGCTTTGTTGTGATTCGCCCTGCTATGTACCCCTCCTCCGCCCCGAAACGGGAGGAGCCACCTCAATTGCCTATCTGAATTAAAGAAAGGCCTCCGGACGTAAGGGCTAAAACACAGGCTCTCGTCCTGCTATACCCGAGTGAGTCACGTACCCCCCTTCGCACCCCTCAGGCTTGTTCTCTTGTCATTGCAAATTTACTTCCCTTCTTCATGCTTGGGAGGAGTGGCGCGACGGAGAGGCATGCAAAAATCTTGATTAATGCGATCAGTCTACTATGTCGGGAAGTGAGCGACAAGGCCAGCACACAATAAACAATCTCAATATCTATTGGCAGAACATTGCACAAGACAGAACCTGCAACACTTGGGGCCAAGTAGGTGAGCCGAGCTCCCCTAGACGTTGACTGCTCGCTTCTTACTGACCCCGTAGAACAGTAGGCGGAGCGACCGAGCGTGTTATTACGGAAACAAGGAACGAGCCCGAGATTGTCGGTGCCATAGCGCAAAACATACCCACCGATCCGCGTCTTACATATCCAGAGGAAAGGACTTTGATCGAATCAAGGGCCGGGTACGTAAGCGAAGACGTCGACAAAGGATTCCCCGAGGATCCACGTTTTGAAGAAGTCGCCGGGGTTGCAAGAGCCAACTGTACAGACGAGGGTCAGCGAACTGAAGACAGGTCTCTCGCAATGGCACACGCACAGAACGGCTCCTCAGAGGAGCAAGACCAGCCAGACAGCTTTGAGACCGTCAAGTTCGGAAGCAGAGGGCCGCCCAGGTACAGGCAGCAGGCGGACAGCAGCTTCTTTCATTGCGGTCGCTTGCTGGGAGTCCCGAGCAACCACCACAATCAGGTTCTCCGCGGACGCACTCTTCTGGTCCTGACGGTCTCTAAACATGGCTGGGCACAATGTGTCTGCCTCTGCCGGCACGAGGAGTTGAATGGGAGGGAGCACAAGGCGTTCTACCGCGCGCATGGGGCCATCTACTCGGAGGAGAGCTCGCTTCGGCGTATTGCCAGGGAGGTGCATTCCCCGATTCCTGCCAAAATGGCAAACATAGAATACAAGATCAGGGATGACTGCTATATAAATTTTGAGCACACTTTTACTCTGAACAAAGAATTCGTGGTTGCATCGCTTGGGACCGTTGAGGATAAGAAAAGACTTATAGAATTGTACCAAAAGGTACAAAAGGACATGTATGACAGACAGACCGAGGCAATAGTAGCCGGAGAAGAGTGATTAGATGGATGACTTTTATTTCAGAGCGTTTTTTGATGTCAAATATACGGGGAAAGGCGGAAAGCTTGCCTGTTGCGGCTGGTTGTGCTGGAGGTGAGAACACTCCACAGTTAAGATGATAGGGAACTAGCATCAAATATACTCGTGGTAATGATACAGCTCCATTATACTGCCATAATCCTTTTGAGGGTCAAAGTGACTGGTCATACCTAAGTGTCAAGTACTCGATTCGCTGGTGGGAGTCGTACATCACTCCAGATGTCCTCTACCTTAGGGTAGCGTTGAGCCATGCGACCCATACAACGCATGACTGGCATCGCTTCTATTCCATACACGTCCAAAGATATACATGGCGCCTTCATACAGTAGTAAATAATCAAGACCCAGAGTTTAAATAACATAGATATATGCCGTCAGGAGTCGTTGGTCCGTGTGCAAGTTCTTCGAAATCAAGCAGGGGAAGGCCATCACCAAGAACACATGCATCTTCCTCGTCCGCCGTCATATCACTGGGCTCGGCCAGTGCAGACTGGCTCTTGTCAGCTATAGCTACTAGACAGGCTTGCCTAATTTTGGTGATATCGTGAGCTGAAAGGCGATGATCTTGGTATCAGCAATAAGGCTGGGTGTCAGGGGTGGAGGTTACAGCTCGCTGCCTCCCTAGGTAATAGGTGATTTGCGCCGCATTACTTGCCCAACTTTGGGAGTCGGCCAAAATCCTCAGCCAACACACAAGAGGCTTGGACCCCGGACGAACGGCTTTTGAGAATGTACCAATTCTTGATAAATATTCTCATATTGACAACCTTGGAAGTTGAATGATCGGTCTTGTGATCTGCCGCTTTGATAGTTAAGCCACGAGGAGTGCTGTCGCGTCCCAGCCGTGACGGTTGAAAGTTTTCTCTTTGGTAGCCTCAAATCGTCTTGCCAAAAATAGCCTACTGGTGAAATAATGAATTCATGCTTGCTTCCATCCTGAAGAGCCTGAGAGTTTTGGCATTGGTACTCTCTCGAAAAGTCTGTGAATCTTGTATCGACATGTAGCGTTCCCTCATGAGCATCAAATTTCTGCCTCCCGGGTCTTGCCACCATGACGTCTAATTCAGACACCTGCACTCTGCTATCTATCAAGCTAAATTTACATTGACCCCTCGACCCTGTCCAGTACCATCTCTTTGGACAGCCACAGGACCTGCACAACGGACCCCGTCATTCCTCGCGATGTGGACTACGACTCAGCCCTGTACTGGTACCGGGCCGCCAACGGGAGGCATATTTCCTTGTCCGCCTAGTCTTGGGTCTACCGGTGGTGGTGGAATGTTCATGGGACCCCCGGGTGGGCCGGGCCTTGGGTCCGGGCCAGCAGACTCAGAAATTGTATAGCTTGATGCGTACGACTTCTCGGTTCCTCCGTCCCGGGCTCGACGAACTAGGCGGAGAAGTAAATATACCAAGAGGGCGAAGAAGGCGATGAGAAGCACCACTATTATGGCAACGACGTCGTTTCGTTTGACCATGGCCAGAAACTGTTACAAGCAAAATGTTCCGTCTTTTTGTTGCGAGGGCCTTGTGTCCCGGCGTTCAAGAACCGCAAATTGGTCACACCAAAGACGGTAGCGAACAGCTTATACTCCTCATTGGGGTCAGCGAGATATGATAACAGTGGTGTGAGGTAGTACCTACGCAAGACAAATTATGCTTCCACTATCTTTCACATGCAGTGGCACCGATGACCGTAAGCCCTGATTTGAGGCAAAAAAGAAGTGTAAGAAAACCAATCACAGAGAAACAAGCTAGAAGAAGACTGTACAGCGATCTAGGTTGTAGAGAATAAATTGTGAGACAGAGAGGCATGCTTCTAAATGGGCGCCGGGAGGGACTGGAGTTGGTATCGAAAGTAAACAAATGGAGTGGCTGGCTCTCATGCAGGCGTCTCTATCTGGTATAGAAAGCCGGGCCCATCTTTCTCAGCCCCAGTGCTCATGCAGCAGAGAGAAGTCACCTTCTGTGGGAACGATTGGGGTGGAGCCCAGGAAATCAGTACAGCGTCTAACTACACTCACTATAAGCGCTGCCGCCTGGTGATTCGTCTTCCCTTAAAAGTGGTTGGGCGGCGTGCTGCTGCGAGCCACATTCGGAGCTTCGTCTCACACCCCTTTCATCACACCCCACTCCTGTCCAGGCGAAAGTACTTATGTAAGACCTCTTACAGAGCCTCCCTCCCTGGAGCCTCTCGCGGTTCTTTCCTTCCAGCCCTAACACAAATGCTGTCATTTCTACCGAAAAATGTTCAGCATCACTCAGTACCAAGACTAGAGGTGACTGGTCTCCGATCGTGATTGATCGATGCTCAAGCTACAGGAATCTTGCCACTAAGGCTCCGTTCTGAGACGATTCTATACGAATGAAACACGTCAATTGATGTCGAATGGACATGGCACACCGTGTCCCTGATGCTTATTTGCTGATCCTTCCTTGAGCCCCAAATACTTAAGTACGTACCTAGATGTTGACAAGTCTCAGGGGTTTCAACATCAAGCCCATGGAGTGGCCTCGTTTGAAAAGTCTGCCATAGCTTCAAGTCATGACCTCGGGGTATTTTGAGCGAGTTGAGCATTTTGTTCACTCGTTGCATCGCATTGATTTTGCGACCCAATCCCTCCCTTGACATGCTATGTACATACCTAGGTACCTAGGTAGGTACTCATAGAGACCCTTGCATTCACATATGTGAGCTCTAAATGTCTTTCTGACCTTGAAAGAACAAATGTACAGTACCCAGGTAGACATAAACCTGTATACATTTAGATCTATACTAGTATACTCTTAAATTTACCCAAGGGGTCAACTATGGTCCTATAAAGTATTAATCGAATCATAAACTGCAGTCACTGCCTACACTTTCAAGCCGGTAATTCGGTGTTTCTGCATCGAACAGAGGTATATAATATGTTTGTAGAAAAAAGCGTTGGTTTTTGCTCCGGTACTCTCCTGGTATTCTTGTAGATACTTAAGTATGTACCTAGGTAGTGCTGAGATGGAATAATTGAACTGACGTCCAGCCGAGCACACGCGCATGGAGGCAGGGATGATGACTGCTGAGGTGGCGCTAGCAAGTGAGCGCCAGGGAGCTTCGAACCCGCTGTTAGGAACCTTGCTCCCACCCCCTGCCGCTGGAGCAGCGCCTCTACGGAATACATCAAACCTCAAAGTTTCGCCGTCACAACCCACCTCCCACCTCCCGCCTCCCCAAGAGACAGCACCTTGAAAATGCCTCCAAAACGCATGACTGCAAATCCCGTCCGGCCGGGACGCCATTTTGCCGGCAAAGCAGCGGGGGGATCCTCGTCCTCCGACTCCGACGACAGCGGCGCCGAGCAAGAAGTCAAGCCTGAACCCCCAAAGAAGCGCACCATCGCGCCGCCGCCAAAAGTGCCCAGCGCGGGGCGCATCATCAGCACAAGTAGCGGCGCCACCAAGGCGAGCGAGGACGCAAAGAAGTTAGCAGCAGCGAAACAGCGCGCCGAGATCGAGCGCAAAGCCAAGGAAGAAGGCTTCGTCACCGAGGACGAGGAGGGAGACAGCGAAGAGGACGAAGGAGAAGAAGAGAGCGGCAGCGAGGGTGAATCCTCGTCAGAGGCGGAGAGCAGCTCGGAGGAGGAGGCCCCGAGGCGGCTGATGGTGCGACCCAAATTCATCTCAAAAGCCAACCGTGCAAAACAGGAAGAGGACCCAGCGAAGAAGGCAGAAGAGGAGGAGGCCAAGCGGCGCGCCGAAGCGGACGCGATCGTCGAGGAGCAGATCCAAAAGGACCTCGCCGCGCGAGCGGCGGGCAAGAAGCACTGGGACGACGACGAGGGGTCTGGCGACGAGGTGGACGACACGGACGACCTGGACCCCGCGGCCGAGCACGCGGCGTGGAAGCTGCGGGAGCTGAAGCGTCTGAAGCGGGCGCGCGAGGCCATCGAGGCCAAGGAGGCCGAGATCGCGGAGAAGGAGCGGCGCCAGAACCTGACCGAGGCGGAGCGCGCCGCCGAGGACGAGGCGCTCGTCGCGAAGCAGCGCGAGGAGAAGGAGTCCCGCGGCAAGATGGGCTACATGCAGAAGTACTTCCACAAGGGCGCCTTCTACCAGGACGAGGCCGCCGCCCAGGGGCTCGACAAGCGCGACATCATGGGCGCGCGCTTCGCCGACGACGTGCGCAACCGCGAGCTGCTGCCGCAGGCGCTGCAGATGCGCGACATGACCAAGCTGGGCAAGAGGGGCGCCACAAAGTACAAGGACCTGAAGAGCGAGGACACGGGCGCGTGGGGCCGGTACGATGACCCCAGGAGGAAGAGGAGCGAGTGGGACCAGTATCGGGACGGCGAGAGAGAGGGCGACAGAGGCGGTGACTATGGCGGCAAGGGCGCAAATGCCATGCCATTGGGTCGGAGGCGATCCAGGTCGCGCTCGCCTAGGCGGGACCGTGACGAACACAGGGATAGAAAGAGAGAATACTCGAGGGAGAGGGACCGCTACGATGACGACAAGCGGAGGAGAGTAGATTCCAGGTAGAGATACCATCTAGGGATTCCCTCCAGGTGGCATATTCACAAGATCGTGGCCTGGTTCAACCTCTGTCCTGTCTTGGTCGACGAAGTGCGAGGACGAGAAAATGCAGTGCTCCAGGTGTTGCTGGATCCTCTTACGCGGTACGGCATGGACACGAAGTCTCTAAATATCCTATTCTGCTGATCAGATAATGTTCAGTCTACACGCTGGTTCGTCATGTACCATCCGAAGGAAGCCGGTGCACCGAGATATCTGAAAATCCCGCTGGCATTTCCAGCGGTCACAGCAACAAATAGCATTCGAGCATAAAGCATTGGCTCCTGACCTCGACCCAACAAAGAAAAATCAAAACTCCACGGTGCCCCATGCAATGTACAACAAACATGACGTCTTCAGGTCTATATCCTGGTGATCTCGACCCTCGCTCTGTCAAAGATCTTATGTCCCAGCATGTTCTCGCCTGCTTCTTCAATCTCCGACAGTGAGGGCGGATACAGCGTCATCCGAGCATAGGTGCCCGCGCCACGGCGCTTGGACAGAAAGCCGGGGTTGATTACAAGGACACTTTCAACAACCTGAGTTTGGTAGCCAGTCAGTCACCCACACGCAAGTATCATGGCGGCTCGATGTTTTGGGACATACCTTCGCAAAAGGCGGCAGCGCGCTTGGAACAACCAGCACATCCGGCCTGACACCCACCATCTCGCCCAGCTTGAGATAGCTCACATCCAACATCGGCCCCACGGGTCTGCCGTCTTCGGCACCCGTCTTGGGGTACTTGCTGCGGTCAGAGGGCGGGAACACGGGGAAGTAGTGCCGCTGCTCGATCAGGTACCTCGACAGCCGCGCCAGGAGATCCGGCACCGGCGGGCGGTTCGTGCACTCCTCGCCCCTGAGGTCCCATAGCACATCCTGCGACGAGACGCCCAGGACCATCTCGTTGATGGACAGGGTCATGGGGTTACCCACGATCTTGACGGCGGTCTTGTGGAGGCCGAGATCTTTCCTGGGAAATGAATCCTGCGGCCACGAGACGTGCTTGTCGATCACGTCTCGTGTCGACGGGACGAGTAGGACTGTTACAGCGGGGTTGGCGGCGACGAGCCGGTTGAGGATGGGTGAAATCATGTATTTGAAGACACTGGCCATGGTCGCCAGGTCGGGGTCGATGTTCGCCTCCTCCGGCAGGTCGAAGTCGCCTGATGCGATGAGCGGGTGGTCGACATCGATGAACGGCCCCGTCAGCACGAGAGCGTCGGCGTATGTGTCTGATGCAACAGTGCAGAGTTGGTGGAGCGGCTCAAAATCCAGGTTGTCGTCTGCGGTATAGGGGCCGGATGCGTAGAGAACATTTAGAGGAATTGGTTCACTGTCCGTTTCCATGGCGTCAGGGCCGCCGAGGAGTTTGTCCCGGTGGGCTTGCAAGGCTGCTGGTGTCGAGGCCGCGTTGGAAAGGAGAGGGACCTCCAGAATCTCCTTGACAGTGAAGCTTTGTCCCGAAATGTTGCTTCCTCTCAAGGCGACAATCTGGCCCGGGAAAAACTGGTAGTTCTGGATCTTCTCCATACCCAAAGGCACCCGCAGGCCGCCGCCCGTTCTCCGTGAAGTCTCGAGAATTAGGGAAGCAGCATTAAGCCTGCCTTCTGAAGAGTCTGAGGCAATGCGGCCCACTGCTACAATCTCGGTGGTGCTTTGAGACGCTGCACTGCCGAAAGCAGATGGGTCTAGTTTGTGGTGATCCATGACGATATTGAGAAAATCGTCTATCCGGTCGTCCAGGATCTCGGACGCTTCTGACAGCTTCATGCCTAATGGCTTGTAGGCCAGCTTCTTCTGGTCCGATGCGGCAGTCAGCTTGACACGAGACTCTCCAAAGGGGGCTATTGGAGGCTCCGCTGCTGGAAGCTGGCTGTTGAGAACCTCAATAACCTCCCCCGGATTTGAACGGTCATTGAAAGAGGACGGACTACCGGCACAAGTCAGCGAATATGGCACTGCCGGCAGACAGCACGTAAACCTACGGCATTGCCCCCATGGAGTCCAGCTGGTCTTTTAGATTGGCCGCGGGCCTCTGGTCCGGTGAGCTGGCTGGATGTTCTGACTTGATACGAGACGTTGGTGTCTCCTTCTTCCTGATGGCGCTCTTGCGTGCCGCAGGGGTGTTTGGCAACAGGCCATCGATCCTGGCTCCTGTCAATATGTGCCAAAGCGTTGTCGGTTCCAACACAACTCACATGCCAAATACATCTCCACCCTTGGCGCCTGCTCTCGGGGTGGCACCAACCCGGTGCTTGTCTGGTTTCGCATGGGATTGGGTCCGGGTGCTTTTCTCCAGGGCGTCTTGCAGGTCCTGCTTGAAGCCTCTCATTTTCTCATAAGACGGCTGTGTTGCTTCAATGTCGAGCTTGATGCAATAAGACTCCCATTTGAAGAAGAGGTCCTGCGGCTGCAAGCTGTGCAGCCTCATGATAGACTGCATCTCGACGACGACGTCCTGGCCCAAGCCCTTGTCTCCCGCGCCGAAGAGCTCATTGAGCTCCGACACTGCTGGATCTGCCATGCTGATGATGACTTCTTGCCGTGTTTGAGGCGCAACCTTTTGTTCTGTTTTGTTGTCGATAAGGCCTCGGGAATTGGTTGCTTGCCAGCGTGGTTGTGGTGTAGACCGACCCAGTATCTCTCTCCCGGCGCCCGTCAGAGTGGATGAGATTTGGGAGACGCGTCCGGACGCGCTTTTGGAAAACAGCTTTAATTGAGCAGGGGTCCTGTCCCTCAGGCAATGCAGCCCCTCCTGTCTGTCACCTTATCGATAGCCTGCGCCGCCAGGGGGCCAAGCCGCTACCAAGATCAGGCGAGATTTAGTGTCCCGCCCCGAAGATCCGGGATTGAGATTCCACCAGACTCGGGTCATTCACCGACAGGTCACATCAATTCAGCACACCCCTTTGTTAATGACTGCTTGACGGCCGGATTGGTCTGGCAACATACTCTTTTCCTGCATGTAGTGGTGGTGCTGCTTGTTAGACCGCCCTGCCCCCAACCCTGTCGCCATCTTTTGTTAAATACCTAGGTAAATAGCCTAGTTCACGGCAAGACATTGACAATTGTGTCCTTTCTGAGCAAGTTCAGTACCATAATTTCATCATGGCAGACTCGGCAGACACCGCAGTTTTGAAAACGCCCGTCGAGCATCCTCTAGAGTCAAGTAAGCCCAAGCCGGCCAGTGAGCTTACCGACGACCAGCTTCAGAAGTACGAATGGCTGTTGAACCAGGTCAAGCACTGGTCCCAGCCAGACTCGGGGGTCACGGTCCCCAAGGACGCGCCAAAGGATCTCACAGATGACGAGAGGCGCTGGCTCACAAGAGAATGCCTTCTCCGCTACCTTCGCGCCACCAAGTGGGCCAAAGAGCACTCGGAGAAGCGTCTGATATCCACGCTGCTCTGGCGCCGCGAGTTTGGGGTCTACGAGAAGTTGACGTCGGACCACATCTCGCCCGAGAACGAGACGGGCAAGCAGCTCATCCTGGGCTACGACAAGGAGGGCCACCCGTGCCAGTACCTGATACCAGGGCGCCAGAACACGGAGCCCAGCCACCGCCAGGTCGAGCACCTCGTCTTCATGCTCGAGCGCACCATCGAGCTCATGCCCCCCGGCCAGGAGATGCTGGCGCTGCTCATCAACTTCAAGACCAGTGCCACCAGGTCCTACACGGCACCGCCGCTGAGCCAGGCCAAGGAGGTGCTCAACATCCTGCAGACGCACTACCCCGAGCGCCTGGGCAAGGCACTGATCATCAACGTGCCGTTCCTGGTCAACGGCTTCTTCAAGCTCATCAGGCCGTTCCTGGACCCCGTCACCAAGGAGAAGATGAAGTTCAACGAGGACATGAAGCAGTACGTCCCCGCGGAGCAGCTGTGGACCGAGTTCAGCGATGGCTCTCTCAAGTTCGAGTACGACCACGCGGTCTACTGGCCGGCGCTCCAGAAGCTGTGTGAGACGAGGAGAGAGTCCGAGAAGAAGAGGTGGGTGGAGGGCGGCAGCGTCATCGGCGAGTCGGAGCTGTACCTCAAGGGCGCCACCGAGAAGGGCGTGAGCAGCCTTGTCGACGATGCGGCCGATGCTGTCAAGGAGAAGCTCGCCGTCGGAGACGGTGATGCGCAAACAGCAGGTAATGGTGCAGTCGAGGAACAGCCTGCAGCAGTGGGCAGCGCGGCGTGAGAGACTGAGGTCGAGAATATCTGCTTGGATTGGAGCCGGGACATGTCCTCCAAATGAAATGTAATATGCTCACTGCATACTGATGAAGAAGATTTCAAAGCGCGATAGATACCTCTCCCGTAATTAGAATAAGTTTATTTTTATTTTTTTCCCTCCGTGGGGGTCTTGATGCAGAGACATAGACATAGAGTGTAGAAACCAAGTCGTATCTTGGCGTTGGAGAAGTGCCATCCCCTGCGGTGTCCCAGCAGCGCCCACACGCCCCTGCTTTATCGTGGATAAGCCTCGGGCCAGCTCTGGCATCGACTTCACACATGCAACCCCCCACACTGCTTCCCCGACGTAGACGCCAGCGACATCTTGAGGCCGACCATTGGACCGCGCCCCGGCTTACGAGGAACACGAAATAAAGCACAAGCGACCAAGACACTCACACACAAACAAACAAACAAACAATGTCCAGTATACCAACACACAAGTCAGCAGCAAGCAAAGATGCCCTGCCGCCGCCGGGCAGCGGGCTGCGGTACCCCACGAGCGGCAAGACCATCTACCACCGCCCGCTGAACCGGTCGCGCACCTCGGAGCTCAGCCAGGCCAGCTTCGCATACCTGTTCGCCGAGATGATAAGCTATGCGCAGCGCAGGGTGACGGGGATCCAGGACCTAGAGAAGAGGTATGTCATTGATGCCCCCGAGAGGCCGACCACGTCTGCCACCCACCCGCCCCCCCCCCCATCTTGGATATGGAAAGAAGAACCAAAAGCCAGAACCAAGCTGACCAAGACCCGCCACACAGGCTCAACGTCCAGGGCCACCCGATAGGCCTCAAGCTCCTAGACCTCCTCCTCTACCGCGAGCCGCCGCGGCAGCAGGCCCGGCCCAGGGACATCATCACGCTGCTGCACCTGATCAAGATCCAGCTGTGGACGCACCTCTTCGGGCGCCAGGCCGACCAGATCCAGCGCTCCAGCAACCCGGACACCCCCGACGAGTACATGATCATCGACAACGAGCCCCTCGTCAACGCCTACGTCAGCGTGCCCCGCGAGATGTCCCAGCTCAACTGCGCCGCCTACGTCGCCGGCATGATCGAGGGCGTCTGCGACGGCGCCGGCTTCCCCGCCCGCGTCACCGCCCACAGCGTCGGCGGCCAGGCTGCCGCGGGCGGCGCCGATGGGGCCGGCGCCGGCGGTGAGGCTGGCGCTGGGGCTGCTGCCGCGGGCGCGGTCCAGGAGATGTGGCCTGGCAAGACGGTGTTCCTCGTCAAGTTTGCTGGCGAGGTGCTTGAGAGGGAGGCGTATCTTGGTGTAGCCAAGTGAGAAGGAGGGTCATCGAAAACAACCAACCCGAGACCGATCGCTTGGCGAGGCTCAGCGGTGCCGTGACGGTGGTCTACGGCTTCTACGTGATATTACATCTTTGCATGGCCTGGCGTTGGGGATATTGGGGGACTCGGGAGAGGAATTGCGTGCGGCTTGTTGGCGGGCCGGTGCTTTAGAAAGACTTGAACCATTACAGGGGCATGACCGCTTTGGAAGGCCCGATTGGTGAGGGTATAGAAGAAAAAGACAGGCTCCAATATCGCAATTGGGCGACCACCTCGCCAGTGACGAGTTGTGCCGCGGGTATCAAATGTACAAACTCCAGCTCCCCAGACCGACATGTCGCCCTCCCGACAGCGATCCGATGAGAGACATCCGGCTCTTGGACCTCACAGCCAGCACGATTCCAAACACCACAACACCACACCACCACGCCCTGCCCCTCTACCTAGGCAACCGACTGGGCCCCTTCTTGCCCCCGGGAGCACCAGCGCCAGGGCCACCACTGCCGAACTTGCCCTTGGCGCCGCCCTTGCCCCACGCGCCCGGCTCCGGCCCCTTGGCCATGAGCTCGGCGAGGCCAAAGTCGCGCCAGGCGGGCTCGCGGCGCAGGGCGGTGGCCTTCTGGATGCCGAAGGCGGCGTGCTGGTCGGGCACGACGTCGTCCTCGTCCTCCGGGTTCACGGGCTGGTGGTGGGCGGGCACGTAAATGTCGTCGGCGGGGAGGCGGTCCTTGGCGAAGGCCTCGAGGAGGTCGGCGTCGCGCGCGCGGTGGAGGTGGAGGGACGTGAAGTGAGCGTCTTTGTTCTGGCGGTGGTGGTGGCGTGCGTGTTAGTTGTACCCTGTGGGAGAGCTGGGGTTCTTTTGTGTTGTCTGGGCGTGGGTTGATATGCTGGAGGGCTGCTTCACAGCCGGAGGGCTGGTTTTATACTTACCATGGCGGAGGTGGGCACTCGTCCAATGCGCTTGTCAATCTCTCTTGTCGACTCGAACAGCGGCGGCCAGTTCTGCCCGAGAGCTGTATGATGTCGCTGTGGTCGGTTCTGCTGTGGCTGTTGTTGTTGCTGTTGTTGTTGTTGTCGTCTTTGTTGCGGCTGTTGCTGGGGCCCACCCCCACCAGTGATCCGGGTGGCCATCGCCCAGCAAGCTGATAGAGAGAGTTCTGGGGTTAGGGTAAGACAGCCAGTGTAAGTGAGCCTCGTGTTGTATGAATATCATCAGACGAGACCGTCACGACGACAAGGGGGCACAACAGCTCCACCCTCTTCTCTCTCGGGGTGATGCAAATGCCATTGCCGAGTTGAAGGTTCCAAAGCCCCTGATTGCGTGGTCTGCCTACTTCAGCCGGGCGCTTCTGCGCGCTTGCTAAATAAGGGAGGGCAGGACAATAACACGCTGGGCGTTGCACTTTCCCTTGGTCGATACTAGCTCCCGCCTGCCCGCTGGGTTGGCTCTGGTCCTCTCTGGTCCGGCTCTGCGGCTCAGGCTGTCGAGCAAGAGCCGGGATACCTGGACCTTGCCGTTCTGGTTCCTGCAGCAAGGCGACCTGACGACTCGCTAGCCTTTCGGTGTGCAGCGACATGCCTGGTCGACCTGGTCTTTTTTCGGGTGGTGCCATCCATGCCAACAGTCAACCTACTTACTTTGTGGAATGCTCTCTGCTGACCTACCAGTGGGCACCTAATTAGATACCTACAGTATATAGAACCACTCACTTCTGTCTCAAACACACTCGCGGCACCCATCTCGACTACGGGCATCCACCAACCCAGCCAGCCCTAATGGCAGCGCCGAGGTCGGGCCAGGACAGGGCAGGACGAGGGAAACGGAGAATCTGTTTCGATTGCCGGTCATCATACCACAGCAGAAAGAGATGACACCTTGTGGCCGGGGGTAGGCCCATGCTGCAGTTCAGACATCAGACGAAACAGCCATACGTGGTTGATGTAGCTCAATTCGATTCATCTGATTCTTGGATCGAGTAACAAGCCAATTGAGGTGGGCCCCGGCGAACCCACCAAACTCTCCTCCTCCAAGCACAGGTCCAAGCTCGCATCTGTCCCACTCTTGGGACTGCCTGCGCGCACTCACTTGCCCCCCGTGTGACGTCGGCGACACGTTATGCTATATGATATGCTACGTTCATAATATTCTTTTAGGTTGTCTTGATGATGCTATCTGACGCAGGTTCAAGTAATTCGAGTAACGCCGTGGAATGCAATCCTCCCCCGCCGAGCTTGTTTGTGCTGTGGGTGTGCTCTGGTAAATGTGGACGAGATCCAATTTCTTGATCCAAAAATGCCGTATCCCACCAGAGTTGGCTGCTGAGTGAATGGGGAACATAACATCAGGCCAGAAAAAATCGTCATACACACATCAATAATTTCATGCTTGCATAGGCTCAGCTGCTGCTGCCCCGGGGATCGCGACCGCCGGGGCACTGTCATCTGCCGACTCCTTGGAGTCCTCTGTGGCCGTTGACGGGGTCGACTGGCCCGTCTTCTCGGCCACGTACTTTTCGGCCGCCGCTTTGGCGGCCTCTATCCGCGCGTTGTGAGAGTCCAGCACCAGCTTCAGCTCGGGAGGGGGGTTGAAGCCCGGGTGGTCGCAGTGCCTCTTGTAAAAGTAGTTGTCCGCCTTGGGGCGCAGCTCGGCCGGCATGTCCGTCAGCACGCACTCGAGGATGCCGTCGATCGACTTCTGTTTTGACGAGTCACGGTGCCATATTGTGATGAGGTGAGAGTTGAAGCGTACGGAGAGCCCGACACCGCAGAGTTGGTCGCCTGGAATTGTCATGCTTGGTCAGCCTTCTGCCCTGTAGAACCGGGACGGGCGCCATGGCGCCATTGGAAATGCTCACCCTCGTCCAGGGCGGCCTGGAGCTGCTCGCCAATGGCCATCAGCTGCACCCGGGTCCAGAAGTCTGGCCCGATGTTCTTGCCCACGCGGAAGGTCCAACTCCCGCCGAGGATGTTGCGCCGGTCCTCCCATATGGGCTTGAAGCCCTGCTTGAACAGGTAGAGGGACTCGCGCATCTTGATCTGGTCGACGGGGGTGTTGTTGGCATAGCGCCAGAAGTCCTGGACGGACTCGATCTGGGAGCCGAGCTGCTCGAGCTGGGCCTGGTACTCCTGGCCATCGTCTGTCTTCTTCTGCTCCTTTTGCTGTCTGTCCAGAGAGGCCCGGGTTAGCTTCGGACAAGGCAGGTAGGTAGTTGGAAAGGGTACCAGGGGGGCAGGGGGGCAGGAGGGCATACCTGTCAAAGTAGACGTTCCAGTAGTGCTGGGTAGGCAGAGGGCGCATGGCCTTGAGGAAGCCCAGCTTGGAGTCTGCTCGCTGCTCCGCGGGGGAGTTGACGTTGGGCGAGCTGGGGTCAGAAGACTGGGACAGGTTGGAGAGCCCGCGGGTGAACATGCTCAAACTTGGTCTTGAAGCCATGGCTGCAGGTGTTGGAGGGAGGAGCCGAGGGGATGTTGCAGTCGGATGGAGGGGCAGGGGGTGGGAGGCACAGAGGCAGTCGCCGGTTGGGAGAGGAGTCGAGGACAAAGCGGGCCGCGATGATGGGCTTCGAGGTTCCTGTTCCGAAGGGGTCGCCTTTGTCGCCGTCGTCCTTGTAGTTGAGAATTGGGCGGTCGCAGGGGGGCAGGGGAACAAGAGAGGTTGCAGGATAGAGGATGGTGTGAGGTGCGTGAAAGCGAGAGAGAGGCACGGCACGGCGGCGGTGGTGTTCGTCGCTGGCTGTATGTACTATGTAGTGGTGGGGTGTGGAGTTGCAGGTCTGCAGGTCTGCAGGTCCGGTCGAGGTGGCCACGGGGCCGCCAGCACACGGGAATGGAGGGATGGCTGCCAGGCTTGCCAGGCTGCCAGGCTGTACTCCGTAGACTAGTACACGGCAGGCCTGCAGGGTGCAGGGGACGGAGATCAACTGATGGAGGGGAAGGAGGAGCTGTGTGGGGTCCTGGTGAAAAGGGGGCCCCAGCAATAGACGTCAGGAATTACAGTACTGTGATGGTGGTATGTATCACTGTATTACAACCTGCCCAGTCTCGGCGGTTACGGCTGGTCTTTTGCGGCTGATTGGCCAGTCAGTTCTCTGGTGTTCCAAGTCGAATCCAGGTTGGTTGGTTGGTCTGGCCGTGTGTGACTGAGACGCAGGAACAGCCCAGCCAGTCAGTGGCAGGATATGATGGGGTGGATATATCTTGGACTGAGCGGGACAGGACGAGGAGGACCACAGTCAATGGGCAGGCAGGCAGGACAACAGCAAAATGCACCTGCAGCAGGATGGAATGGAATGACCGTGCTCGCTGGGCGATGACTGACTGGCTGGCTGGCTGGCTGGCAAGAGAAGCAGTAGAGAAGGAGAGGGAGCACTGTACGTTGGTCAAGACAGACGGGGAGCAAGGGTTTAGAAGGGCATGTGCTGTGGTAGATGTCTGCGCTAGAATGAGTAGAAGAGCCTCAAGTCTCGAGGAATGGGCGTTTTAGATGTGAGATGTGTGCCTGTTTCCAGTTGCATTCCCTGACCAGGGTCCAGGGGCTACTGACTGTACTTACTGCCAGCCAGCCGGCCAGGCCAGGCCAGGCCTGTCGAGGAGCCAGTCAGTCAGTTGGTTAGTTGGTCAGTCAGTCAATAGCCTCCCAAGGCTGGTCCTGATCCTGAAACGACAGGATTGGCTCGAGCTTGGGTGCCGGCCCGCGTCCCAAGGCGGGCTGGTTTGAGATTCTCCCGGGTTGGACGGGGCAGCCGGGGGTGGGCTCTGGAAGTTGCCCCCGTAGTTGCCCTGCAGGTGAGCCAAGTGCCGTATCCGTCCAGCCCGTCGCGCCGTTTAATTGCCGGGACCATAGCTCCAAGGCTGTTTAAGGACATGCTTGCTTAACATGGGTTGGGCGTCTCGTCTCTCCTTGATTTCTAGAACAAGAGAAGAGTCTCGACTACACGACTCGGTGCGAGCACACTGCAATAGGCAGTACGACCCCCACACACCCACCCCACGTGCTGGTCAAAGGAAGGCTCATGATGCCTGGCTCTGGCCAGACCCTGAGGCCGTCGAGGCCATCATGACAAAGTCGAGGCTCAAAGGAAACAGATTCCAGCCTTTGGTGCTTCTCCGCTTTTGGTTTCACCGCAAAAGGGACGAGCCTCAAAGGCCGCCCAAGCCTCGACCCCAGCCGGCCGCCCATGCTTGCACCGCAGGCTGAGGCTCAGCCTTACGAGGCCACAAAGGCCGGCCTCGTTTCCACAACTGCAACTGCAACTGCAACTGCAAGTGTGACAGGCAGAGCGGGAGCACCTCTACCAGCCAGCCAGCCAGCCAGCCAGCCGGCCAATCAACCAACCAACCAACCAACCAACCAACCACAGATAGGCTGCAGCACCAGGAGCCGCACCATCGTTGTAGCAGCAAAGAGTGCCCGACTGGCTCGGGCATTCTTTGGAAGCCCTGGTCTTGCCCCGGGTGCCTAGAGTCTGTCTGAATCTCCATTCAATTGCCAATCTCCGTCCCCCCGGTGTCCGTGTCCGTGCTGCAACAACCTCGAGGGTGCGAGAGAGATATAGATATCCCTTTTTTTCCAGACAACGCCAATGCCAATGCCAACGCCTTATCGTTCAGCCGATTTCTGACCTCTCATACCCTCCTCGAGAAACTTGGACTCAGACAGTCCTGGCCCCGTGTGTCCCAGGTCATCCCAAACCGCCTCCTCCATTCCTCGCCCTCCTCCCGAGCTAGAATAGCTCCGTCAGCCGTTCCGCGCCGGGCCTTGTCTTTCGCAAGCTGCACTCCAGCGCTGCTGCTTTCGTCGCCCCCTCCCAGAAACACCCCACCCCATCCCAGTTCGGCGCCCGAAATCCTATTGAATGCCCTCTGTTCCGCCACGGCCATCCAGCCCGTAAGTCAGCAAACCATGTCAGGCAGCATGCTCGGGGCAAAGTTGTAGCACAGATGCTGATCGTCTTCTTTCGCCCACACAGTTCGCCCGTCATCAACCTCTGATCTATTTGCCTCTCGCTTTGTCCTTGCGTCCCCCACGTGGCAGACGGCTTGGAACATTTGAATCACGATCACCACAACCGCCGAGGGTGCTTGCAAAAGAGAGCCACTTCCTCCGTCTATTTCATCCTGCCCGTCTTCCTCCCTCCCTCCCTCCCTCTCTCAGGCAGTACTAGTCCTGATTCCTCTCGACCAAACAATCAACCACCACCCCAGTCTGCCTGATTCGTCTCGAGGCGTTTGAGCAAGAGTCAGTGTCGTTCACGCCAAACAATCTTCCGCGCGCCTTCCAATCTGCAAGCAACCCCGGTCGGGCGCCCAGTGTAAGTACCTACTCGCTTCGATTGTCATCCCATCCCAACACCATCACCCCCGGCGGACTTTCTCCCCGCGCATATGTTATCAGCAATTTCCAGCCCTCGGGCGAAATTCAATCCGAATGTTTCCATCATCCACGATTCACATGCCCGGACGACTGTTCCGAGCCGAACGCATCATGACAGCAGGCACATCAAACCATTAGTTAATTCCCTGCGCCTCCGACTGATCATCTACCATAGACACAACCGCCAAACCCCAACAAGCTCCCAAAACCTCAGCAAGGGGTTACGCAGAGCCAACCCTCCCATCCCAAAGACACCAACCAGCCAGATCCAACACTCCAACCTCCTCACACAATGGCCCGCGTCACCTCGCCCCGGCCCTCGAGCCGCCACAACGTCACAGACCAGCCCAGGAAGCTGTTCATCCGCATCTCCGCCGACAAGATGCGCTGGTACAAGAACCAGGAGGCACGCGAGCGCGAGGCGTCCCGGCCCTCGACCTCTTCCTCTCCGTCCACATCACCCCGGCGGCTACGCATCAGCCTGAAGCGCCGCGAATCCTCATGACACACACAACACCAAGCCAGAAGAACCACGACTCTCCTTTTTCTTTATGATACGGCCTAGCCCGTTCACGTACAACGAGGAATCTCGATTCGGTCTTTCCTTTCTTGTGTCTTTTTTTTTGTTTTGCTTCTTCATGCGTCGTTCCTTGTGCAGCCAAGAAGCCGAGGTGGCCTGGCAGGGAAGGGGGAACGGGGAACAAGGGCACCAATTGTTCCACAATGTATTCCGGCGAAGGCGTTTCACGGTGGGGACAGCCCCCCATAAAGGGGCGGGGGACGATATATTCTCCCCCTAAAAGCCTTTCCGTCCGACCGATAGACGGCGGCTACAGGACTCTTACAGGCGTTACCAAGGAAAACCGGTTGTCATTTTGTCATTTTGAAAGGCGACGGGAGGGGAGAGGAAAGACGATACTCCTCGTGGTTGACGAATAAGCCTACCACCCCCCTGCGGGCCATGGACGCCTAGGTTCTATATAGGCGGGTAATTACTGTGGAATATGAGAAGGTGACCACACCACACTTATGGTTGATACATCCTCGTTGGCTAGTTACAAGCTTCGTTTCCAAGGAGCTCCTTGCAAGAAGTCCTACCACCAGGGAAGCGTAAGAAAAGGACCTGCACGGAGGATTACTGGATAGACGTCGACCGGCGGCAGACACCTGGGATTATCATTTCCACTAAGACCGCATGACTGCCACATTTCCAAAAACGGAAGAGGAAACAAGTGTCTTACCAGAGCCCCATTGGTTTGACTCCCTTCTTGATTGATCAGAAGTCGTCCCCTAGACTACCAAGTGACAGGTACTCCTAGGAGGCAATCCGCTTGGTCATTTCTTCATTCGAGGTACTCATAGCATGTTATGCCGTCGAAGAATAGCAATTTATACAGTAGTCAGTGTTCTAATGGTTCTTTGCCCAAGAGGAGGATATCCTGGAGAAGGCTACGAGGTCACTCTTTAGCAACTTGCCCGTATAGGAGGCTACCCTATGATGCTATGAGGTTTCTCCGCGGCAAGCTAACCCATAGGAGACTGAAGAAGACAGATGCCGTGGCCGCGCGGTGGACAGTCGTTAGAGCTTGTGGTGGAGATCAATCAGAACAAACATTTCGTTGTAGGGAACTGAAATTTTCCTGCAAAGCAGAGCAAGATGTTGATTGTAATTACCTAGGTATGTTACTTGGGCACATACCAATCTGGAAGCCACTCCAGGCATCCGTGTCAGCAGAACACACGTAGTTTGGGCCACTAAGACCACCGCAACCGTTCTGCTTTCCTTTTTTTCCCCTTTGCTCAAAATAACAATCATCACTTCCCAACTCCAGACCCCATCTGTCCTTTGGTTGCTTATACCAAGCACTTTTCCACTAAATCACCATATCATACACCGTCCGTGCGTAAACATTACCAACTAAGGCTCATTCAGTTTGAAAACCTGAACCGAGCCACGTGATGCACTGGTGAACAAGTACCATATTCACTCTTCTCGAATGTTTTCATCCTCCTCGATCAGCCTCCCAAGTATGAGACTCTGGATGACAAGTTCATCACTCAAAGTCCGGATCTTTTTCGGACTCCAGGCGTCGGTGGTGCTTTTCCGCTTCCGCTTCCTGATGGCAGCGGGTGCCGTGGAGGCCGAGCCCGTCTTGTCTGTGAAGAGAGCATTGCCGCCACCTATGTTCTCATCGGGGTAGACCCAGTCGTAAGGGCGACCAGTATCCTCACTCTCCTTGAGCTGCTTCCTAGCCTCGCTGATCGTATAGACAATAGAGACAGATGCGCCAAGAACACGTGTGAGGAAGACATACGCCTCCTTTTCATTCTTGTCTTGCTTCCGCAGCACAAAAAGAACCCGCGATCCACGTAACAGCCGTGATCGGGTCTCGATCACCTCGCTCAGCTTGGCCGACGCCGCGTCGTACACGACCATGGTTCGTGACTTTATGGCGTCTCCGAGGAACGTCGAATTGCCTGCGCAGAGAAGGTAGTCGGACCAGTCAACCAATTTTTGTTTCTCGATGCACCTTGTAATCCATCGTTTGTGGATACAAGGGATGCCAAGGGCAAGCGCTTGCATGTATTTCTCCTTTCGTGAGTGGCCGTCCGCAATAAGAGCAGTGAATCCAGTCTCTCTCGCAGCGGCGGTGAGTTTGATCTCCTCGTCTGGCCGAGGCCTCGACGAAGCCACTCCGGCGTGCTTGACTGCTCTGGCCTCAAACAATTTATCAAACCCACTCTCCAGAATACTTCCGCCCCCTTGCTTGATCTGGGTTTCCACCAACATCTGTTTGCCCGCTCTCGAGTTGTAGTCACTGTCTGTCTCACCGCGCTGCTGGGCCTGAAAAGAGACGGCAAAAGCCATTCCTGCAAACAAGTTTGCTCCGCCCGCACGACTGGAGTCTCGAGAAACTGGGGTCTCTCTTAGCGACCTTCGGCCGAGCCTGGACAACATCGCGGCCTGTCCGAAAGTTGTTGACGCTGACGACGCTGGTGATCTTCCTAGCTCGTCCGTTGACACAGAAGCCCCACGGGCGAATGATGTTGCGGATCGCCTGGTTGATGTGCGAAGGCTCCGTGAGGAAGCCACGGCAGGTTTTGGCTTGACCGCCGCCACTCTGCCTCTGTTGCGGCCGACCTTAGCGGCAGTGGGGGATGATGTATGAGGCTCAGCAGTCATGCCGAGCCGCTTGTCTGCTCCATCTGGTGAGTCCTCCGTCAGAGGAGTCGTCTCGCTGGAGACATTGGGCGTCACTGTCAACGCACTCAGAGAAGAACCTGAGCTGCCGGGAACTGGCGGGCTCGTGTTGTGACCTTGGTTGCGCGAAGAGCGGAGCTTTGCTCTAGTATTCAAGGCCGGAACGGTTGGGCGAGACCCGATAACAGGGCTCGTGTCCGCCACCTCGAAAAAGTCTTGATCCACACACCCCTTTGAAGTCGAGCACCTGCGTCTTGCTCGAGATGTGGCATTCGGGGCGTCGACCCCTGATCTACCCTGGCGCATAGCCGGCGGGTGGACCTCTAAACCTGAAATATCCCGGCCACCTGATGAGGTTGGATCGACTGCGTGACGGTTCTCCGGCGAGCTCGTCGGATGGCTACTGGGCAAGAGAGCAGTAAAGGATTCTTGTTTTGAACCGCCGCCAGATGAGAACGGACCGATTTCGCCGAAAGGCCTTGGTTGTAGCATGACAGGGCTCGTTTCTGGGACGGGATCTGGCCCAGCTTCTCCTGTTGCACTGGCTCTGAGCAGTGATTCGGGCGTTGATTTCGACGGAGGTCTGGGCGAGCCATCTGGATTGTCAGTAGGAGACCCGATAGCGCTCCGGGCCGTGTTTGGCAAAGTTGCTAATACCACAGCATCGTTGCTTGACATGTGAGCAGCATGCTCGGATGGAGGTGGCATGCCGCCCTGCGAATCATCAATTACTGCGTCCCCTCTGTCGTCTCCCCCAGAGGGAATGATAAGGCGGTTTTGTGAGTCCTCCACAGTGGTCTGAGAATAGTCGCCGGCCCTGCCCTCGCATTGATCGCGGTACTGCTGTGAGTCTGTCTTCTGATTGTTGCCTCGCTTCGTGTTTGTCGAAGGGACTACAGCTTCCTCGGACGGAGATCGGCGCTCGCACTTGATAGATGCGAGCTTTCTGTCCACCTTGGTTCGCTTGGAGTGTACCTGGTAATGCCTGCGTATTGCATCGTCCTCGCTTGCATCGCTTTCCGACTCATTCCCAGGAGCATGCTGGGGAGATGACTCCAACTGTCGCTGAGACGCGTACAACGGCTCGTAATCTTCTGCCAGGCCCCTCGGGAAGGTGCGCGTTGGCTGCAAAGGAGTTGAATCAACGGGTGCGCCTGTCAAATCAACCACTCCATCACTGTGGTGGCGTGGCGAGGTATCATCGGGAATGGAAAGTTGGGGGCTCGAGGCGGCGCCTTGGAGCTGCTGCTGACCCGTACCCAGATTCTTCAACGGCGAAGAGATGAAAATGTTTGGGGAGATGGCGTTTTGCGGGTGGAAGACATCAGGTGATGGCCGTGAGGAGGTAGGGCTGGCCACCTTGTAGGCCGACGAGACTTGAGTCTGGCCAAACATCTGTGAGGCAGGCAGCAAGTGCGCCCTGCTTCCAGCAAACGGGTTCTTATGCGTCGCTGGCGTCTCAGGATTCCGTGGGAAACGATCAGGCGAGAGATTGTCGCTGTACTCGTCAATGTTGCGAAAGTTGACAGCACAAGTGTCATCTTCCTGCAGGGTTCTCTCGCCATCGCCAGAATGGGATGTCTGTTGTGTGTCCAGCTCGGGCTGCTCAACGGGGTCCGTCGAGATCATATCGTCCCCGCGAGAGATGTACTGCTCGTAGCTGCGCCCATCGTTCGACTGGGTCGGCGATTGAGAGGGGTCCATGTTGCGCCTTTGTGGGTTTGGCTGCTTGACTGGCAGTGACGTCGGGTCATTCGGGTTGTTGGCATCATCGTTGGGTGCAGTCAATTGTGCTGGATTGACTGCCCCAGGAAGAAGCCCCGTCTTTGAAGTCAGGCGTGTGCCAGCGTCGTCGTGCCGCTGTTGAACAGGTCTACCAGCGCTTTGTGAGCCAAGGGCAGGCTGAAGTTGCCCAGTAGTGGTAGTATCAGCAGGAGCGCGACTGTTGGACGCGTTGGCCCCCCTGGATACGCTACCCCCTGGTCGGGTTGCTACACCCTTGGCCCGGGCCCCCTTGCAGCTACCAACCATGGTGGGGTTTTTGGCTCTACCCCGCGATTTTGTCTGCACTTCCACTTCTTTTGATGCATTTGTAGGCTGTTTCGACGATGGCTTGCCAACGAACTGCTGATGGACTTTTGGTGGTCTCGGGTGTTTCTGGGCGTCGGCTAGCACCTCTGCCAGCAACTCGTCTGCGGGTAAGGGCTGGGACGGAGAACTGCTACAGACGCCGACACCGAACTCTTGATGGTAGAAGCCCATAACTTGTTGCGTGTCCTGGCTTTCAACCTTGCCGGAAAGCGCAGCCTCTTCAGCTGCTCTCTTGGGCGACGGCATCTTTCGCGATCATCGTTCATAGCGATCGATCGTCACGGTCGGCCGCGGGGTGGTAGGTGGGCTGCGGGCTGCAGGCTGCAGGCTGGGGTCTGATGCCCGCTTCGAAGAACGACAACACAGTCTCGTTGTCGCGTTGTGAATGGATCAAGTTGGTAGCCCATTCCCCGGCTCTTTTTTCTACGGGACGGTAAAAGGGAGAAAATGGGCAGTTGACCGTCGTCGGAAACGGAAGCCGCGCATGATCGCGCTTACTCGATGACCACCTTTCCTGGCGCGAACCTCTTGGCCCGCGCGATCCATTTCGGGAAACGCGAAGGCACGTGTTACTTTGTTACAGAGTATGAAGTATAAGACACCCCTAACCCTTCAGAGCTACTCAACTGTTCGAATTGTTCGATTGCGTTTCTGCGGGGAAGGCGCTGGTTTAGTTTCATGGGCGTGACAGGGAAAGAGCTTCGAGGGCAACCCTGCATCGTTCGGTGTTTTTGGGGTCATGTTCGTGTTGGATGTTTCTTTGCATTGACGCCCGCCCATGTTGACGTGTTTGCCCCGGCGTCCGTTCGACGGCCGATCCCCTCTGTCCCAAAGCTCACAGGACTTCATACCTCTCCTATGTAATGGCTTTCTGAAGGGGGAGCCTGCCATCTACTACCACAGGAGGTGCCATGCCAACCTCGTGTGGGAACTTATAAAACTTCCAAGGTTGATATACTATAAGCTCTTATAGATGACCGCTTGTTCGTGCCACGAGATGACTCAGTACCTAGATAGGGGAAATCAGCCACAAGGGCTCCGCCATGATGTGTTGTTATTCCTCCAAGGTATGGCACGGTAATGTGATGCAAGGAACAGCACCGCCTGCCATCCAGCCTTGAATTTGGCGGGTGTCGCTCGTGGCCGTTGTGCCTTGAATTTGGTCCCACCTATACAGCCCCGTGTTATTCATCGCAGTCTTGAAGTTATAGCCTTCCCATTTGAAAAATCATCGAGTTGGAGTTTGTAGTAATTCACGGCATATTTGTTCCTCTGGTCTGGTTGACGGCACACTGCAGCTTGGTACTTGGCCCCGTCGCCGGATGAGCTTTGTTTGATGGCCCCAGCGCCGTTGCCCTGACACTTGCAAAAGTGGATCCTCAGATCAGTGCAGGGGTCCTTGGTCCTGCTGGACACAAACATTTACACGGAGGGAAATGAGTCTCGCACCATCATGCGTGCGGCCTCTCGGGATCGGTGCAAAACACAAAGCACACGTGCAGTTATAACCAGCTGTTGGGGACGGACAGCCTTCTTTCTCGTCTTGCTCCTCTCCACCCGCTCGATTCGTCCGTCTGTCTCGACCTCGACCGCGATTCTGCACGTCAACTGGCCTGCTCCACCCCTTACCCAGTAATACCCACGCATCTCCCCTTTACCGCATCGTCGGCTCCACCCCACCTTGCCCGCCCATCCACTGTCCTTCATTTCGAACCTTGGGGCTGGTCAGGCAGTCTCGCAGTCAGGCCAACGCCAAAGCCAAAACAGACGGCCCGCTGACAGCGCGGGCAGCCTCGAGCCCTCGAGCCCTCGACAGACAGGCCACAGACAGGCCTGCCGGAGATTGCCACGTTATTGGAAGCCGGTCGAGCTCATATACCCCCCCATGCTTCCACGCTCACCCCGACAGCCCGAGCAGCGTCCACGGATTTCCCAGGCATTACCACAGGCACACAGCTCAACGACGACCCCTCGCCAGCCCGGCTGCCCGGTTGACTGGCCTTACCGCTTCCACTCTGCAGCCCGGGAGATTTCCCTGGCTCAAGCTGCCTAGCCCCCGGGGCTTCAGGAACAAGGGTCAGGCGAGGCGACACCACCACCCAATGGTTGCGGCTTGGCTGGGGATTGACCTGGCCAACCCGGTGCCCCTGAGTCTGGAACAAACCTTCAATTCTTGCCCATGACCGCTCCTCTGTTTGCAATTTGCTTTCTGACTGCCGCTTCCCACGCTCTTTTGCACGACCAGCGCTTGAGCCGTATTGAGTACAAGGCTTTTGTCCACAGGCAACGCATAGGCAACGCCCACCGGCGCCCTCATCGCGCTCCGTCCAGTCATTTGGTTAAGATTATCACCACCAGGAGGCGCAGAGCCCGCCCCATCCCGCACGTGTCACCCTCCTCTTCAGCCCACACTCTCTGCCAGCTGCCTCTTAAGAGGTCTTGGGCCACTGTCCGTCGCGTGTCACGGGCCAACATGGACGACATGACGCCCAACCGAGTCGTTCACTCCAGAACTCTGTCCGGCCACAAGAGACAGAGCTCGAGGGCTTCGGTACCAGAAACGATGCCGCCGCCGCCGCCGCCAGCAGATGATGCCCTGTGGTCACCCGCATCCTCATTCGGCGCGCGATCTACACGCTCCCTGTCCACCACCTCTCGGAACTCAAACAGACTCTCATTGACCTTGCCAATCGCACCGCCATCAAACTACCCGTCACGTCCAACGCCCATCAACACCAACGCCCCGTCCTTCCCCCCAACCCCGAGGGACACTCCTGTTGTTCGGTCCCCAACAGACGCCAATGACTTCATCCATGCCATTGCTGCTCAGGAGAGGCGTGTGTTGGAAATCCGCGAAGAGCTGAAAAATGCAGAGGCGGAATTGACACGACTCAAGAAGCAGTGGGGCGCCTTCGACTCGGTCAGAAAACGCAACGCCATGGTCAATGGGGAACCGTTGCGGCCGGCCCAGTCCGTCCACAACTCTCCCGCTGCTGATGATGTCGAGGCCACCCGGCGGAGTATCGAGCTGGACCGCAGGAGGACCATGATGATGAACCAGCAGCTCAGCAAGGAGGGCACGCCCAACTCGGGGAGACGACGCGTCATCCGTGGCGGGCATACTCGGGCTCTGTCGCTCCTTTCTCCCACGAAGCCGCAGGAATTCCATCTACTCGACCTTGACGACCCTCTAGGCCCCCATAAGACGCCAGTCAAGAACTCCGAACCTCACCTCCAACACCTCGGCCGCTCTTCACCAATCACCGTGGCTCAACTGAACAAGCGCTCCTCTTGGCAGCCTCGCTCCGCGAGCCCTAATTCCAACAACGGCGTGAAGCAGATGGCGGAGGACTTCAAGGCTGGCCTGTGGACTTTCGTGGATGATCTACGCCAGGTCGCTGTTGGGGACGAGCCCATCAACGGCGGAGGGATCCAGCGCAGAGGTTCCAACAGGATGAGTGACGGCGACAAGGACGGTGACACGATCCGAGCGTCCGTCACCTCCGCGCGTCCTCGCCTGAGCAGCACATTCAGCGACCTGACTCCCACCCCGACCTCGAGATTCACGGACCCCTTGAAGGAATCGGACACGGCCAACCTGGGACGTCCTAGACGGACCAACTCCAAGCGGACGAAGCACTTTTCATGGACCCCCCTCAGCGTCGACTCGTTCGACGACAGCGACTGGTCGAACTGGGACAGCCCTGTGTCTTCATCCCCCCGGTGGAGCGGCACCACCGTTAACGGTGACTTGATCACGCCAATCCCTGAGAAGGGCGACGAAAACGACCCGCCACTGTGAGACGCCCTCCACCCTCCAATCTCGCCCGCCTCCCCCCCTCGTCTGGTTTGCTTCCTGGTTGCTTACTCAAAGCGTCCAAGACTAATCACTGTCCCGCCCACAGCAAGAACGAGACCGCGGCATCGAGCGACTGCGAGCCTCCCCTCTCCCCTTCGCCATCAGCACTGAAGCTGGAGGAGTTGTCGTTGAATGTTATCAACAAGCTGCGGAGCCTTGGGGAGCCTGTGACCCCGCTCAAGAACAAGGCGTGTTAAGAGTTGGTGACTACTTGAATAAGAAGGTGGCGCGGAGGATGAGACGAAGCCTGCAAGGAGGAACGGTCCCGGTGTCTCGCTCTGTCGACGGTGGTGAGACATTGCAAAGAAGACCCGCCAATCACCCAGTGACGCCACCAAAGAGCCCACGCAGTCATTTTACAAATCGTCTCGAATCGTACAAATGCTGGAATGGCCCAGCAGGCGCGTCCTCAGGTCAAGGACGTAAAATATCTCGGGAAGCACGGACAACCACGCACCGCCTTAGAGACGCATCTTGTACAACGCTATGCGAATAAGGAACATAGGATAGAGCGTCGAAAGTGAAACCAAGTGTTTCGGGGCTGTACATACCGGAGGATCACTACAACCCTGGCCCTAGAGCTCTGGACATGTTGGGGCGAACGAGCACCGTTGCAAACTCGAAAGGGCAGCTCAAAATGCGGCCAAAACTTGGAATGGGCGGGGAACGGTGCGTCAGTATTGTATAATGATAATGACCCATCATGAAGGAAATGAGAAGAACAATAAATGTATTAGCATAGTGTAAATCAATAAGGAATTGCTCCATGTATTATTCTATACGAGTACTCTAGATCGTGAGTCCCGATTAAGGGCTCCAGGGTTGGGATGTTGTCAAAAAAACTTCTATTTCTGCCTTGCATGTGTAGCACCCACCATCTGTCTGTCATCAGAGCAATTGTACTTTGACTCCGAGGTTCGGAGGCACGACATGGCCTGATATCACCTCACACAAGCTCAGCCCAAGGTCAAGAACGACAGGTGTGAACGAGACGCGGGCCAAGTGCTAAAAGATGTATGCATTCGATTTGACTATATATGAGAAGCCGCCACCCCCAACGTGTACCTATGCTCGTACCAGGGACGGAACCATGCATGCAAGAATGACGACCCCATCTTGGCGACTTTCCTCTTCGACATCACTTATCTACGCTGATTCTTCTTCTTCTTTGCCACCTGCTCGTCACACAAGAACTGTACACAGGCCAGTCGCTTTGGTTGAGGACCGTTTAGTCATCCATCACAGACGCGAACTTGTCGAGCAGGTCTTGCTGTATACCCTCGTACTGCACAGACAGGAAAATCAGTATTCGTCAAGCACGGGCGAGATACAAATGTGCTGGGTTTTGAGATTGGGCTTACCTTCTTGCCGACAACATCCTCGCCGTCAGTAGGCAGCTCGAACTTCAGACTCCTCAGCTCGGCCTGCAGGTCCTGCGTGGCCTCCTTGACCTTGGCCCAGCTCTGGCCCTGGGCGATCGCCTTCTGGGCCTCGTCGTGGAAGCCGATCATGAGCTTCATCATCCACTCGGTCTTCCAGATAGGGCAGAACTGGTCGTAATCCGAGTATCCGTTCTGCTGCAGGAAGTCCTCCTTCAGGAGCGTGGCGATATCCAGGGTGATCTTGTCCGGGTCAGAAAGCGCAGACTTGCCGACCAGCTGGACGACTTGGTCCAGTTCTTCCGAGTCGGACAGCAGCTGCTTGATACGGTCGCGCAGCCGGGGGAAGTCCGGGTAGTTCTTCTCATACCACTTGTCCAGCACATTGGTGTACTTGGAGTACGATAGGGAAGTGTTGATGGACGGGAAGTGCTTCCGCTGCGCCAGCTTCTTATCGAGACCCCAGAACACCTGTACAATACCGAGGGTCGAAGATGTCACGGGGTCGGAGAAGTCACCACCGGGCGGTGAGACGGCACCCACGATGGAGACAGAGCCCAGACGCTCGGGCGATCCAAGGGACTGAACCTTGCCGGCACGCTCGTAGAAGGAAGCCAGCTTGGCACTGAGGTAGGCGGGGAAACCTTGGTCAGCGGGCATTTCTCCCAGACGACCAGAGATTTCACGAAGAGCCTCTGCCCAACGGGACGAGGAGTCGGCCATCATGGCGACGTTCATACCCTGGTCACGGAAATACTCGGCAACCGTGATACCAGTGTAGATGGAAGCCTCACGAGCGGCGACAGGCATGTTGGATGTGTTTGCAATCAAGGTCGTACGCTTCATGATGGGCTCCTTGCGGCCTTCGACCTCGATGGACAGCTCGGGGAAATCCTTCAAGACCTCGGCCATTTCGTTGCCTCGCTCACCCTACGACTTGTCAGCTGGCTGCTACCAAGTCTGGAAATGCACTGAGCTCATTCCGGAAATGCAACAGATGAATACCACAAAAGGGTCGGAGTAATACTTACACAACCAACATATACAATCACATCGGAGTTGGAGAACTTGGAAACCGATTGCGAAATGACAGTCTTGCCACACCCGAAGGCACCTGGGATAGCAACGGTACCACCCTGGACCGAGGGGAAGAGGGCATCGAGCACACGCTGGCCGACGATGAAAGGCCCATCGGAGGACTTCTTCTCGGTGGTGGGACGAGGGACACGGACGGGCCATGTCTGCATCATGCCGTACTCGGTCTTCTTCCCGTCGAACTCGACCTCGAGGATCTTCTCGTCGACGGTGTACTCGCCCTTTGATACGATCTTGGTGATGGTTCCGCGACCGCGTGGGGGGAAGATGATCTTGTGCTTGGAGATGAACGAGTTCTCGTTGACGATACCCCAGATATCACCGCCTGCGATGTGATCGCCGACCTTCATCTGGGGCTCGAACTCCCACTTCTTGGTACGGTCGAGGGCGGGCACAGCAACGCCGCGGGGGATGTAGATGCTCTGGGCGGCGCCGGCGATCTTCTCGAGGGGTCTTTGGATACCATCATAAATGTTGTTGAGCAGACCGGGGCCAAGCTCGACGGAGAGCGGCTTTCCAGTCCGCAGGACGGGGTCGCCAACCGTCACACCGGCTGTTTTCTCCCCTGTGTCAGTTATTCTATGCGTAGCGATGCAGGCAGCCGGATCGTGGGCGTCGAACCTGTCTCCTCATAGACCTGAATGGTGGCCTGGTCGCCGTTGATTCGGATGACTTCTCCCACTAGTTGGTCGTGGCCGACTTTCACCTGTGTCCTGTAAGCCTACTGCCTTGGGCACCCAGCCGCCGTCCGGTTGTGTCATACCAGCTCGTACATGGCAACCCCAATCATGTCTTCGGCGACCACGACGGGCCTGCATTGTCCATCGTGTTAGCGGTCGGGCTCGCAAGGGAGGAGTCGCGGTGACGCAGCTGGGTCTGTGGGTGACGTTACGTACCCTGAGATGGAGTAAATCTTGCCTGCAGGACGGCACGTCAGCACGAGACAGCACGACGCAACACTGCAGGACAGCTTCGAGGGGTCTTACCAGAATATTCACCGTCCTTGGCGCCATCTTGTTGGGCTTTCTGGACGAGGAGGCAGCTCTGGTCAGCTCGTGCGGCGCGGAGGGCGGGTATCGCTGCACCTGAGCGAATTCCAGAGTGGCGGGCAGCTTGCTTACCGGAGGCATGGTGGGCGGCGTGACCGAGTGTTTGGGATTCTGCTTAGCTGGCGGTGTGGACTCTTGCAGCGCGATGGTAGGGACTCGGTGTATGGTGGCAGGTGTGGAGGGTGTGGCGGGTGAGGGCGAGGGTGAGAATGGCGTGGAGTGTGTGGAGCGCGGCGGCAGGATTGGCGTTGAGGGAGTGTCTGGTAGAGGCAACTGGGAAGCTATCTGGACCTCCTGGTCAAGGTCGAGCTCGGCTGGCAATTGCAGTGGTGATGTAGTTGAGGGGGCCGCTCGAGTGCTCCCTCGCTTGTCACCGCTAACAGCGGTTGGTGTGGGGTCCGCCGCGCCTCTGTTAGAGCGCACCAGCAGCTCCACCAGCGACGGCCGGGCCTTCAACCTGGGCCGTAAGCCAAGCATCGACTTCGTTGCTGTGAAACGTGCGAGCTGCTCGCCTTCTCCAAACTGACTTGTCTGGTCTCTGGGGCAGGGTTGACACACGCAAGTCTCCCAGTTGGATGCTAGACCTTGTCGGGGAGAGAGCCAAATACGAAATGATGCTCTGCAAACGCGATCGATAGAGGGGTTGGGCTGTGTTATTGTCTGTTATTGCCTGTTATCGCCCTGGCATCCGTGTTATTTTGGGCTGGCCCCTTGGCCTCCTCTAAGATGATCACCCTTGGCTCCTGGAGGATCAATCTCGCCCACCCAGTACTCCGTACCAAAGCAGCCCTGCACAACGAAACCATCAGCCACGCGTGGGAGAAGCGGGCCCAAATGCGAGTTTCCGTGAGGCGCTCTCAAAGATCAGGGGCTGGGTCGAAGGACCACTTCCAGCTATCCCCCCCCTACGGCAACGGCCACTGACTTCCTGCCTCAGTCAGACATTCTACGTGTAACATTAAAGAAAGCGGTCAAACAAAAGGAAAGAAAATACCGTTAGATATACTATCAAGGAGCGCTCATTCTTGCCGTCAACATGCTTTCTAGAACATCAAGTTTCACCACACGGCTACGCTACCGGGTACGCGAATTCAGCGAGACAACACACTTAGGTATCTTTAAATAACAACTCAGAGTTTATTTATGTTAATATAGTCGTGCCTCCCGTTGCATTTCTTATAGAAAAACATCCCTCTATCTATTAAGTGGTTATGCTTTGATTTCCATGCCATAACTTCCGTTTCTTCCTCTGGGGCTCATTGCACTCCGGTACTGCTTCCTGCTTCTCTGCCTCATTTCTTCTAGTGCCATCCTGCTCCTTTTCCGTATCAATTAACGTGATGCCGGAGTAGTGGTTGATTGCTGCACCCTGGCGACGCATTATATCGTCGTTGTGGACCCAGATGGTTGTGAAGCCAAGATGGAGCTCGGTCTCCATGATCGCCGCCGTGTCCACAAAAATCATCTTGTCTTCGGCTCCTAAAATGTAACACGAACCGCCCTCAAGGATCACGCCGAGCTGCAACTTGCCGTAGCGTTCTTGGCGGCCCCAAATTTGCAGGATGTAGGCGAGCTGCTCGTCGTGGAAATCGTTTCTGTTTCGATACCCCCTTTGCCGGTTGAAGGCTCGCATGATCGGGCCCCTGAAGATGTCGTCGAAGACTGCCGGCATCAATGTGCGGCCCGCCAACTGTTTGTTGGTACTGATCTCGAGAGCGTACATGCCGCACTTATAACCGTCGCTTCTGGTTTCTTCTATTTGGAACCTCCCAATGCCAGGAATGTTTTGTGTGGCCGTTGAGTTGCCCTCCGCGTCGGTATTCGAATCGATATTCTCGCTGCTAATTGAAATATTCTCCTCGTTGTTGACTGAAAAGTCCTCCTCGATGGTGCTTGAACTGGTCTCCCAGCTGTTGCTTGAATTGGTCTCATCGCTGATGGTGTCTGGTAGTTGAAAATTTCCAATGCCGTGAATGTTGTCGTCGGAGGCAAACGAATTGCTCTGGTCTTCTATCTCGCGCCCCATGATGACCCCAAGTGGCATTTCATCACGAGAACTTTCTTCGAGGGTGTTAAAGCACAAGCACGTGCCGTTGCCAAGGCAATAGCACTTCAATTGGATGGAGGTTTTAGTTGCACCACCGAATTGGTTCGGAGATCGATGGCAATCTATTATGGGTCCGAAGTCCTCACCATCGACACTCATTTCAGCAGCTTAGGTGGTAAGGACTGGCGGTGTTTAGTTCTTGGAAACTAGTGGTAGTGAAATTTTAGGGCTTCCAGAAATGCCCAAGTCGCGATAAAGGTAGAACAGTCACGAAGTTATGTCTGGGCTGTGTTTTGTAGGTTGTGTCGTCAATCGAGTCTGTGTCGTGGAACAGAAGAGGAAAATTAGAGATAAGAAGATCAAGTCCAAAAGAACCCCCGGGAAGACTTGACATTGTGCTTGAAAACTATTCTTGGTAGCAATTCTGAAGCTAACTTTTTGAAATTGACCAATTTTTTATAGACTATCCACGCCATAGCTAGTCCGTCTACCCACCCGTGACCTGCGAGATAATACTAAAATCTAGAAATTGCTTGAAATAAACAGTCCGTCAGATTTCAGCTTTACCTATATATTGCTAGACCAGATCTCCCCTTCTAAGTTCGCTTGACGCCTGAGGCGCCTTAGCATAGACTAATATCAAGGAATTTCAGATTTGTAGAGCTCCCGCACATGACACAGCAAGCTGCTGTAAGGAGGCAGTCACATACAATAGTGAGGGTTCTAATGCGCGAGCACGACGCTAATAACGTAAGCAGGACGCCGGTATTAAAGGGACTTGTTAATTCTTATGGTAGATAGACATCATTGGTGCTATTCCATGGGATGCTAATTCAATCTCTCAATTTTGTGCGCTAAAAAGCAAGGTACATATTACAGTTAGCTACTAAAGGCGAGAAGAAAATGACTCTAAGGTCCTTGTATATAACAAGCTCTTTTCCAAATCTTAAATGAATTGTTGAAATGTTTCTTCAAGTGCACCTGCAGATAATATGATGGAAATGGTGCCTACGCTGCGCACGATTGATTGCCCAAGTCTTATTAGTCAAAATCAATTTACTAATGAAGTCTTAGGATGATGGCTATCCTAAACCGCTGTTCCCACGTAGTGACAAATAGAACAGATACAGCATCGTCGGGCCTAGTTTGTACATTTTGTGACAGATCTCACCAGTTGACGTTTTCCGACAAACGCAGGTTCAGTGACTCAAAGGTGATTCCATGCTAACCGTAACTTGCCTCAGTATCCATGGATTATATAAAACTCTGCTTAAGACTTAGGATGTTGCTGTAGGATTGGGGTTCTTCTATACTTTCACGCATCAAGAAAGAGAAACCGCAATACGCAGTGCCGTATGCATCAAGCCCTCAAGTGCTGGTCAAAACATTCTGCTCACAAACTTCATATCGCCGAACATGTCATCATCCTCAGCCTCCGAAACCAAAGGCTCCGGTTCTGGTTCCGATTCTGGCTCCCGCCCTGGAGACTCCAAGTCATCAACAGCACCAAGTGCCGCAGGATCAGATCAGGGTGGCTCCTCCAATTCCAATTACCAGATACCCAAGGAGTCTTGGGTCAACCGACCAAATTTTCAAGCCTCTCATGGCTTGCCGATGGATCCTGACGGTATTGAAGAGGGCAACAAAATTCTGGACGCCTTCCGAGAAGCCGACTTGAAGAAACGCTAAAAGTCTTGGGCGGTGGGTAACTGCAGGAACCGCGTTTGATACGAGTAGGACATAGCCTGATGCGAAATTGTGGGACTTTGTTCGGGAGGCGAAAGAGTAATCCTCTGATTCAGGGGGGGTTGTTTAGAAGACCAGCCTAGTTTGGTCAAATGGCTCAAGTGCTGCGATGCTCATGATGATACACTGCCCGCGCAGGTTTTGTGGCGGCGTCTAGCTGTCGTCGTTCAAGACGGACTTGAACCAGAGCCAGAGATCACGAACCTCAGATGTCCCAACGTCGTGGCCCAGGTCTTGATAAATATGACCCTCGATGCTCTCTTCCTTTACGTACTGTTGCAGCCGCTTTTGCCCTTCCGCGAACAAGTTGACCGAGACGAGCGCGTCACCCATGCCGTGGCCGAAAAACCACTTTCGCGCGTGCTTTCCGGTTCCGTCTGATGCCTTCCCAGCCTCGCACACCGCCTTGATATTCGGCAAATAGCCGCTCAGCCCAAACACGCCCGCGACCTTGTCTTTCCACTGGCCCTTCAAACCCCAAACCATGGACACCGCACATCCCTGACTAAACCCACCGACCGCGATCTTGCCGGGTTCAATGCCCCGATCCACCTCGGCCTTGACGAGCTCATCAATATAGGCCACGGTCCTCAGGAGGCCCTCATCGTCCTCGTCGTCCGACACGTCGAAACCGGCAACATCGTCGTCCCGGTCCGGCACGCGCGGTTTGAGCGCGGAAGGGAGGCTATGTGGCTTGTACCAGCACCGCTGCCCGACCTGTGGGTCGATGGGCGCAGTAGGCAAGACCCATCTCGTGCAGCGCAGCTTTTGGTATCGCTGAAACTGCTGAGCGAGCCCGTATCCGGTTCCATGGCCGTCATCGCCAAGTCCGTGGAGGAATATGACGGTGGACCTCTTCGAGGGGTCTGCGAGCCTATCTAGGGGTTCAAGTATTGCTGGATCGCCTGGGACCTTTGGTGTCATTGTGAAGGTGAGTTTGGGTGAGATTTGAGGAGAGGCGCGGCGAGTTGTTACTCTGTGCCCATGTGCTGAGTCGCTCGTGTTCTTGCACATGTGAGGTCGGAGTGCCCAGGTGGAGGGTTCGGCTTACCACATACCTGTACATGGAGTACTACCCGTGGGTTCGCTCTCGCTTTGAGGAACCCACTGCTGGCGCAGTGGGTGCCAAAACCCCCGCACGGCCAAAACTCCCACACACACCTGCCAAAATTTTAGTGTAATTTTAGCGATTTTAGAAAAACTCTTGACTTCAAATCAATTCAACTCTTTCAATTTTACTCCAAATTAAAAAAGAAGAGAAGTTTTAAAATCACTAGGTTCTAAAGATTAATCTATACTATTTTAAGTTATTTAACTTTAAAATTAAGAAATTCAAATTTTTAGCTGTTTTTATTTTGAGTTGAATTGAAATCTAGCTTTTTGGAATTAGAGTCTGCTAAAATCACACCAAAAAGTATACAGAGGTTTTAGCCGTGCGGGGGTTTTGGCACCCACTGCGCCAGCAGTGGGTTCCTCAAAGCGAGAGCGAACCCACGGGTACTTGCCGGTGCCGATGTGGGGATCGACGGTTGACATCATTGGGCACATGAGTTTAGTAACCAGGGATCTGGGCACGATGAGCTGGCAACCTACCTAGGCACTCAAGTACTTGCATGCACAGGCTGGGAGACAGCGTAGAAAATGAGTACTAGCGATATAACGGTTTGCAATCAATCTGGCTACCGCCAAATTGGTCAAACTGCTTCCTTTTTGACTAGACGGGCTGTAAGCAGCACTCTGCAATCTTCCGGAAATGATGACGAGGCACATGTGAGTGTCCCTGTCGCCGAAAAGAGAACTCGCTGCCCACATTGAAATGGGGGGTGGAGAGATATCTTAGGAACCGCATTAGCAGCAATGTGAGAATCAGCACGCAAATTAGGACGTGGATTGCTTGTCACTGGGACCTTACTGAAAGTATGGAACTGTGAATTAAACTACTTACAAGTAGGCAGCACTAAGGAGTTAGGACAGAGAAACCACGGCTAAGTTTAAGTTTACTTAGTTATAATTAGTTGCTACAGCACGGTAAGGGTACTATACAACACTAAGCTAACGTCTACTCACCTAGTAATTATATCTATTTACCTAGTTTTTTTCGACTACTCACCTAATATAAGAATTTACATATAGGGCCCATACAAAACTATATACCTAACTAAATTTTTTTAAATTTTCAATACTTTCAGTATAAGCCCCTTCTAAACCCCTTTTAGCACCCCTTCTAGCACCCCTTCTAGCACCCCTTCTAGGCCTTCTAGGCTGCATATATTTAGGTACTAACTAAGTATTTAAATACTAACTAAACACCAGAAGGCTAGAAGCTAAGAAGGTAAAGGTGAAGACTACACTCTTTCTGGCCTTCTAACACCCCTTCTAGCCCTCTAGCACTTTAGACTTCTAGCCTTCTAGCGTTTAGTTAGCATCTAAATACTCAGTTAGTACCTAAATACGTGCAGCCTAGAAGGCCTAGAAGGTAAAGGCGAAGGGTCCTAGAAGGTGAAGGCGAAGGGTCCCAGAAGGGGTGCAGAAGGGGTGCAGAAGGGGCTTGTACTGAAAGTATTGAAAATTAGAAAAGGAAATCGTGCCATAGGGTTCCTTGGTGCTAACTCAAAAGGTACTTATAAATGTAAGGGAGTTGCTTAGAAAAATTGGTACTAGGTAAGTGGTTGGTGGGAACTAGGTGAGTAGATATAATTGCTGGGTGAGTAGATGTTAGCTCTATATTAGGGGCTATAGGCCAGCCGGCCACTAAGGAGACTAGCTAGCAGGGTGCCTATACAAATAGTCTCTAATTAGACTATCTAGGAAATAAGAGACATTATCTCTCTTTATATATATATATATATATTATACTTAACTATAGTATTAGTTTATAATTTTACTTTTATTCTATATATATTTAAAAATAAATATAATATTTTTATATAATAATAAGTATTTAAAATTTAATATTTTAAAAATATAATAATAATAATAATAATAATAATAATAATAATAATAATAATAATAATAATAATAAAAGTTATAATTTTATATTATAAAAATATAAAGTTATTTAAATTAATAAAATAAATAAAATATATAAATTTATTAATTAATTTTATAAATATTTAATTTATAATTTTAATAATAAAAATAATTTAAAGTTTTTATAAAAAAGTTATTTTAATATAAATAAAATTATAAAAACTTTATATATAAATTAAAAATAAATAATTATATAAATTATTTATATTTTTTAATTTTATTATTTAATTAAAAATAAATAAATAAAGTTTTAAAAAATAAAATATAATATAAGTTTTAAAAATTAATTTAATTAAATTATTTATATAAAATTATTTATAATAAAATTATAATTTATTATATTTATAATATTATTTATTAAAAATTTAATTTTTTAAATAAAATTAAATTAAATTATAATATAATAAAATAATTAAATAAATATTAATTAAAAATTATAATTATAAATTTTTAATTTTATATTTAAAATAAATAAATAATTATATAATATAAAAATAATATAATATAAAAGATTTTAAATAAATATTATAATTTTATTTAAATATATAATTATTAATTTTAAAAGAATTAAAAGAAATTATAATATATTAGTTTTAAAATTTTATAATAAAATATTAAAATATTTAAAAAAGTTTTAAAATAATTTATAAAAATAAAATAAAAATATAGTAAATTTATTCTTTTAAATTTATAATTTTATTATTAATAATTATTAATTTTTAAATAATATAAAAATATAATAAAACTTTTTTAAAGTTTTTATAAAAGATTATAAAAATATATATAAAGTTATTAAAACTTTATATATAAACTTTAAATTAAAAAAATAAATAATTATATAATATAAAAAAAATATAATATAATTAAAATTATAATTAATTTAATAAATTATTAAGTATTAAGATTTTTAATAAACTATTAATATATATTTATTTATTCTTTATATAAATAGTTTAATTATTTATTATATCTTTTATATAGTAAGTTAAGGAAATTAAATATTAGTATATTAGCCTTAGGGAGTATTATTGTGAGTGTGAGTTAATTGCTAGTGTAGGTGGGTTGAATAAGCTTATTAATTACTAGGTATTTAATACTAGCAGTACACTTAATATTTGCTGCCCAGTGTGGAGAAACAAAGGCTTCATGAAGTCCGAGTCCAGTCCACACCTAGGTAGATACAAGCTGGCTTCGCTCAGATTCCACGGGATCGATGCCTTCCAAGGTCAGCGCTCATCCTAGCACTAGCCCAAGTTACATTGAAGAGTTGGCTTTTGTTGGGCTGGCAGCTCGGATAGTGTGAAGGAGACTGTTGGTCCCCAAAACTGGCTTACATGCAACAGTTGGTTCTGAAAGATTCCTCGAATGTAACTGTTGGCTCAATGGTTCCACAGGATGAGCGCCGAGATTCGCTGTGGAGGTCGGATAAAAGTGGAGATCTCGTTCAGCCGCAGTAGTAACACCGTCCGAAGTGACTGTGACATGGGATGAATCCTTCCACCGTGTTGGGTCGGCGTTACCCTGACAGCCTGAGTAGTTGCAGGGAAGAAGGCGCAAAGACGGCAACCTGTAGACGAACAACCTTTTGCGCTCTAATCCGAAGATCGACGTGGGACCACCATGAGAAACCCAAGACATTGCCTTAGCGTGGGTGTCGCTATCGGAAGCATCATGTACCCTTTCCTCCTATCTACGTACCTCTACCTCATTGTCTGAAGCCACACTTGGAGTGTCACGTCAACACACACCCCGAATCTCCTTACGATCACCTTATAAAGACAAGCCTTTTCCAACCCATCTCCAAGCCATCTAAACCCTCTTCTCTCCTACATTCTAGCCAGTCAAGTTCGTTCTTGAATCCCACCTCCTACTTGGATCTCATGGGATTCTGATCCATACCATCAGCATACGGAGACTGCAGACCTTGACAACACCATGGCTGCCCCTGCTTCACCTGACTACATCATTATTGGTGGTGGCACTTCGGGTCTCGTCGTCGCTAGCCGCCTCGCTGAGGACCCCAACGTGCAGGTCTTGGTCCTGGAGGCTGGCAAAGACCTCAGTGCTGATCCTCGGGTCAATGTGCCTGCCTTTTTCACGACCCTTATGGGCTCGGATGCCGACTGGAAGTATAAGTCGGTCGCCCAGCAGGGTCTCAAAGGACGTACCATCGGTGCACCTCAGGGAAAGGCCTTGGGGGGTTCCTCTGCCATCAATGGCCAGGCCTTCATCGCCCCGTCACAGGCGGAGCTGGATGCATGGGCTCAACTAGGCAACCCAGGCTGGGATTGGGCAGGGCTTGTACCCTTTTTCAGAAAGTTCTACACCCTGATCCCCCCACCGGACAAGGAGACTCGTGATCACCTTGGAATCGACTGGATAAACGAGGACTTCAGAGGCACCTCGGGCCCTATCAAGGTGTCCTTTCCCGGCGTTCTGCAGAACCCCTTGGCCAAGGCGTGGATAGATGCTTTCCGTACTTTGAACAGCACCACAACTGGAGGTATATTACACACGATCCCACTCAGCCGCAACATCTGAGGCCCAGGAACTCCTGCTGAAATTGAATAGATCCATTTTCTGGCAACTCGCTTGGTGCATACAGTAACGCAGCTACCGTGGACCCGGAGTCCAAGATTCGAAGCTACGCAGGTAATGCGTTCGACATCCAGCAGAAGCCCAATGTTAGAATCGTAACTGAGGCTCAAGTCCTGAAGATTCTTTTCACCGGCGCTGCTTCTGATGCCGTTAAGGCAACAGGTGTCCAAGTCTTAGTCGATGGAAAATCCCAAGAGTTCAAGGCCGGGAAGGAAATCATTCTTGCCGCTGGCGTATTCAACACTCCTAAGCTCCTTGAATGTTCGGGCGTTGGCGGCAAGAACATCTTGAAACAGCATGGCATTCCTGTTGTGGTCGATCTTCCAGGTGTGGGGGAAAACCTCCAAGACCACCTTATGACTGGCTTGAGCTACGAGGTCATTGATGGTGTCGTGACTGGCGACCCACTACTTCGTCAGGAGCCGGAGGCTATGGGTGCCGCGCAGAAACTCTATTTTGAACACAAGGCCGGCCCTTTCACTATGGGAGGCATGCAGTCACACGCTTTCATGCCTACCCAAGACGCCGTTGAGGTTCTCAAGACCGCTGTGGGCAAGCCCCATCGCCCTGAGGAGCAAGAACAATTCGACATCATCCGTGGCATTCTCGAGAAGCCCGACGCAACGTCCGGCGCCTGGCTGATGTTTCTCGCGCAAGCGAACCTACACGAGGGCGGGAGTAGCTTCGTTGGCTCGAAGTTCCATCCCGAGAACTTTGCCAGTCTTGGCTGTATCCAGTCTCACCCCTTTTCCCGAGGATGCAGCCATATAACCTCGTCGGACCCCAATGTACCGCCCACAATCGACCCACGCTATTTCTCGCACCCAGCCGACCTAGAGATCTTTGCCCGCCACGTGCGGGACCTCGATACCAGACTGCGCCCAACCGAGCCCTTAGCCAAGTATTTCAAGCCGGACGGGAAACGTAACCATCCGGACGCCTTCAACGTACAGGACTTAGAAGGGGCTAAGAAATATACACTTGATACTGCAACGAGCGCATATCACCAATGCGGCACGGCTGCAATGTTGCCTCGAGAGAAGGGCGGTGTTGTGAATTCACACTTGATCGTGTATGGCACGGAGAATCTGCGCATCGTGGACGCCAGTATTTTCCCACTAATCCCGCGCGGTAATATCATGTCCTCAGTGTACGCAGTGGCGGAGAAGGCGGCAGATATCATCAGGGGTCATTAAGTAATAAGAGGCAGTGGAAGCTCAACGCTGGTCAATATTGCTGTTTTCCAGGGCAAGATCATCTTGCACGAGCGCTGTATTACATCGTCTGTCTTAAAGTAGTGTTAGGCCAAAGATGGAGAAACACAGCCCCTTTGGCTAGATTCACCAGATCGAAAATACCTAGCCACTTAACAGTACTAGTAGTCATCGCCGTCCTGAAAACAGTACCGAGCACTAGATAAAGCAGATAAGCTGGGGACTACACGTGATACAGGCTGCGCAAAAGGGGTGGAATAACGAGGCAGCCTGTGAAAACTCTCTCTACGCTGTATAGTCAAAGGCAAAGTAATAAATTTGGTCTGCAAGTACCACTAGTGGCTGACTGCATGTATAGGAACATATTTAAGAGTCACGCGAAAGCCAACGCCTTCATGCGGATCGTAAGAATCTTCTAGAGAGTCTGCGCACCTAGTAGAGGACGGGGTATTTCAAGAAGCTATAGTTCTAAGACCCAGTGGGAAATTTAGGGATAGAGACCGGCATTTCCCACACTTATTATCCCTAAGAGAGTAACATTCCGTATTATATATACTATTATATAATAAGTTAAATCCTTTAAAATTAATATAGATTTTAAATTTTTAATTAATTACTTAATATAAACTATTTATATTTTTTTTATATTTTTTTATTAAGTTAAAAATAAATAATTATAGTTTTAAAAAAAATAAAGTATAACATATTTTTTAAAATAAATTAAATTAAGTTTATTATATAAAATTCTATAAATTAATTTTATAATTATTTATAATATTATTTATTATTAAAAATACTTTTATATTAATATATTAAGTTAATTTAATTTAAATTAAAATTATTAATTTATTAAAAGTTAAAGTTATTATAAATTATATAATACTTTTTAATTTTATTTATATATTATAATATTAAAGTTATAAATATTTATTATATTATAATTATTATTATTAACATTATTTTTAAAATATTAAATTTTAAATATTTATTATTATATAAAAGCGATATATATATTTTTAAATATATATAAAATAAAAATAAAATTATATTATAAATTATAAATTAATATTAATATTATTAATTATTATATATAAAATTATTATATAATTTAAATTATATATAAATATAAGTCCCTTTTAATATAAAGTTAAAAGACTTATAATTATAATTTTCTAACTAATTTTTATTTAATTAGTTTCTTTTACTATAACTTAGTTTAATTTAGTTTAAGCCTCCTTTTAAGCTATATAAATACTTTTATTTTATAAATATAAATATTAAATTAAAACCCTTAAGCTTAAATTTAAAATTCTTATAGATTTTAATTTCCTTTAAATTAAACTTAAAATCTTTTAATTTCTCTAAAAATATATTAACTATTTTAAATATTAATAACTTCTCTTTAAAGTAAAGGTTTACCTTTATATAGTTATAAATTTAATTATTAATAGTTATTTCTTTTTTTATTTATAATAGAGTTATTAAAACTATAAACTTAAATAATAGAGTATAGTTACCTTATTTAGTTATCTTTTAATTTAGTAGTATAGTAGGCTAAGTAACTACTTTTAAGTAGTTTTACTTAATAGGTGTTTACTTATAAAGTAGAGCTAGAACCCTAGTTAGGGGAATAGTAGCTTTATCTTTACCTATTTTAACTAATTTATAGAAGGCCTAAGTTATACAGTAAATTTTAGCACTTACACATAGTACTCACTAGCATTAAACTAAATAGCCTATAGTTTATAATAGCTTTAACCTTTAATAGACTAATCTATATTAAAGTTAATAGTACTAACTTAAATTAATTAGGTATAGCCTAGTATATTAATATAGAAAGGTGTCTTTTAATAATAAATAATATTATAAATAATTATAAAGTTATTATAAAAAGTTTTATATAGTAAATTTAGTTAAATTAATCTTGAAAAAATATATTATATTTTATTCTTTTAAGATTTTAATTATTTACTTTTAGCTTAATAGTAGAATTAAAAATATAAATAGTTTATATAAATATAAGTTAATTATAATAAATAAAAATAAAATTATTATTCTTTTAATTAAATTTCTAACTTTATTTAAATAAATATCTATTTATTAATTTTATAAGTAAAAATATTTATAATAATAACTTAATATAATTAAAATATAATTAAATAAAGTAACTATATTTTATTATTATTTTAAACTTATAATTTTAATATTTTTATTATAAATAAAAATAAAATAATTATTAATAATTAAATTTATAATTATATAAAATATAATCTTATTTTTAAAAATAATTATTAATATTTAAAATAGTTAATATATTTTTAAAAAGTTCGAAGATTATAAAATTAATTTAAAGTATATTAAAATTTATAAAAACTTTAATTTTAAATTTAAAAATTTAAATATAAAGTTTATATTTATTAAAAATTCTTTAAATTAAATAAAAATTAACTAAATTTATAATAATATAATATAATTAAATCAATAAGTTAATTATAACCTTTATATTTAATAATATAATTAAATATTTATAATATTTAATAATATTATTAGTATAAATTATTATATATATAAATAATAAGTAGTTTAATTAAGTTAAATTATATAAAAGAAAGGAAGTTAGGTTTAAAAGATTAGTAATAAGTTTTTATTATAATTTATTAATTAAAGTTACGTAATATAACTTAAACTATCTACTAATTATAATTACTTTTATTCTTATAAATATATAATTATAATAACTTTAAAATATTAATAATAAAAATAAATATAAGATTATAACTTTAATAAAGCTACTTTAACTTTTTAATAGAAACTAAGTTTTATAATTATTTTTCACTTAAGTCCGCTATAGCTTTTTAAGGTAAGGTGATAGATATAAGTGCCGTCTTATTAAAAAAAAATATGTCTGCCGTCTTTTTTACTGCCTAAATTGTTAAAGTCGACTAATTTCATAAATTCAGTCCGCGAGCTTCACTTAGGTGCCTGCTTTGCAGCCATGGAATCAGTGTGATGAATCTGGAAGGCTGCGAGCTCATCATACGGGACGGGCCCGCCGCAACTGTGGCGCAGAGTGGCGCAGAGTAGGTGGGGTCTTCTTTTTAAGTATGCAAAAGTGTAGTCAAGCCATATTTATTTTTACATGATATCATGATATCATGAACCTTTTTTAAGTGTGGTATAGTATTAATAGATATGTGACTGGCAGCTTAACAAACCGGATGTTTCCAACTTACAAACTCATTGCGGCGCCTAGTTCTAAACTTACATACAAAGTGAAAGACCCCTACGCATGCAGTTTAGAGCGCCAGCAGCTCTCGCAATGACATAAAGCAAACTGCTTAGGGAATTGAAGCTAACAGTGATGGAGGACCGCTGGTTATGCCGGGCGCGCAGAGGCGCTAGACGCGCGCAGCTCGGTTGCTCCGATAGTGTAGACGTTTAGGATCTAGACTACTTGAGGATGAAGTGCTTAGCAGGAACTAACTTAGCGAGGTTTCTTCAATTTTCTCCCTAGTCTGATGTTTTTAGCTGATCTAGTGATTGCGATTAGTTTCGGTGTATACCTACGACCTTAGGTGGTTTCGCTTCTATTCCGTATACATCCAAGGACATCGATGGCGCCTTCACAGTAAGCGCTCAAGACCTAGTACTTGAAAAGGACACAATGTTAATACCGATGGTCATAACACAATAGGTGCTTATAGCCTTAGCCTTGCGACGCACAGACAAGGCTAAGGGGCACCTTAGACTAAGAAACTAGCGAAGAACTGTCGCCGGTTTTTGCTGCAGCCTATGTCTTGTTCAAGTTTCTCATCTTAGGTGAGCTAAGTTTGGACACATCCAAGGGCTCAGACAGAGGATGGATGGAGCAGCTGTGCCTGCCAGGATCGATCACCATACTGTCTCTCCCTGTCCAGGTAGAGATGCTCAGCCACTACGAAGCTTCAAAGTTACCATGCGATTGTGAATATAAAGGAGCGAACCACCCCACTGCTCTGGGTTCAATATCATTTTCATCCATCATCAACTCAACTCAGTCACTCCTTACCCTTTCTCAAGCCTTACCTTACAACTCTGTCACTACCCTCACAACTCTGTCACTACCCTCACAAATCTGTCACTACCCTTACTACAACTCTATCACTACCTGAAATCATGGCGCGCATTACCACCTCTACCTTCGCTCTACTCGTCCTCAACCTCTGGACTCTTTGCTGCAATGCCCAATATAGGGTGTGGCGCGCCGACACCAGGGCGCCAATCGACATGGAAGCCTCGGATCGGTTTGCTCCGAGGGGAGCGAGCATGATCCTTCAAATTATGCCAAATCTTAGCTTGTGGAACCATGTACACGGCGCTCTCACCGGCGGAAGTCGGATGGATGACGGCTATGTGTCAACCACAAATAGCCAGGAGACCGCTATTGCGTTCCTTAGGACCTTCCATAACGGCAATGGCTACATCTATGAGATAGCCGCGACGGCCCAATTCATCGATGTCGCAGCCACCCTTGGACGATATAACCCTTATCCGGAGGAGAGAGAGTTCGCTGCACTCGGCGGCTTCCAATGGGACCAGGTCGTTCGCCACACACGCTACGTGAACGGGGTACCCGTGGAACCCGCTCAGGAGAACAATTCATACAATGACGACGTGTATAATCATTCTCAGCCGACAATGGGCGAACCCGAGCTCGCCGGCTTCCCTGAAACTCATGAAGCCTGGGGCCTGCATCCTTGGAATGCATTTGCCCTCGGCGGCCCCAATTGTGCTGGCGGTAGAAAGGTGCGCTCCCTTGAGAACCGCGCGGGCGGCTCGATCTACCACGACGGAAGATGCCACCCCATCAATAGTGCCTACAAAGCTGCGAACCTCTGGAAGGCCAAGGTATGCGATCAGCAGAAGAAGTGCGGCTAAACGTCCCGGGTCGGCCACGGTGCTTGAGCTTGTTGCGTCGGCAGGGATGTTAGCATCCAGCCATGTTTTTCGAAGTAGTACTGGAATTTTTACACTACCGTCTATGCGATCTGGTTTGAGCCTCATGACTCCATAGCGTTTAGATAGACACAGAGTGATGGGGTGGGAGCTTTTAAGGAGAGGGGAGAAGAGGAAGTCACATAGGGCTGGTGTTAGCTTCGCCACATTGTCATTTTTTTCTTCAACCATGTACATAGCTTTTCCGCCTACATCATCCATCTTGTTCACTTGTTTAACCATATATTTATCCATTCATTATCTTCTCAGCTATTAGACTAAGTATCAATTCATACCTTGTATATAACGGTATAACTATATAAACTACACTTTGAATTATAAATTATATTATAATATTATAGAAATATAATAATATTATAACTTTTTTAATTAATCTTTTAATAAAAATATAAAAATTTAAAATAATTATAATTTATAATATAATAATTATTATTTATAATATAATTTATAAATTATTATATTTTTAATAATAAAATAATTTAAATAAAAACTATATTTTATTTATAATAAAATTAATATAATATTTTATAATAATATTTTATAAATTTAATAAAAATAATAATTATTTAAATTTTATTAATTAATATTTTTATTTTTATTTTTAATTATTTATATTTTAAAACTTTAATATTAAATTAATAATAAATTATTATATTAAAACTTAATTTATTATTTTATTTTATTTAAATTTATTATTAAAGTTAATTAAAATTTTTATTTTTATTTTTATTTATTAATATTTAATAAATAAATAATATATATAATAAATTATTTTAATTTTATTAAAACTTATATTTAAAATTTAAATATTATAATTTATTTATATTTTTAAAATTAATTAAATTAAATTTTATTATATAAAACTTTTAATAATAAATTTATAATTATTTATAATATTATTAAAGTTATTATAAATTATAAAATATAATGTTTAATATAAAATTTAATATTAATAAATATTATATAAATAAATATAAAATTATTATTATTTAAATTATAATTAATTTTTACTTATATTTTTAAATAATATAATATAATTACTTTATTTTAATATATTTATTAATTCTTATAATATTTTAATTAAAAATATAAAAATTAAGATTTTAATAAATTTTAATAAAAATTAAAATTAAAATTAAAATTAAATTAAATTTTATTATATTAATTTAAATTATTAAAGTTTTTAAAAAATTATATTTTAAATTAATTAAATTAAATATATTATATAAAATATATTATAATAAACTTATTTTTTATTAAAATTAAAATTAAATATAATTTTTAATTAATTTTTATATTAAAATAAAAATTTAATATTTTAAAACTTTATTATATATTTTAAAATATAATTTTTATTTAAAAACTTTATTATATATTTTAAAATATAATTTTTATTTAAAAATATATTTATAAAAAATAGAATTATTAGTAATTATATTATTATTTAATTATAATAAGCTAAAGATAGTATCTAGAAGCCCTTATTAGAATGCTATAGTAGGTATTAGGTGCCTAGGTGCCTAGGACGAGCCGTCATAACCGCAGCACATCTTTTCTTGACAGTCGGGGAGACTTGTCGGTGCAATATGAGCATGCTGCTCAGATGTTTCAGCATTTTGGACTTTTTCGTCTGAACCACCACACCACCTGCGTCGTTCCTTCAGCCCTGGGATACGGCTTATTCCGTCTTGTGTTCCTGGCTCGTGCCACGAGTCCACGGCAAGCACACGACAGACCCGACCGGTTGGCCACGGAGAAATCGCCTGTTGTGGTTGGGTTGACCGAGATGGTGCCTGCCAACCGGGGCCCACACATGCTTATTATTATTACGGGCTCTGCTCTCGGGCAGCGTCTGCCTGCAATCAGCCTTACCTCTGGCCCGTCCTGAGGCTTCAATTGGATGTCACAGGCAGTCGCCAATCTATCTCGTCTCCAGTCATTTGGCATACACAGACATATCCCTCGGCTGTGCCAGTCGAAGGAATATGCATGGAACCTGCCATTGCAGCTCTGCCCTTGCCCTTGCCCTTGCCCTGCCTGCCCGCCTGCCTGCCTGCCCTTCCTTGTCTGCATCGCCATAGCCCCAGCGACGGCGTCCTGGCTCTTTGACTTATTCCTCCCCTCCCCCCGACCACACCCTTTCGCGGTTCGCCATCCGTCATGATGGCACAACCGTGCATATGGCGTTGGCGTGCAACGGCCTGCAGACACGGCAGACGCACCCAGCCGTCAGCCGTCAGCCGTCGACGAGTGTCCGAACTCCCAGCCCAGCCCAGCCCAGCGTTCGCAGCTCCGCAGCAACCTCGAGGCGTGGCCTCCCTGGGTGCCTAGGTACCTAGGTACTTAAGTACCTAGGTAGGTAATTGGCGGCGCCCGCTGAACGCTAGGGGTCCGACATACGAGCAAGCCATGCCATGCAATTGGGGGCTCCTTCCCGTGGCTTGGCCCATTCCTCCTCCGGCCGGCTGACCACACTCGACTCACTCGACAACTCGGCCCTCCTGTCCACCACCATTTCAGCCCCATTCCCGGCCCGAATCCACATCGATCTAATTACCTGCCTAGGTAGCCAGGCATCCAAGGTAGGTCGGTGGTTGAGCAATCGGAGAACACTTCTTGCCCCGGCAGCCTGGCAGAGATATCAACGGCAGAAGCAGGCGTGCATCGGCTGCTGTCAGAGCAGACCTAGGCTGCTAGGTCAGGCCGGGCACGTCGCATTCCGCCCAATGGCACCGTCTGTCTCACTTCCCCTGCAAGCCTCACGAATACCAACCCCTGCCACGATATTGGTCTTGTTATTCCCGCCGTCGCTCGCCCCGCATACTGTTCGGACTGTCAGACTGTACAAGTCGCCTGGTCGACGCCTGGTCGAGCACGCACGCCCGATCAGCTGCACATCAGTCACCACCTCAACGCTTAACACACCACCTGGGATGGCCCCTCCGGCCTCAGGCTGAGATTCTGGGCTGCTTCCGGCTCCTGCGGCTGGGGGGTTGACAATGGGGCCTGGTCAATCTCACATCATCACTAGAGTCACACGCCCCCACTACACCATGTTGAGCTGCTGCCTGTCATTGGTGAACTTGGCGCCGCTGCGCAACAGCCTCAGACTCCGCTCAATCCTGACACGGATGACTCCCTCCCAGGCCAGAAAACATGGCCTCGTCTTCACTCCCCAGCTCTCGGTGGCTTCCCCAGGGTCCGAAGGATCGATAGAGATACCACCACACCGAAACCGTCCTGAAAGTGTGTGCTGCCCACCTTCATGCACCGCCTCAAGCCTCGGTAGGACCTCAGTCGCCTAAAAAAAAAAAAAAAAAAAAAAAAAAAGACGGCCCCGGGTTCTCCAACCACCATGCTTTGGCAGCGATCGAGAACGGCTTCCTGCTTTGTGGCGCCCTTGACATCGACCCCATGGCTGCTCCATTGGAGTTTCTTGCAGGAATACCTCCCGACATGACCTTGGCTTCGGCTCTCGAGACGCTCTCACTCATCAACCTGGAGTCAACAGTGAACGCAGAAATTGTGCCTACTGGGCGTTATTCCTCACGCACACAAACCCGCAGCACCGTTGCTGGTGTGGGGCAAAGGATCCGCCGAGGCCCACGAGCAGATTGCTCCAGCACTCCGAGAACAGATTTGGATATTCTGGTTATGTTTGGCCGGGGACATGTCTATTCTGGACGCTGGATTTTTACATTTCCATCGCCTGCGTCTTCTGCGATCGATCATTGACTCGACTCTACACCCACCCTCTTCCAATAGTGGCTCGACGTGAACAACACAGCCAATGAGGAGCGGTGCTAGGGTAGGTCTTGGTGTTTCCAGTGATAATTTTACTTTCCTGCCTCGACGATCTGCAGCAAGGCATCAGCCTAAGCCGGGGCTAACGTCCAAAGCGGAAACCTGTCAGCTACGCCTGAGGCCAGCATTGGCTCAGCAAACGAGACGAGCCGTTTACCGTTGGACAAGAGGCAGTCGACAGAGCCCCTGGTACGGAGGTACCGCGCTTGTGCAGGACCTCAACGCCCACCCTTTGATCAACGCCCCGGTCTTCAGCCGATCCATCCCCCCGTCACCTCTTCGAAGCTGGTCCTTCTCGTCAAAGTGCATGCGCGTGGCTTTCCCAGACGATCTACCTCTCGTCCACTGCCCCGGCAGCCGTGTTTCCTCCGATCTCTCCGCCGGGTACCTTCAGCCTCCCCACGCTATCCCATCTTGATGCTACCCTGCGATCTCACCCTGCAAGGATGGGCCGGGCTTCACACCTCTTCCCCCCCCCCCCTCCCATTCAACACCACCAGGCCGTTAAAGCTATATATCTCCTAGTCGATGAAGCCACGACTAGTCCACTTTTCCTGTTCCTGCCTACTCTCCTCATGATATCCATTCCGCTTTGTCCTATGCTCGCAACACTAGGCACTCGTCCTAGCAAGCCATAATCCGCCTCGTCTTTGTTTCCGTGCCGGTATATGGTATTGACAGCGCTTACTTGGTTTTCAAGCGCAACTCAACTCATCTCGTCACGCTCACGTCCCTATATAGATACATATATCTAGGTCGTGAATTGACTTCCATAACATTGTTTCCACACAAGACAAGCAACAGATCCAGACCACCATGTCAGATACGGACGGAGAATTCAAGTTCCGTCCTCGAGCCGAGAGCAGGAGACAGGCACAAGACCTGTTCCAAGGAGGCCCTGTTCAGGAGCTGCCTAGTGGCCCGTACGTGAACGGCTTCAGCACCAATGGCACCAACAGTGTCGCCTCGACTCCTCGACACGCCTCAAGTGTCTCAGAACAGAGACGGTTCGACGGTCCCGAAGACTCAAAGTCAACTACAGAACAGTTCCCCCGCCTGTCACCCAGGAGAGACACTTGGCCCTCACGCACCCCATCACCACACGGACCCCCGAATGGCGATGCCTCGGAGCCAAGAATCAGTGGCCCCATCCCTTCTTTTGGCATTCACGAGGGCGACGCCGGAGGACCAAGATCACGCGCGTATGCCACCATCCCGACGTACACAGACGATACTGGCATAGAGCACGAGTACCCTCGCCTTTCTCGCCCTGTTGAACTCTTGCGCAGGAGCTATGACTGCGTAGTCATAGGTTCTGGCTATGGCGGCGCCGTGGCAGCGTCCCGCATGGCGCGGGCGGGCGAGAGCGTCTGCGTCCTGGAACGGGGACGGGAGAAGTGGCCCGGTGAGTATCCAAGCACGACGAAAAAGGCTGCGGATGAGCTGCATTGGTCGGGGAACCTTGCGCCGCATTGCCTCGGCGATGGCATCCCAGTCGATGGAGGAGATCCCACGGGGATGTATCACTTGATATTTGGGAGAGGACAGAACGCGGTTGTCGGCAACGGTTAGTAATCCTCTGCAAGACTAGCACTTCATCATCAAGTTACTGACCCCAGTCCAGGCCTTGGCGGAACCAGCCTGATCAATGCCAACGTCTTCCTGAAAGCAAACCACGATGCCTTGAGGATGAGGGCATGGCCAGAAGAGATACGAAAGAATCCACAATGTCTTGACGAATGTGAGAACTCATTTAACTCGATATACAAGGAAGCAAAAGCGACTGACTCTGAATCTTAACAGTTTATGATAAAGCAAAAGAGGTTCTCGACCCCAAGAGATACCCGTCTGACTGGCCCATGTTGCCGAAACTTGCCTTACTCAAGAAGCAAGCCGAATACCTGGGCATGGCCGACAAGTTCTCCCGAGTGGAGCAGACGACCCGCTTCCGCAACGGGCCCAACAGCTGCGGAGTGGAAATGGTACCATCCGCACTGACCGGTCAGGACGCCACGGGTGTCAACGATGGTTCCAAGACGACAACCTTGGTCACCTACCTCGCCGATGCCTGGAACTGGGGTGCAGAGATGTTCTGTGAGTGTGAGGTTAGATATATTGAGAAATGCTCCCCGGAACGCGGTGGCTACAACGTATATTTTGCCTGGCACGGGCGTAACCGGGGCCACTTTAAGGCGAACCTCCACGGCGACTTGATGTGGGTTCACGCCAAGCACGCTGTCTTCCTTGGTGGCGGCGCGATTGGGACCACGGAGATCCTACTACGGAGCAAGCAGCTGGGCTTAAGCATGAGCCATCAGGTCGGTCAGAACATGAGTGGAAATGGGGACATCCTGGCCTTTGGGTAAGCTTGATCTATGCCGCTTCCTTCATCCTTGAATACTCTCTGCGGCCTTTACTCGAGAAGGCACGGTTTGACTGACCTATTTTCTTGCCTCAGATACAACACGGATGAAACTGTCAACGGTGTGGGCAGTCCATCACCATCGCCATATGCGCCGGTTGGACCTTGTATCACCGGTATCATCGACAACCGCGAAGGCCATGACAATCCGCTGGATGGATACGTCATAGAAGAGGGTACCATCCCAGGCGCACTTGCCCCATTCATGCAGGCCATGCTGGACTTGATGCCTGGCAGTATCTCTAACGAGGACACATTGCTTGAGAAGGCTCACGCAAAGCTGGCTCGATGGGGCAGTCGACTACTCGGCCCTTACTTCAAGAAAGGGGCGATTGAGAGGACCCAAGTCTATCTCATCATGTCTCACGATAGCAACCAGGCCATGCTGACGCTCAAGGATGACAAGCCTGAGCTCGAGTTCCTCGGCGTCGGGCGGAGCGACCACGTCAAAAAGCTCAACGATATATTAGCCAAGGCCACCAAAGCCGTGGGCGGAACACTTGTTCAGAATCCATTCTTCGCGCTGCTGGGACAGCAACAAGTCACGGTGCACCCCATCGGCGGCGCAAGCATGGCTCGCGATGGCACGCCAATGACGGGAGTGACAAACCATCTTGGCGAGGTCTTCGTGGGTGAGGACATGGACAGCAATGATGTCCACAAGGGCCTGATTGTCACAGACGCAGCCGTCATCCCCGCCGCACTCGGAGCTAATCCATTCGCAACCATCACGGCGCTTGCCGAACGCTCGGTCGAAGCGTACTGCGAGAAACGTGGATTGGATATTGACCGAACGGAAAATGGCATACTCAATCTCTTTGGCAAGCCAGCGCACCACCCCAAAAGACGCCGCAGAAAGACAATGGAAGAGATGGCCCTTGCACGCTCCGAGATTGACAGTGTGAACGGCGCTGCCCACGTGATCAGCAAGGCGGATGCCATCAAGGCCAGTGGCTTTGGCTTCACAGAGGTCATGTCTGGCTTTATCCACCACGACGAGGACGGCATGAGAGAGGACAAGAGGCCCAACTACGAACTTGCTTACCGAACAGCCAAAAGCTTGTGCGAGAGCGCCAGGTTCTTTTTGAGTGTCCAGGCCTTCAACACCAAGAGCATTGTGAAGGACCCTGCGCACCGTGGCATGCTTACCGGTACCTTTGTTTGCCCTACGATCCCCGGGTCTCCCTTTATGGTGTCAAGAGGCGAGTTCAATTTGTTTAAACTCGATCTCAAGGCTCCAGGCACACGTAATTTGACATATGACTTCGACATGATGGGCATCAACGGCGAGCTGCTTCATTTCCACGGGTACAAAGTTGTTGATTCTTCCGTTGCCCTTGCGCCCTGGCAGTTTTGGCGGTCGACGACGACACTTTACTGCACAGTCAGCAAGCGAATTGGGATGGGTCCCATCTCTAACGATGAGCACGACGATGAGGCCTGGCGCAAACTGAAAGTTGTGGCCAAGGGCATGATGCATATACAACCGGGCGACTTTGTGTCGGAGCTTATGACTATGACTCCTACCGGCTCGTCGATCTTGCAGAAGATCTGGAGTGCGGCCAGCTTCATGACCTTCTTCACCCGCAGGTCTGCGTCTCTCTTCCTGGCACCCTTGACAGCTCTTCAGTACCCGTCAACCACATACAGCGGCTTCATCAACAATACCGTTCCCAACGACTCCTTTGACATTTTGGACAGTCAGGGTCCAGACGCTGTCTGCACTAGGATGCACATGTGGAATGCGACTCATGTGCCCGAGGAGGGCGGTGTGATCGATCTCTTCATGATCCCCGGTGCGAGCGTGGATCACCAGATTTTCTCCCTCCCGACAATCCCCTACAACGCAATCAACTATTTTACGCGAGCGGGATACCGCGTGTTTGTGACTGTCCATAGGATCGGCCAGCTCATGGTCGCAGAGAGGGACTACACCACCTATGACGCGCGGCTGGACATCAAGGCGTGTCTCGAGTACATCCGCAAGATGAACCGGAAGGAGTACGCGAAGAAGAACAATCTCCCCCTGGACTCTGCAGAGGTCCAAAAGTGGCAGCCTCCCAAGATCTACACTATTGCGCACTGCATGGGCAGCGTTGCCTTCGCGTCTGGCCTGCTGGACGGCACCATCCCATCGTCGTGGATCCGCGGCGTGACGTGCTCTCAGGTGTTCATGAACCCGATCTGGAACACTATGAACATGATCAAGGCCACGGCGGGACCGGTACCTCTGGACAAGCTATACCGCGCGGTGGCCGGGTCTTGGTTCAGCTGCTCGACCAGCCGTGAGGACGGCCTGGTGCAGCGCGCGCTGAACCAGGTGCTACGGTTCATGCCAGATGCCCGCCGCGAGATCTGCAATAGCGCCAGCTGCCACCGCATTAGCCTGACGTTCGGTCGCTGCTGGAACCACAGCAACCTTAACGAGGCGACGCACCGCCAGATCGACCGCTTCTTTGGCGGTGTCAATATGACCCTGCTGCACCTGCTAATGCGCATGGGCGCCAATGGTACCGCCATGGGGAACAAACCCCTGTGTGAGCCGCTCACCACCCGTGAGAATATTGCCCGCTTGCGGGGTATCCCCTTCTTGCTCTTTGTTGGGCGTGATAACGCTGTCCTAAGCCCGGAGTCTACGGAAAAGACGTACGAGATCCTCTGCGACACCTTCGGCACAAAGGCAGGCGGGATCACCAACGGCGTCCAGGGAGAGGGCGGACCACACGATAGCGATGGCATTGAGTACCGCCGCCGCGTCGTCCCTGGGTATGGCCACCTCGACTGTTGGATGGGTCGCAACGCTTGGAAGGACGTGTATCCGTTTGTCAGGGAGGAGGTTGACCGAGTATGCCGGGGTGAGAGTTATCGATTCCATGAACCGCATGACAAGTTCAAGGAGATGGTGGCTAAAGGCGACCTGATTTACTAGGTGGATGGTGGCATCCCAGACATCTGGAGCCTCCTCCCCAGTTGTTGTCTCCCGTCACTGAGCAGCGTGATTTCACGCTTGTCTTTCCCTTGTTCTACAGGACAATACTGGCGAGTCTTGCCCTTCACTGTATAGAGTGGTATAGTCTTGCGTGGCGATATATAAGGTTTCATTGCGAAAAAGGATGGGTACCTGGGTATTGGTAAAACGGGGGCTGGACGTTGTTGTTGCCGAAATGGCCGTTGCAAATGAGGACTGGGGTGCAGGCATTCCCAGAGCATTTTAGGGAACCTCTGTTCTACAATATGTACTACTTTATCTGTAATAGTTTGAACCACACAAAGCTATTCTAAAGTTTGTCTGATGACAAGCCGACTTCAGTGTTGCCTCGACTGCGATCCTTATGCGCCCTGGCTGCCTGCCAGCCAAAATCGATGTTTCCTGGAACATTTCTTGAAGGCTAAAAGCGGAGCCCCAATTCCGTGTGATGTGAAAAAATGTGATTGGGATCAGGCGCTGGAGCCCATGCAGTCTATGTCGATACACCTAAGGAAATTGCTCATGACTGTGGACTGCTCCACCTCTGATCCGGCGCCTCCTGGTTGAATATGATACCGACCTCAGGACACCAGTCTACGATCTCGCCGTATCGTTCCGCCTGCCACCTGTGCGGCTGGTGGTAGCCCAAGGGGTGGTCGAAGTACCACGTCTCGACCGAGAACTGGCCGGCGACCTCGGGCGGCGGGATCTTGGCGTTCAGGTCTGGCCGCTCGTCTATCCTCCACATGAACCAGTGGTCCTCGAAGCGCATGCTGTTAGGAAGCTCCTTGTACGGGCCGGAGTAGAGGTCCGCAGTGAAATTTACAGTGCGTGCGATCTCAGCAAAGATACGAGGGTTGCGCAGCGACAGCCCACCGTTGAAGGAGCGCGCGTTGGGCCGCCCCGAGTCCACGTACGCCGGCAGCACGGGGGCCCCGACAAAGTCCCACTCGAGGAAGTCGTCGACGCGGGCCCTGGAGTTGCTGCACAGGATGGAGTCCGCCTGGAACATCAGGATGCGGTTCACCTTCTCGAAGGTCTCCCACAGCCAAGGGTCCGTGAGGAACACGGATACGGACGGGTGTGTGGGGAACGTGACGCCGTCGGGCAGGAAGCGCACTTTGATCTTGCCCTCGCTCAGGAACTGTCGTAGGATCAGACTGTCGGGTATCTTCCAACCCCTGCGCGTGAGGATCACGACCTGCCAGTGCGGGCCGAGCATGCCGCGGAAGTGAAGCAGTACTGATGCGAAGTTCGAGATGGCCATCGGGTCCTCTTCCATTAGCAAGGCGACATTTCCTGTGAAGGAACCGGGAAAGTCAACGTCTTCTTTGTCTCCAGAGACTTCCAATGATGCTGCAACTGCGTCTCCAGACTGTGATGTCTGGCCGGCAAATGGCCGCTGCTCTGTGTATTGCAGGGCTGTTGTCTTCAATTGTTGCTAGTTATGGAGGTGTCAACAACATTAATCCGATGAGAAAAGAGGGCCGGTGTGGTCGGGAGCAAGAAGCTTACAATTGACGCAGGGCCCAGAGTCCAGCACAGCAACAGCACTACAGTAAACACCACTGCGGTCGTTGTCCTCTTGTTCCACACCTGCCGGATCGCCGACGAGGAAGGCAATTTGCCCGCCATTGCGGTTGCCGTCTGTGCTTGCGGTGCACAACGCTTCACTCGTGGACTGATAGACAACAGAGCGCTGGCAGGTAAAGGGTCACGGCCGAAATGTTGTTCTTGATGGGGAGGGTAGGTATTCGCTACGCACAAGACCAGAGATTGCAGAGTTGAAAGAGAGTGGAGTCTTGTGATGTGGTCTTGGGGCCCGAGACTTAGTGTCCTACGACTTCAGGAGCATGGGGACTCAGCCAGGAAGGTTAATTTACGGGGCGACCTGGGCTGCCGAGATCCCAAGACCCAAAAGGGGGGCACTTTTGTTTGAATCAAAGTCACTATGCGTGCCAATAAAGTATATTTGCGGCTAGGGCATTTCGACGAAGCCGAATGTGGTGGGCGCCTTACGCGTTCAGGGAACAAGCAGGCGGACTGCTGCAGTGATTATGCTGGATCCTCCAGATCCTGCAACGCCTTGATGCACCAATGCTATTTTGAGAACCCGCCTGTTTGCATGCTACCGGCCCATCCGATTGATGTCGCCTTATCCAGCGAGTTCTAAAGTTGGCCGGGACGGGACGAGCATTGCTGAAACACGTGTCTTTGGGATACGGTAAAGTGTGCCACCCACAGCCCCTGCCAAGACCTCATTGAACTTTGCGCTGTCATGTCCACCCCAAAGACAGCCACACGTGTGGCTTGATACAAGGATACTTCGCGGCGTATGATAATTTACCGATCCCCTGTTCAAGCTCACTATTACTATCGAGGCTGGGCAGCTCCTGAGTAGCTTCCCTGTAGCAGGCCAGTATCCCATCCACTACCTAGGTAGTTACGCAACTCAGTCACTCGATGTGCGCGGCTGTTGGTTTAACACAACACCAAACAGCCCGAGACACAGTGCTACCTCTTAGTAAAAAAAAAGGACAGAATCAAGGCAAGAGTGATTAGGTCTTATTATGTGGTTTCGCTTCTATTCCGTATACGTCCGAGGACATACATGGCGCCTTCAAACGGTGGTAAGCACTCAAGTCTTAGGTCTTATTATGTATTATAACCTTGTTGAGTGGCATGTAGTGTTGCTTCTGTTTCTTGTGACATGAATCTGTTTCCCGGGTGTCCTGACGCCGTTTCGCCATGCAACATCTGAATACCTGGGTAGCTGGTAGCTAACCACATACTTCTCTCAGTGCCAAAGTGTTCCAGAACGCAAGCTGCCTGGGTGTACAATCCAGACGTGTTGAGGACGGGGAATTGTGCGCCCTCACTACTGGTATACAGGAGCCACTGCGTGTTGGGGTTGCATGTGGGCACAAATGGCAGCAGGTTCTACTGGATATTTATCGCAGTCGCCGCGTCTGAAGTCGCCATCGACACGAGGTGGCACCTGGAAAGTACAGGTTGGCAACTAGGGCGTCGGCTGCAGCCTGGAGCGCGGTGAAGTTGACGGAGCGCCTGCAGGTCAGATCGCCTCCACTGGCATAGCATCCATCGGCCGAAGACATGTCAAGGAAGAAGGCCTCAGCGCGTTCGCATTTTTGTCTGTTATCTTACAACACAGTCCTGCTGCGATGGACCAATCACTATTTTCTTGCCAGGCGTGAGCAAATTTCTGCTAGCGATAGACCAGATTTGCTTTGAGCAGGGCAATGCAGTCATAGCACTTGGTTTAGTCCCCCGACTGGCTGGGGTAGTGTGTCAGTTTCCGGCCTCAGCCCCTTTTCTCTCGCAAGAGACTCGGCTCTCGGCCGCTCTAGTCGAAGTCCAGGGACACACTAGGCAACTAGGCCCAATGCATGGTGCTTTGGGAATTATAGGTACTTAAGTAAGTACTTGCCTAGGTAGCTCGTCTGGTTTCGCTTCTATTCCGTATACGTCCGAACACATACATGGCCCCTTTATAAAGTTGTCAATGCTCAAGATCCGGGTCTGCCTTTTTTATTTAAAAAAAAAAGAAAAGAAGTAAAGAAATAAAGATAGAAACGGAAGACTGTATGCTTTCCAAGCCGCTGATGCAGTCTCTATTTTGAAGAGACCCCTTCCGACTCCCAAACCAAGCTTGTTTTCGACCTGTCGAAGAGCCAGAATTTCGTTTTCGCCTCGGCCTCCGATATCACCGACCACCGACGTTGGATTTCTCGAAAGTAAAAGCTTTCGATGGCTTCAACTTGTGCGTCACAGACGGTCAATTCGTTCTCCAGCGTGGACAACTTTTTCCCCGGCTTTAAAGCTTCTACATGTATGTCCTCGGACGTATACGGAATAGAAGCGAAACCACCTCATGCGCTTGTGAACACGATCATGCCTAAGTTGTATATCGTCTAGTAAGACGAGCTCGTCGATTTCAGGTATTTTGCGGGCATCGACCAAGAACTAGGCTGCTGCAACCACTTAGATTCCAAGCTCGATAAATCCAAGCGTATTGCATACAAAGCCAATAAGGATCAACCAAGGCTTCTGCATTGTGGAAAGTTTTGCTGGTCGCTGTTATCACGTTCAGCCACTCGAGCAACTCGTCAGGCTCACTCAAGTCCACGCGGGGTAGAGGAGTATCCACTGTGCGACCGCTTGCTTGTTTTATAATTTACGCCAAGTAAACTCTTTCATGGGGTGTAGCTGTATGTACATGTCACGTGTTTGTCAGCTTCTTTATGGTAACACAATCACATGTCCAGCCTTCCGTTGGTGGCTAACCGAGCGCCCGGGCGACCACCATTCCTTGGGCCTCATCCTCGTCCACAAGGAAGCATGAACAAACCAACCTGTTGAGCCAGACTATTGTCTTGTCATTGTAGCATTGTACTCGACCCTCTTGCGTCACCTTCACGCTTCGGTCCCGGCGCCTTGTTGATCACCTCTGAACCTTGGGGCTTGTCTCGCAAGGCTCAGAAAGCCCAGGGATTTGATTCTGCTTTAGCTGAGCTTGAAGACGTCCACATGAAAGACCTTTGAGCAAAATCTATGGTACAACATAGGATCAAACCATAAGCTATAGTGTGTTTGGCATCTCGTATCTGCCAGACGCTCTTTGGGGTCGCAATCGACACTTCGGAGTCCGACTCATTCCACGCCCCTCAACTTAAAAATTCTGACAAAACAGCAATGGCTCACAATCTCGGACAATCTGCGAGTCTTGAAAGTCATGATTTCTTGAACGCGGAGGGGAACATGGAGGCCGGACTGCTAGGACGGAATATTGATGACTCCACACCACTATTGCAACATGACATTGTCTGCATTCGATTTCCGACCCGGTTTGTGTATGCAATCAAGGAAGCGATCGTTGAGAATGTTGGCAGTCTGGTAATGGCATTGGGGATACTTGGTGGTATGGCACTGACTGTTATTGCTGTAACAAACAATGAGTTGAACCCGATGCTGTTGATGGCAGCAGCGACAGTCTTCATTCTCAGTGCTGTAATTTCCAGAGGAACTCACACCTGACAGCAGGAAACATCAGCATAGAATCATATATTGATAATTCTTACATACCTAAGTATGTGCCCAGTTTAGCACGCTCCTTAAACACAAAACCAGACGCCAAAGGGGGGATTTGTACTAGTAAGGAGTCAGACAAGAAAACAACCACTTGTAATTTATGAGAATTTATGAGAACGGGCCCTGTAGTGGAGCAGGTTCTGAAACGAGGCGCCGCCAGTCCTTGGAAAACGAGGCGCCGCCAGTCCTTGGAAAACGAGGCGCCGCCAGTCCTTGGAAACGAATTTTTTACCAGTTTCACATCAACAAATAAGTTTAAGAGGCTGGCTAGTCGCTTATCAACGCTAACATTCACAACAGCACCTAGCTTACCGATAACCTAGGCTCATTGCACTGCATAAACCACAAAAACACCCACCATCCCCCTTTAAGGCAGCCTACTCACATCGTGCTCAAGAGGAAATCTCAATACTTAGGTACTATATCACACCCCTTTCACAATAAACACATAATACACTCAGCTTCAAACAATCTAATTAAGACCTAGTAGGCTTAGAAACCTTTTAAATTACTTATTAATATTAATTTACTACTATATTAGCTTATAAACTTTTAGCTAGGCTTTCTTTAATGTAATTTATTTATATAACGATTATTTTTAGACTTCGTTTTATTATATAACTCTTTTATAATATTTTAATTAATATTATTATTAAAATAATACCTTTTAACTTTATTTATATATTATAAAGTTAATATTATAAATACTTATTATATTATAATTATTATTATTAATATTATATTCTTTTAAATATTAGATTTTAAATTTTTATTATTATATAAAAGTATTATATATATCCTTAAATATATATAAAATAAAAGCGAAACTATATTAACTTAAAATTTATATTATAAATATATATTATACTATATATTTAAAAGTTTTTAAAATAATACTTTTATTAATATTTTTAATAATAATTATAACTATTAATAGTTCCTCCTTTTCTTAATAGTTTTTAAATAAAAAAGTTTTAAAGTAAGAAATAAAGTTTTTAAAAGTTTAATTTTTAAAATTCTTTAATATTACTCTTTTATTTTAATATAAAAATTAATTTTAAAAATTTCTTTTATTCTTTTTAATAATCTTTTATTTAAAATAACTTTTAATTAACTTTTTATTTATTAATTTATATATTATAATGTTTTTATTAACTCTTTTAATTTTTTATTTTAAAACTTTAAAAGAAAGTTTTAAATAAAAAATTATTTTTTTAAAAAAGTTTTTAATTTTTAAAAGCTTTTAATCTTAAAAAATATTAATATAATTTATTATTATTATTAAAAAGTATTAATAAGAAAATAATTTAAAGGTATTAAAGATTACTTAAAATACTATTTTCAAGTAAAAGAGATAATTTAAAGACTATATTTAAAAACCTCTTAGGGAGTGCTATAGTAGGTACCTAGGTGATAGGTAGTAACATAGATTAGGCCGTGCTATGCCACTAGCGACTCACACCTTAATCTCTTCATAGGTGCCAGGCAAGTATAAATTCATTGGTAGAATCATTGAAACGTTTATAATATTTTACCGCCAGCATGTGTAAGTCCCATGTTTGTGAAGTGAGTTATACTTCTCTTTTTGAAATTTTGTGCCTTTCTACCAAGCAGGGAGTTTCATGAGTATAAAGAGCCATTAAAGGTCCAGCCAAGGGCTACCCAAAGGTCGAGTTTAGGTACTATTTACCAAATTTATGGACTGACTGAGGTAACCTCCTCCCACAATCATCCCAAGGTCTATAATTATTTGAAGACAGACATGCTTTCGGCAAGCAGAAAGTGGCTTGATGGTACTTGATTCAAATCACATCGAATGCTGGAATGTTTTGAGCAGACCAAGTTACACTTCTAGCTAGCTGGAGGAGCTGTAGGGAAAGATAGAAAGGTAACTATGGCGTCCCACTGAAGGGTCTCTCAATGTACAAGGTAGACTTGAGCCTTAGTTGCATGTAAAGAATCTCACTGGTTGCCGAATAACCCTTTTATAATCCTCAGGCTCATCAACCCTCTCTTATTCTGATATCAACCTCGGAAATCAGCCGGAAGTCAAGCCTACTCAGGGTAGCATACAGAGGATATCTGAATATAGACATGTAGATGCATCAAATGTGTGATGCAGCTAGTTCGAGCTGCTTTGTAGCATGCCGCTATCAGGCTTTATGCAAATGATCTAAGGCCACAAACTCAAAGGTCTGGTACACCTTCTCAAGGCTCTTATCAATTCAGATCAAGCTCACTTTGTGTGCTTACGCTAAAGTGTCCAATGCGCAAGGACGTTTCTCTCTCAATCTTGCAGCTCTTTTGTGAACCAGCTGATGACTATCTGTAAGCGCACCAGGTCATTTGACAGGTTAATTGTCACAGGGAATTTTAGTCCACATTTACTAACGGAAGTTAACTCTTCAATTTGTTGGCAGGCAAGTGGCTTGCGTGGAGACCAGTATAAAACACCAGCATATGGAATGAGTCACTCAAATTGATTGCTTACTTAGAGAGTGACTTGAGAAGTGGTGTGACTTTGATGTTCCAAGATTGTTTCTGTTGCCCAAGAGCACCTCGCTATACAAAAGGTTGAATTGCTGGCTCGCATCGGGGATCAATCCAAACCTCGGCAGCAAATCAGGTTTTTGAACAGACTCAGAAAGTGAAGAAATCGAGTTTTAAGCTGAGAGCAACCTTGCAAATTAAAGACCTTACAATGAAGAGAAAATACAATGACTACATGCTTGATGAAGACTCAGAATCCTCGGGCACGGAGTCGTCCACTTCATCGTCTTCGTTCTGGTCGGACGAAGAGTGGGAGTCGACATCTGATTCTTCAGACTGTTCATGCTAATGTATTGGTAAAATGAGGTAAGATAGACTGGGGAATAGGATGGAAGGAGAGGAGAATAGGTATGAGATCATCGCTGCCATTGAAAAAGACGCGCCTGGACGAGTTCGGCAGCACAGCTAGTAGAATATCTCTCCTCCTTATTTCTTAGCACTGGATAGCAGACAATAAAATAACCACAGTTCTACAGAATCTTGGGGTCAGCCCGCTTCACATAGCTTTCCTTGCTGAAATAACTTGTAACCCGATGGCCCGGCGCCAAGGACACCGCCGAGCCTGGCTGCCGGAGAGACTATCATCAGGCGGGCCCTGGTCTGCACCTGCAGAAAAGAAAACAATTTATCAGGGAATAAGCTTTATTTATTGAACCCGAAAGAAGTCACTCTACATAACCTCATCCATGTCATGTATCTTGGGGGTCTGTGTGGACTGCTTGCTGGGGATCTAGTCCGTTTCGCAACGCGCCTGGGCGTGGCTTTCTGCTCACATGGATGAACCACCACCAATACCGGCATTGGAAGTTCGCGATAGCTTTGGGGAAAAGAAATAGGCTCTACGCTATGAGTAGATCCCGAACAAAGCTAGCTACCTACTTAGCTAGATGAAAAAAAATCGAGATGGTCCGCGGGGGAAAATCCTGGGGTAGCCGCTGGCCTGCGAGCGAAAAAGAATTCAAAAACAAACCGAATGTCCGAGAGAATCGCGCAGTCGACGACAACCCCCGATCGGTGACCGAGGGCGGCCCTAGTCATCAGAGCATCCCAAATGCAAGGGAGGGAGTCCGATTAATAGAAACTAGAAAGACGTGAACAACAACAATCCGACACCGGGCTGTGCACAGCCCATTCTCTTTTCCCCGTAGGCCGTAGTAGGGGTCTCTCACGGTCTCCGGCGCAACGATGATGACTGTACTCCGCCGGGGCGCCAAGGTCCGGGCATGGGGGCGGGCGGGCTTGGAGGATGCGTGTACGGAGTAGCTACCCAGGGTAGTCACTTGGACGGCACAGGTCGATGGTCGGGTGCATGTCAGCTAGATTCGTTGGGGGAGGCGTCGATGGTGTCGCTTGTAGGTGGCTTGCATGCATGCATGACAGCCCGGGATGGAACTCAGCAGCCAGGAGGGCTAGGCTCAAAATGGGACAGCCATGCACACTAGGTATGTTCGCAGCGTGGAAGTACGCCCTAGGGAATCCCGGCAGATCTGGTGTTGCAGTGGCTAGTGAAAAGAGGTATGCATGCGGGGTGTTAGTTCGATCTCAACAACGGCTATTCTTGACCACGAAGTATGTGTGGTGATTCCATGCCCCGTGATGGCAGATTGCAGCCATCTGCTGCAGCGCAGGATAACAACCTTGAAAGACGACACTCGGATCGTCCGCGAGTCCTGATACGGACTGGGATGCATTTTGTGGCAGTGGCCGGCCTGGATGTATCGTGCAATGGGCAGGAAACCTTGGACAAGAGCATGAGCCAACGAGTCGCGTTGAGCTAGGAAACGTTGAGACTGGCGCGAGTCCCAAGGTTTCGCTTCGACATTGGGGACTCGGAAACCTTGAAGACAGGATCCAGCCTACCATAGGCTGTAAGCTAGCTCGAACGGCCCGCGGTGTACAAGCCGGCGGCTGCGCGGGAGGACGGGACTGGAGATCAGACGGGCCGTCTGGTGTGCCCCATCATGTCTGATTGTCCAGACGAAGGTGATCGTGGGCTCACGAGGGGACTATCAACACACAGGTGGCAAGCCGGGCGCATGTGGGCGGACGGACACGTGAGATTTTCCGAGGCACTCATGGCCACTCTGAGTAGTCAAAGCGCGTCGATACAACCAAGCGAAGCTTTTCCAAGACCCGACCGAAAGCTTAGCCTGGGGAATCGGATTTGGACGAGGACCTGGGTCTGTTGGCCTGAGTGTTATCAGACCGATGGACCAACGGAAACTGGATGGTTGGTGGATGGCTTGAGACAGGTGGGGAAGGGGAGCGCCATCCTACCCGCTGCGCACATCAGACGCAGGTGAATCGTGATAAGAGTGCTGGTTTCACGGCCTTCATGCTCCCATATTGCAGCACCCAGACTTGTGCCTTCCAGTCTGTGCCGGTGCTGCTGATACGAACCGGAGAGTGCGGCAAGGAGAAGGGGGTGGCACGAAAAAAAAACAAAACGTGTCGTATTGTGTGCTCCATCGACCCGTCGTCGCGCCTCATCACACATCTCATCTTAGCCAAACCCTCACGGTGAGCCCGTGCCCGCGCCCGGCTCCCGTGCTCGGTGAGCACGACAGTAGACTACCGTGCAGCATGGACTAGCGGGGACCCTGAAACCGACCAGGCTGGACCTGGGCTGGACCTGGGCTGGCTGGGCGGCCCCACGGCCGGGCGCCCAATATTTGTTGATGGGGAATGGGGGAAACGGGCCTGACGGGCAGACAGGCCTGACAGGCTGGCCCATGTCGCAGTCGGGAAGACTCGGAAGGCATGTCAGCGGGCCCCCTGCAAGCACCCTGGCCCCCCGGCACCCTCGTGCTTGCCAAGACGATCAGAAAAAAAGTTCTGGAAGGGAGCTCGGACGGGAACATGTGAGAGGCAAGAGTTGTGACGGCAGAAACAGCAGACCAAAAGGTGATTGTCGTCGTGGCCAGTGCAGTGGGATGAGGCTCAAGACGGGCGGGGACCAGACCAGACCAGACCAGACCAGATCTGGTGGACTTATGCGGTTATTTGATCGCTGAATATCCCCGGCGTGCAATAACGACATGAGCTGTGGCATTGGATAACATCTTGAGGCCGGCGACAGATGGGACATGAGGTTGTGCCCAAATCTGATGTTGGCTGCCAAGGGTTCGTCAGGTTCGTCAGCACCCCGATCTTTTTCGTAAAGTGGGCATCTTGTGCGGACTGGGACCGACATTTAGTTTAGTAGCATTCATTGCCTTCCAATTGATATGAATTGAATGTGGGGGAACCACCCGCCCGGTGGAGACGCCACGAGCCGCGCCAAAGGTCACAGTGACCCTTTCCCTCTGCCTCGACACGGCAAGGTATGATGAGTGATGGATCATTGGCCGAGCTCCAATTGGCGGCGGTCTCCTGGCCAGGCAAGTCCCGTCTCCTGCCCTCCTTCCTCGGTGCTCCTTGTCTGTCTCCCTGAGAGGAGGGTAGGGTTGAGGACGCTCGGGAACTGAGAACAGATGGGGTTCCTCAGCCCAGCCCAGGTCGAGGCTGGGAGCTGCACCCTTCGCAAGAGTTGAAGGCGGCCGTCAGCACCAAAACAAGACATGCAGTCAAGAGTGGAGGAGTCCGGCCTGCGGGAAAGGAAAGGACTGGAGGAGGAGGAGCGGCTCCCCGGCATTGGCAAACCCTGACAGGGAAGCGGCGTCCCTCGGTGGGGCCCCTGCCCCTGCCCATGCCCATGCCCATGCCCCTGTCCCCGAAGCCCCCCTGCGCCCCAGCCTTGGACCAGACCCAGGCCCCCACTCGTTTTCGTGCAGAACCGGGGAGACGAGGATTGGATCGACACAACGCTGAGGGCTCACTTCAGTTGAGTTTTTGTCGGCCATTGCAGGGCCAGCGAACACGACCCGGTCCCAACGATTTGGCTCGACAGCTCTGGGCGCAGGCCGCACGGCCGCCCGTCTGTAGGTATACTCCGTATCTACTGATTGTTATCTCCCGTCCAGCCATGCAGCCATGCGGCCAGCCATGTTGTGTCGACTCTGGTGCCGACCATCGGCCATGGCGACTCGTCAGCTTACCATAAGAATTAAGGTCGGCCTTGTAGAACGAGCAGGAAGAGACTGAAAGAAAAGACCAAGACACCGACCAGGAGACCAGGAGACCAGGAGACCAGGAGAGAAGCACGAGCTATTCTTGACGGATCTTGGCCACCCTCCCGAATCCCCCAGGCCAACCAGCCAGCACGACAGCACTCCCACAACTCCCACACACACGCACCCACAGATCCTTGACCCCAATCCGGGGCCCATCCTGCGCCAACTCTTGGGCACCAAGTCAAACCCGCCCGCCGGCCAACGCACACGACTCGGCCGGGCTCGTCTGGCTCGTCTGGCTTGTCTGTCTGGCTTGTCTGGCTTGACTTTCTTGTCCACCCCCGCCAAGTTTTACGTACAGGCTGTCAATCCTGTGGGTTCCCAGGCCTGCCACGCGGGGGAAAGAGGAACGGGCAAGGAAAACTCGTGAGTAATTGCGGAGGCTCTGGGAGAAGGTAGCTGACTCTTTTGCATTCTTGCCAGAGGCTGTTGTTGGCTGGGTCGTAAAAGGCAAGGTGCAGCCGGATAGTCCATCAGTCAGTCAGTCAGTCAGTCAGTCAGAGCCTTGGGGCCTGTCTTGGGGTCTGTCTTGCTGGGACGCACGGCACAAGTTGAAACCGCCTGACACCAGGGCTGCACAGCTTGTTACAGACCCTGCTCGCGCGTTTCCTCATTCTTCCGACCCTGTCCTGCCCTGCACCCGTCCAATTTGCAAGACGTTGTCACTCTGCCGAGTACTCCGTACTTCGTACCTTCGATGGCGTTGTCCATGGCCTTAAAAGGAGTATTCGTCTCCGCCCGACGGCTGCCGTTGTCCCCAGCTGTCCGTCGTCGCGTGGTCCCATTCTCCGCTAATCAAGCCCCCTCCTACTCGCGTGCTGCATCTGCTGCGTCTTCTGCGTCTTCTGCATCTGCATCTGGTCCAGCCCGCATCCGCCGCCTAGGTCGTATTCAGGCCCGATCTCCTCTAAAGATTCTTGATACCACCACTAATACCGACAACCTTGCCAACCCTGTTCGTCCAGACCCGTCGCCGCAGCTGGTCATATCATCCTACCCTGCGTACCCTGCGTACCCGCTCTGTACCCGACTGCTCCATCAGTCCTCCTCGGAATCCTCGACCGGCTCGACCCCCAAAGCGGCCACACCCTCATTCTCACCCTACTCGCCGCTTACAAAAGTTGCCCTCAACTTCGCCTTTTCTACTTTTTTCCTCCTCTCCTCCCTCACACATACTCTCCTCCGGGCGATCCCTATGCCAATGGCTTCGGTTCCCTACCCTTACTCCTCCTCCAGTTCAGATATATCAACCCCTCGCTCTGCCTCCCCGTCCTCGTCCACTGGCCGCACATCCCTCACTTCCATCTCCAAGCGCATGTCAGCTTCCTCAAGAAGGATATCAATCTTCAACCCAATGTCTTCCGTCGATATCCAAGGCATCGAAGAGGCCATGAAGGCCCAGCAGCTCGACCAGCTGCGCGGCTACAGGCAGGACACCTACGGCGAGGTCCAACAAACCCGTCAGACCGAGTACATCTCAGAGTACCAGGCCACTGGCTACCAGGTCCTCCGGGAACCCCTCTGGAATAAGGGTCAGTTATGAGTTCCTCTCAATAATATTCGTGGCCGTCCCCCCATTGATATTAACACACAACATCAGGTCTGGCCTTCTCACCAGAAGACCGTGCCAAGAAGAACCTCACCGGCCTCATCCCCCACCAGATCGAGGACCTTGAGAAGGGATGCCAGCGTGCCCTGCGCATGATCCGCTCCCGCCAGACAAACGTAGACAAGTACCTCTACCTGTCGTCGGTCAAGGACCAAAATGCCGATCTCTTCTACCGCCTGCTCATGGACCATGGCAAGGAGATGATGCCGCTCGTGTACACGCCTACTATTGGTGATGTCTGCCTGCAGTACTCGACCCTCTACACCCGCCCAGAGGCCTTGTACATTTCGATCAAGCAGCGAAAGTCCATCAAGACCATCCTGAGGAATTGGCCCTACCCAAACCCTGAGATTTGCGTCGTCACTGATGGCTCGCGTATCTTGGGTCTCGGTGACCTTGGTTTCAACGGCATTGGAATCCCTATCGGCAAGCTCGCCCTCTACACCGCCGCCGCCGGTATCCACCCCAGCAAGACCCTGCCAATCGTGCTGGACTGCGGTACCAACAATGAGACCAACCTGAAGGATGAGCTCTACCTTGGTCTCCGCCAGAAGCGCCCCTCCGTCGCTGAGCAGCAGGCTTTTGCCGATGAGTTCATGGCCGCCACAAAGGAGGTCTACCCTGACATGGTTGTCCAGTTCGAGGACTTTGAGTCTGAGAAGGCTTTCAACTACCTCGACCGCTACCGCAACAACTACAAGTGCTTCAACGACGACATCCAGGGGACTGGTGCTGTCGTCCTGGCCGGGTAAGTTGCTCCTTTGCATTTTTATTGCAGTCCGCAAGCTGTTACTGACATGGATGTTTTAGATACATCGGAGCTGCAAGCCTCTCCGGAGTCCCATTAGAAGAGCAGCGTCTCGTCTTCATGGGCGCTGGATCCGCCGGTGTTGGTGTCGCCAAGCAGCTGGTTGAGTACTACACTCGCCGCGGCCTGTCAGAACAGGCGGCCAAGGACAAGTTCTGGCTTGTCGACACCAAGGGCCTTGTCACCAAGGACCGTGGCGACAGGCTGGCCGAGCACAAGAAGTACTTCGCTCGCACAGACAACAACGGCCACCAGTTCCGCACCCTCGAGGAGGTCATCGAGTATGTCAAGCCATCCGCCCTTGTTGGCCTGACAGCCACCTTCGGCGTCTTCACCGAGAGCGTTGTCCGTGCGCTCAAGGCGTCCGTCGACTCTGGTGGCCTCGGACGCAGGCCCATCCTGTTCCCTCTCTCCAACCCTCTTACCAAGGCCGAGTGCACATTCGAGCAGGCCATCAATTGGACCGAGGGCAGTGTCATCTTTGCCTCCGGCTCGCCATTCAACTCCTACACCGTCAAGACCGCGGACCATGCTGTCACATATCACCCCAACCAGGGCAACAACGTCTACGTCTTCCCCGGTATCGGTCTGGGTGCCATCCTCGCAAAGGCAACCAGGGTCACCGACACCATGATCTACGAGTCAGCCGCGGCTCTCGCTGGCTCCCTGAACGCCGACGAGATCCACAAGGGCCTCATCTACCCACGCATCGAGCGCGTCCGCGAGGCCAGCGTTATCGTGGCCCGTGAGGTGATGAAGGCTGCCAGGCGGGAGGGCGTCAGCGCCTTGCCCGAGGCACAGTGGAATGAGTGGGAGGAGTGGGGAGACGTGGCACTCACCAAGTACATCAAGAGCAAGATCTATGACCCAAGGGACTGAAGGCGGCCGACCCTTAGGAGACACACAATTCATTCTTGCTCTTGGTGGGAAGTGAAGCGCGAGGACCTGTCGGGTACGACACCACCACCAACACAACAAAACAAACGTCGGCGTTTCACCTTCTGAACGCTTTGAATCCTCTGCCCCTCTCTCATTCCGAGGTTCAAGGCAACCCCCCCTTTTTCTCCGGTTTCCTGTTCTGTTGCGTTGGCTCTTACAGCGGCCTCAGACACAAAAAAGATGATTCCCCCTTGGGAGGCGCCAGGCCGTCTCCCGTGTTTTTCTTGCATAATTTTCAAAAGAGTCACCTCCTTAGCTAGTATCCGCGTTGGGTATGGATAGAATCGGATGGGAACAGAACAGGGAGCCTACAATGCTTTCTTTTTCTTTTATTTTTTATTCTTTCCGCCGACGAAAGACTGGTAGACTAAAAACATGGTGTGGTACAGCGGACGGACATGTGGGGGCCCTCCACCTTTGGGTTCTCTTTTTCCCATCCAGATTTGATGGGGAAATGATGAGTGATGCTTCACACATACACATTACACCTGGGAGTTACAATGGATTTTGGTTTTCTCGGGGTCACCCACAAACAACATGACAAGAGGTACTTGGCTGCCTTCTTTGGATTTTCTCTCGTGATACTGTGTTTGCTGTGACTGGGTTGTCTTTAAGGTTGTAAGTTGGTGATTTGATTCTAAATGCCTGACTTCTGTATTGTACCTGATTGGAAACGTTTACAACCTGGAAGGCTCCAAAATGCGAGGGCCCACTTGAACCGCGGCTTACGGGATAACGAAAAGACGTTTTTAGACAAACTTCCTACAAACTATTCTTATGTCAATATGTAGAGTTGATTCAGCTGGTTTCGTTTCTGTTCCGTATATGTCCGAGGCTATACAACTCTAGTTCATACAGTGGTAAACGCTCGAAACCCCAGCACTAATAAACTTACAATGCCGACAACAGTGGTCAAAAAACAAAAACGCTTGATTGAGATTGAACAAAATTCGTAAGAGATCCGTAGCGCCATCCCTACCTAGGTGACTTGGTACCTGTAGACCGGTACTACTCAATGGCACGGGCACTCAGTCCCACTACCTAGGTGCCAATGAAGCCATCACCCCAGAGCCGCAAGGGTTGTTCTGTGACCTCCATTAGCACTTACAGCCGCCCCATTCACCCACCGACCCTCCTCGCTGGCAAGGAACCCGACTATATAGGCAATGTCATCAGGCTCACCAAACCGCGGAGCAGCCGACGTCTCGAAAATGAGCTTGTCCGCAGCCTCGGTCGGCAGCTCGGAAAGCAACATGTGCAGGGCATCCGTGGCGGTGGGCCCCACGATGACGCTGTTGAACGTGATGCCCCGGTCCGACGCATACGTGTCAGCGAGCGACCTCGTGTAGCTGTCGAGCGCCGCCTTGCTGGCCCCGTACGTCATCAAGGGCTCGGCGCAGGTGCCCGTGCCCGAGATGCTCGAGATGTTGATGACCCTCCCGCCGCCGCCGCCGGCGTTCTTGGGCGCCGCGTGCTCCATGAACGCCACGGCCGTCGCCACGGGGGCGTAGACGTTGGCGAGCATGACAGACGCGAAGCTGTCCGGCGTGAGCTCCGAGCTGGCCCTGTAGTAGGCCGGGTCGCCCAGGACGGCGTTGTTGACGAGGATGTGGATCGTGTCCACGCCGAGGTCCGCGAGGGACTGCGTGATGACGCCGGGCCAGACGGCGGGGTCCAGGGCGTCGGCCCTGATCGCCGTGGCCTTCTTGACGCCCAGCGCGCGACAGGCCTCGAGCGTGTCGTCAGCCGCGGCCTTGTTTGATGCGTAGGTGATTGCAATGTTCTCAAGGCCCTTGCGAGCGAGGTGGATGGCGATTGCCTTGCCGATTCCCCTGGAGGCCCCGGTCACGACGGCGCTCTTGCCGCTCAGGGACCAAGGGTCGGCAGTTGTGCTCGGTGTGGACATGGTCGACGGCTTGAGTAGTGGCGAGAAAATAGCTGCCTGCCCAGGTGGTGAATGCTGGGATTGGGAGAAATGGATGACGGGTTTTGAATTTGCGGATCGCCTTGATGTCCGGATTGCGAGACAACGTCTATATGAATATAGACTATTTATATTTTTGGCTTTTCTCCACCAAGATGGAATCCACATTTATACAAGTAGTGTCCTAGAGGTGGTCTATATAAATATAAGCCGATTCGTCTCGCCACCGTGGTGTAACGATGCTCTGGTGATACAATATGAATCTGTGCCCTGGGAGTAAAATGTCATTTGCTGATTCAAGCTGACTACTCCCAAATCGGCTCTTGAGTTCATCCGGGCTCATGGTCACACACATACACACCACCGGCGACTTATTCTATGGTGAGCCATCACGATGGAGGTGCTAAGCATCTGCCTCCAGCATTTGTAATATGTCGCCGCGGTCAGCTTTGCCAAGATTAGAGTTCCGCCTTCCCCGACTGCTAAAACCGGGCAGGCAGGAGTGCGATAGACATTGCACCAGTTGATACTACATTGTGATGGTTACTAAAGGGATGTGGCCCACATTAAGATATGTGTCGGTACTTACTCAGCTAGGGGTTGGTAGTTAGGAGCTGCTTAAAACTGGTGTTGTGTAGAGAGCCCTGGAGGGGAAGATGTAGAAACGAATGGAACAAAGATCACCTCTTCTCCTTTAGACATACCCTATGGTTTAGCACATGTACTTCTTAAGGAAGAATTTAAAGACATCTAGGAGAAGGAATTTAAATAATAAATCTAAGTGAGGTCTATACTTTTAAAAAAGATATCTTTATATTATTTATACTCCCTCCTTAATATAAGGTTAAAAGACTTATAATTATAATTTTTTAATTAATCTTTATTTAATTATTTTATTATATTATAACTTAATTTAGTTTTTAATTTTATTTAAGTCTCTTTTAAGTTTATTTAATATTTTTAATAAAGTTAAAAGTTTAAATATTTTATGTTTAAGTTTAAAATTTTATAAATTTTAATTTATTTTAAATTAAACTTATAATCCCTTAACTTCTTTTAAAATATATTAATAATTTTAAATAATAATAAATTCTTTATAAAATAAAGATTTATTTTTATATAATTATAAATTTAATTATTAATAATTATTTCTTTTATTTATAATAAAACTATTAGAATTATAAATTTAAAATAGTAATAAAGTGTAGTTACCTTACTTAAAAATTATTTCTTAATTTAATAATATAATAAGTTAAGTAACTACTTTTAAGTAGTTGTATTTATAAAGTTAATAGTTTTTAAGTTCGTTAAATAAGTATTTATTTAAATAAATTTAAAACCTATATATATTCTTTAAGGAAATAGTAACTTTATTTTTACTTATTTTAATTAACTTATATTTACTTAAGTTATATAGCGATCTCGTATATAGTGTTTAATAATATTAAAATTAGCCTATAGTCTATAATAGTTTTAACTTTTAATAAGTTAATATTATTAGCTCGAATTAATATAACTTAATATATTAATATAAAAGTATTTTTAATAATAAATAATATTATAAATAATTTTAAAGTTATTATAAAAGTTTAATATATTAAATTTAATTAAGTTAATTTTTAAAAATATATTATATTTTATTTCTTTAAAACTTTAATTATTTATTTCTAATTTAATAATAAGATTAAAAATATAAATAGTTTATAATTTATATTATTCATATTAATTTTATTATAAATATATTATATATTTAAATATTTAAAATTATAAATATTTTATAAACTTTTAAATATTTATAATTACTTTTAAACTTTATTTATATACTTATATTATTTTAAAAGAAATACTTAACTTTTAATTTTATATTTATAATTATTTCTAACTTTAAATTATAATTATAAATATATTAATATAAGTAAGGAAATTAAAATAAGTTATTTAAATATATAAAAGTAATAAATATAATTAAAAAGTATATTATATTCTTATAATAATTTCTATAGAGTGATAGTAGTATTAGTTAATAGGCCGAGGTTTATATGTAATTATAAGGTGGAAAAGAATTAGAATGTGGGTAACTAATTAGTTACTGCACTTTTATTTAGTCTTAATACCTAGGTACCTTTAAAGAAGCTTGAGACTTGGACACCGACTTGGACAAGTGGCATACCAAGGTATTTATATCAAGTAGACTGTACCGGTTTTATTTTTCTCTAGATATATCCATCACCTCCACCAAGGAGAGAGCTAGACACAACCTTTCCTAATCCCCCCAAGTAGCCTCGTACTGCATCAAAACTCTCTAATTCCTCACCAATCTGTCGTTCAGTTGCTTTCTTAAACTCCACAACACCAAGAGACCATCCTACCTTAGTTACCTTGACGCTTTCAAAAGGCACCACATATGTTTTATATGTATAGGGATTAGAAACGAAACCACATATGCTTTCAAATTTTTGAGGACCTTTATATTTGGTAAGTTATTTTGGGGTACAATGAGTGAGGATGTCATACCTCGCCTTGTACTTTTGTTGTTGTTCTGTGTCCTGCCCAGGTGCTGTGCAGCATCCATGTCGGGCTTGGCCTCCATCTACTGGGATCACTTGCTGTTTCGACAGAAACTTTTACGATATCTGCAGCTAATTTCACAGCCATACTCAACGGGTATGTCATATTCGCCGAGCCAGGGGCAGGCACCCTTGGGCGACTAGAAGCGTAAATTGGGAAAGTCATGGATAGCAACGCCGAATAAAACATCCTTCCAGCCATCCTTCACCAAGTGCAGACCAACTTACTGCTTCCACAACTACACATTTAAATTTTCATCCTAAGTTCCGGCCCACTCCAAGTCACCTGCTGCATCAGCATCCTTGTATTATTGATTCCTTCATACACACAAACCTCGATACGGAACGAGAGACCCACACTTCACAGAACCCAGAACAGTCTCCTAAATAAATTGAGAGAAACTATTGACATAAACAATGCGAGCCGATTGTTTTTTTCTTCTTTTCTTTTTTCCTGTAATCATTGTCTCCTTGCAAGCAGACCACAAAATAGGATCAATGCCCTTCAATCTTGTTGAATAAGCTAATTGGATTATAGCCAATGCTTCTCCAAACCTGAGTGTCCCAGAGGAGATTAGGATCCTTTATTATGGCAATATCAAGCCTCTCGGGGCACCCAGGAGGCATGGAGCCCCCTCCCAAACACAAGGAACCTTTGTAGAATTAGTCATGTGTCCTCATCCCATGATAAAAGCCTGACAGTGTAACTTACCCGCAGTCGTCGGTTAAGGTGGCATGAGGCGCCAGCCGAAAGTTGTAGCGCATCAGTAAGGTTGGCACAAGCTATACAGTCGGGTTAGATCATTCATGCAAAGCGTTGATAGTAATTCTCACCTTTTCAATTTCCAACCAGCTGATATCTGTGAAGCAAGATGCAAATCAGCAAGCTGAAATTTGGACGGACATGTCATGAAGAGGCACTTACTGCGACCGAGGCATGTTCGTGACCCGCCGCCGAAAGTAAAGAAGTACCGCTCTGTACCGGGTTCAGCATTTCTGTACAGTTCGAGAGGATGATAGACTTACTCAGTCCCTCATTTTCCTTGCCCAGCCATCTTTCGGGGCGGAACGACTCGGCATCAGAACCCCATATGCTGGGCTCCCGATGAAGGGCCCACGCGCTGGTCCCGACCTCTGTCTGTCACAATGTCAGCACAAGCGGACCGGTTGAAGACAACAAAACCCTGTTCTTACCCCTTCCGGAACAAAATGACCGTCAATAGTCATTCCACCTGGAGGTACAACACGATCCAGTGTAAGACCGACGGATGGGCGCAGACGCAAGGCCTCATAGATTACTGCCTGCAGGTATGCACAAGACCCGGCCTGGCTTGCAGTAACAATGGGGCTGAGCTCGCCTCTGGCCGCCTTATCTTCTAATTCAGACATCAGGCTGCGATGTGTATCCGGATTGCGCAATAGATAATGGAATACAGAGCTGAGCGCAATTGAAGTCGTGTCCGACCCGGCAGTGACGTTTGAAGTCATCATGAAGGCGATGTCGATGTCCTTCATTTGATGCTTGCCTCGCTGCACTTCAAGAAGCTTTCCAAGAATATCTCGGTCGTCGCCGCCGCGGTCTTTTCTCGCGTGTATCTCCCGCCACGCGAACTGGTTGAAGTAGCCGTTTCGATTATCAGCTGCGACGCCGAACCAGCCGCCAAATATTGACTTCAGCTTCAGGTGTAATCGGAAAGCCCAAACAGCACGTGTTAGCCACGCGATGGATTTGAAGGTAGCTTTAAGTCTATCGAACATTCCGTTGTCGTCACCGGCTGCGATATAGCCGTAGGGGCGGGAGAAACTGATCGATCCAATTATGTCTGTTGAGCTACTTAGTGACTGGCACTCGACTCGCATCAGGTAATATTGGGACACACCAAATGCGAACAATTGGAACCATTGTGCGAGATCGATAGTCTGGCCAGTGATCTCATCGAATTTATTCAGCAGAGCTTGGACAGTCTCGTCAACGCGTGGCTCAAGCTGGATCATAGACTCCAAGGAGTAGGCCCGCGCGACCAGCTTGCGTTGTTCGCCGTGGACCTTTTCGTTCCTCTCACCAGCGAGATCGAAAGAGCGACCGGCATTCAGGACGTCCATGGACTCGGTCTTGATGAACTTATTGCCTGCCTCTTTGGTGTGTTAGCGATCCTCTCAAGGGGCGGGCAGAGACAGCGACACACTGTAAATCTCACGGAAAGCCGTGGGGTCAGTGACGCTCCTGTGAAAACCAAGTCAGCCTGTAATCGTCGAATCTTAAAAAGTGTGAAAATCTCACAATGCATTCGGTCCAATTCGAACTACTGTCCCGTATTTCTTGTGGTAATTCACAAGCTCGATATGTGTGGCATTTCCAAGCACACTATTCAGTCGGGGGAAGCTGGTCAGCTTGGCCCAGAATGGCCCGGGTATGCTTGACAGAGGCGAGAAGAACAGCTGATATAACGCGTAGACGCTTGCACACGACACCGCAATAGCCACACAGGCAGCTGCTGTGGTGGCGGGATAAGCGACGATGGTCGGAATAAACATTCTGCGAATTTTACATGTAGTGCAAATTGAGTCTGGACCGTTACGATAGCTCCATTAATCACTCGTGAAGGCGGCCTTGGCTCTTTTATGCGTGGACGAAGTCCGTACGTATTGACCAGCTTTGAGGCGTCGGAGTTGGCAAGATCGCCCTGCATCTTGATGAACGGAATTCAAGCATCCGTGTGCACGAATTTAGTGCAGTGACTGTGGGTATTCCCTCCTGATCGCTAGTCAAGCATAAAGTCCCCCAGGTCATCGGGCACTTTTAAGAGAAAACCATTGGCCAATTTAGCTGTCAAGTATTCTCCCTCAAATTGTTATGCATGGTAATTGTAGAAAACAGTGGGACTGTCCTAGGATTGTTGAAGATCTGTAGACTGCACAGCTAAATCATATGGGAGAGTGACCTTCTCCGAAAATAATAGAAACAGGATTTATCTGTAGGGATTGTTGGCTGTACACACACGTCGACAACTGCGAATGGGGTACGGAATACGACTTTACACAGCATGCAAGCACGAGGTTTGACGCGAACCACCGATCGGGGCCGACGTCTTGGATGATCGACGCGAGACTCTACCCGGGTAGACCAGCCCCAGCCTATCGGCAGTCACCACACGGGTGTGCTCAGTGCCGAGCCCCACCCGAACGCGGAGTTAAACGCGGAGTTACACGCGATACTTTCAGCGGCCTCTTCATTTTTCCATCCTTGCGCCCTACCAGCTGCCTACCTGTAAATGATCATTGATATGTTGCTAGCCGTTCCTGCCGGGCCACACGTACAACCCCTTTGAAGGTGTCTGGAACAAGGGGTCAATTTGCGCCACCCTGGATTCCCACCTGGGCAGGATTGGCTCTCTAGCCGCGCGGTTGGTGGTCTCAACTCCAACTAACTAACTCGTCGGAACCTCGGTCTATTGATAAGACCCGCTGGCCACAAACAGCCCTCCGATTACATCTTTGTTCCCTGGGCCTCGCTATTGGGTTTCCGCACTGGCATTTGTCAATATTGCTCTTCCTTAAGCCCTGGGTGTTTGAGCATCCTTCATTTATCAAGGGACAGCATACGTGTCCGGCACTACTGTTCTGAAAATGAGCAGCCTCGATGCTCCAAATTCCAGCTATCATCGGCTTGCGGGCCTTCATAAAATGGTCTGACCGGCTGCATGTGCTCTGTGATCAGCGACGGAATTATTTTCAATTTTCTAGACAGAGGAGGTGAGCGAACGTGAATAACCCCCGCGCGCGCTGTTTGGTACGTCCAATTCTGTCTAGGGTCCAACCCTTGAATCCGGAACCTGTAAAATGTAGAATTCGTGCCCCGCCCAGGCGGAATTCACACTCATCTTCCCAACAAATGTCCTATGTTGGAGTTGGAGGAGCATTCACTCGAGGCTCTTGATAATGGGTGTACCGATCAATACGGCCCTGCGATGGGAACGAGAGCATAAATACCAATTTCCGAGTGGGGAACGTTTCTCGAAAGCCCTGCTCGATTCCGTAACCTGCCACTTCGCCAAGGTCCGCACCAGAGACTGGGAAACCAGGATGATGGAATACTGGAACCCAAATGAGAACGACATACGAGATAACGGAGAATACGAATCCTTCAAGTCCAAGTGGAGGATGAAAAAAGCCATGTCGCAAATTGATTTGGGGCGTTGGGCAGAGGCCGAAGCTGAATCTGGAGCTGAGCAGTACCTTCGCGACACCATCGAAAAGTGCAAGCAATTGCGTCGCAGCAACGAATTCCATGGTTTCATGTACCTGCCTGGTGAGATCCGCGACATAATATACCGCCTCGCCCTTTTCAGGGGCAAGGTCGTTGTACCGAATAGCAGGCACAGCATGGGGCCTCAGGCATTCGAGGCCGTCGAGAACTACGAAAGCTTCGACGGATACTATTACAGGCGTTACGAAGGTGTTACACACGAACTTCACGCGATGAGGCACAGCCATCATACAATTCCTCTCGGCCTGATCCAGGGGGTCAGTCGAGCTGTGCACGACGAAGCTGCGCGGATCTACTTTGGCAGTAACCAGTTCATCTTCCCTTCCGGCTCCTTTGTACATCCTCGATATTGTAATTTGCGTACCGCCTTTGAAGCTCACGGCGGAGATGGGTTTCAACGCGATATCGACAACCGGACAAACAATGCCCCACTACTCCGTGACGTGAGCTACACCTTCGACATGCGAGACCACCCGATCGACGATCACACAAACCTCTACATGAATTACGGCATCAAGGCATCCGTCGACGATGGCAGGCGCTCACGTGGCGAGGCCCTGCAAGCACTGCATGATGCGAAGGCGCTTGAGCTGGAAATCGACTGGGCCGAACGTATCGACAGCATCAAACTCATGACCTTGGACCGCCTGGTTCTGGACTTTCAGGAGTGCTACTGCCCCATCGGATGCTGTCGTAAGGTACAATGGGTAGTGGATCGCTTCCTGCACGAGGGACCGCCTCCCGGGACTGCTGCCACAGAAGACAATGCATACTCCTCGTATGACTGGTTCAACCGCCCACCGCGCATGGTTGAAGTTATGGGTTTCGTGGATGACAAAGAGGAATTAACGGCGATGGTAAAGTTGAGACGGCTAATTGGATCAGTGATATGCCTCATCGAAACTAATGATGTCCCTAATGATTTTGACCGCCCAATGCAGGAGCTTCTACTAAGTGATTGAGAAGGATTGGTGGTGGGAAGAGCACCAGGTGGCGATGATGGAGGAATACAGAGAGCGCTTTTATATTCATCTTCTGTCTTTCTCCGCAGCGTAATGTGACGTCAACTTCAGAACGTAAATGCCTTGAACTGATCGGGTAGCCAAGTATGCCCGCCTGACTACACGATTCAAAATCACTAGTAAATCTACTCATAATACCCCGTGGGACGACTGAGTTACTCCAGCGATGATCTCCTTTTTCTTGTTTTACAAATATTGAACCCTATGCGCAACCGGTGATCCCGAGGTCCTTGTCAAGACGCGCCCGGGCACCTGCAGACCTGCGACAGGGTGGTGGAACCCGAAGGTAAGCATATTGTAATCAGTGTGGCCTTGAGCCCATATATTACAAGCTGCGGCACCCTACTCCCCTAGTCATCCTTGAGCTCAAACACCGAAGCAAACAGCCGAAGCAGACGGAAAAGCAGTGCGTTATGCACCCTCCGCGAGGATTCCTGGATCTCGTCCAAGTGATCGTGGATCCTCTAGGCCTCAACCTCGGCAATTGTGACGATGTCCTTCCCCAGCATAGGCCATGGTCATGCGAATATGAGCGAGCTTCATATGAGAGATAGGTATCAAACTGGACTATGCGAAACGGAATCCGTAGCTGGCTTTCCAATTAGGAATCCACGGAAATGACTATACTTGCACAAATAACATTGAGGCATTAATGAAACAAGAATCCAACAGAATAGATTAAACTTGTATGTGTAGTATGTATAGCCCTAATCAAATGCTACCTCTCAACCATAAACCAGCCAGCACTTACGCCCAAGCGCTGTCAACTAAGAAGCTCGTATCATCGGGGAACAAATATGCACGATCGTAGTTGTTGTTAGTCTCCCCGCTGCCCGCAAGCCAGCCAAGGAGGTCGTAGTGGCGGACAAAGCGAGTTGTGTACATAAGGGAGCGGAGGGAGACTCCTTGTCCATTATTTCCAGGTTGTGGACAGAAGGTGGCGTCTTGGTTGAACTGCAGGCTGTTATCGCCAACGTTGACATATAATGCGAAATAGTAGTGCCGAAGGTAAGAACCAGGGCTATCATGACTCTCAAGCGAGATGCAGCTGCTGTCAGCTAGCCCTGGCCGTACTGTCCAGCTCGACTGCTGCTTGAGCAATGTGGAGCTTGTATCCAATACTTCTGTAAGAGTGACTTGGTTATCACCGTCATGAGAGAGATATCGTGTGTTGTATCCAGGTGTAGTATCCTGTAGTGAGATGGTATTGTTGACACGCAGTGCAGCCCCGGTTGGAAGCGCGGTTGACGAGGAAGTTGGTTCCGTTGAAGAAGCTGTTGTCAAGGGAGTTGTTGTCGATACTGTGGACGTCGGGCCGCTTCCCACCAGAACAATTAGCGGCACCCACACTTGGTAAGTTACGCCCAAAGCTGTCCTCACATCCAAGACCACGGTGAAGAGCCCAGGAAGTGTAATAGACCCTACCAAGTCCGCTTTTAGGCCAAATATCTGGCTGAATCCCACATATGAGGAGTCTGCTGGAAGAGGGGGATATACATTGTAATCATCAATTACGTCGGTTGTGTCGCGAAGGAAGAGGTTAAGAGAAATATCCCAGGATTTTCCCGCTTCGACAGGGATGCTGCTTGCTGTCGGGGAGGAGGAGGCGGACGTAGATCCAGTTGTGCTCTCGCTTGTAGATTCCGTCGTGCTCTCGCTCGTGGGGGTGCCAGTAGATTCTGTCGTGCTCTCACTAGTAGCCTCTGTCGTGCTCTCACTCGTGGGGGTGCTAGTAAATTCCGTCGTGCTCTCACTCGTAGATTCGCTAGTCGACTCGCTCGTGGGCGTTGCAGTAGATTCGCTAGTAGATTCTGATGTGCTCTCACTCTCCGGCTCTGATGTGCTCTCGCTAGTAGCCTCTGTCGTGCTCTCACTTGTGGCGGTGCTAGTAAATTCCGTCGTGCTCTCACTAGTAGCCTCTGTTGTGCTCTCACTCGTGGTCATGCTCATGGACTCGCTGGTCGAATCGCTCGTGGGCGTTGCAGTAGACTCGCTAGTTGACTCGCTCGTGGTCATGCTCATGGACTGGCTAGTTGACTCGCTCGTGGGAGTTGCAGTGGATTCACTCGTCGACTCGCTCGTTGGCGTTCCAGTAGACTCGCTAGTGGGCGTTGCAGTAGACTCGCTAGTTGAATCGCTCGTGGTCATGCTCATGGACTCGCTAGTCGATTCGCTTGATGGCGTTCCAGTAGACTCGCTCGTGGGAGTTACAGTGGACTCGCTTGTGAGCGTGCCGGCAGATGTATCTGACCCACTTGTAGACGCAGTCGCAGCGGACGTCGTGTCAGATCCGCCAGTTGACGTACTGATTGCAGAAGTCGAGACCTCAGAAGTGCTAGCAGATGCCGTAGTATCTCCAGAAGACATGCTCTCGGACGAGCTGACAGACGTGCCTGGCTCACTTGTTGTCATGGTAGACATAGCCGATGTACCAGTAGACTCGCCCGTAGACGTGACAGTAGATTCACTGGTAGGTGTGCTCGCATATGAGTCAGTAGAAGTAGTGGCTCCGGAAGATGTGCCAGTAGATTCACCAAGAGATTCGCTCGAGGATGTGTAGGTAGATGTATCAGTGGATAGTCCAGTGGGCGTGCTAGCAGGTGTGCCAGTAGACTCGCTCGAGGATCCGGAAGCAGATGAAGCAGTGGATAGTTCAGTAGGCGTGCTAGCAGGTGTACCGGTTGATTCGCTGGAAGGAACACTGGCAGGTGTACCAGTTGATGCCTCAGAAGGTGTTGCAGTAGACGCGCCAGTAGATTGGCTCGCAGGCGTGCCAGTCGACGTGTCGGTGTATCCACTCAGAGAGGTACTGGCAGATGGGTCATAAGACCTGCCATCGGATGTGCTAGCAGACGTAGTGGAATCCGGGGGCGTGGTGGCTCCGGCAGATGATCCAGTTGACTCGACCGTAGACGCCGTGCTTGCCGTAGGAGCGGACACGATGATGCACGGTATGGTCAGCGTGTACGAGGAGCCATTTAGGCCCGTAACGGTCACGGTGATGGTAAAGAAGCCCGGCGCCTGAATCGATGGGACAACACCAGCAATATTGCGAAGGCTCTGGTCCAGGCCAAGCCACTGGAAGTTGGGATTCGACACGATGGGGCCAATAACCTTGTCACCAGGATCGTTCATGTATAGGCCCAGGTCGATGTTGAAGGAGAATCCAGCTGTGACGGTTGCGGCGGGTACGCTGGCCGTGGGACTCGCAGGCCTCGAAGATGTCGTCGTGCCCGCCGGTGCGATTACCACCGTAAATGTTACGCTGTACCCACTCAGCCCTGGGCCCGAGGCTCCTACCGCAAGGGTAACAGTGAATGTTCCTTGTGGGGTGCCCAGGGGCGCAGTGCCAGTCAAGACCTGAAGTGAAGTATCGAGTGTGATGTACGGTTGCACTGGGTTGAACGCCGCCGAGACTGCATTGTCTCCAAGAGCTTTCAAGAACTGCGGGATTGGAATACTGAAAAGAACACCTGGCGTGATAGTTGGCGTCGGGAGGCTGGTAGCAGTGGGCCCTGCCCCCGTTGAAACTGTGCTTGTGGGAGGAGTGATCAGGAAAGGTATGGTGACAGGATACGTCGAGCCGCCGAGCCCAAGAACAGTGAATACAGCGTTGTAGAGCCCTGGCGCCGTACCGAGCGGCGCCGTGCCGATAATGTCACGGGGCGACCCGACGTTGAAAAAGCTGAATGGTGCTGTCACGATTGCCTGGAGGGTATCGCTGGGATCGCGCAGGTACGGCAAAGCAGAGAAGTCAAAAGGAACTCCAGGTACGATGGTGAATGTCGGGAGACTGGACGCGCTCGGGCTGGAGGGCGTGGTTGGCAGGACAGGGGTAGAGCTGCTGCTCCCATTGATTGCCAAGACTATGATTTGCATCGTGAGGGAGTATGGGTTGCCACTGCCATCCACCGCGTTGATCACAAGCTCGAAAGGACCAGGAGGTGTAGTCAAAGGCGCAAGGCCGGCAAGGAAGCCGGCCTGTGTGGGATCGAGGCCAATCCATGGGTAAGATGGCTGTGTCGATATCGAGTTGATTTTATCCGTCAGCGCCTTCAGGTAACGTGCCACGGGGATTTGGAAAGGAACGCCTGGGGTGATGCTGGCTATTGGCATGGCACTTTGAGTGGGCTGCGAGGTTTGGCTTGCTCCCGATTCTCCGCCGGGCTGTGACGCAGATGCTGAGGTCGCGATATTACTTAGGCTGCTACTTCCTCCAGAGCCGCGCACGATCAGGATAGGGATGTTGACCGTATAAGTGTCTCCATTAACGCCCCGCACGCTCAGAGTGACAGTTGTGAGGCCGGGGATCGCATCGATGGGCGCCGTCCCTGCGAGAAGATTACTGCCCGGGCGCGATGGGTCCAGCCCGATCCAGTTGTAGACGGGGTCCGTCGTGAGAGGCCCCACAACGTCCTTGGGGTCTCGCAGGTAAACGGTGGTGTCGATCAAGAATACAAGGCCGGCAATGATAGTCGGCGTTGGTAAGCCCGTGCCGGTGGGAACCATGCTGGGTATGCCGGGTGATGTGGAAGACGAAGGGGGCTTTGGCACAACCCTAAGAGGGAATGGGATTGTAATACTCAACCCACCGCCATCCACCCCTCTGAGTGTTGCAATAATAAGCCCTGGTAGCGTATCAGCGGGTACGACACCCTGCAGGCTGAGACCATCTGGACCCTGGACGAGCTTGATGAAGTCGGACACGGGCTGAGTTGACTCGAGCGAAACGACGTTCCCTGCGAGTCCCAGCAAGGCTGGCCTGATGGGGATATTGAATGGCTGTCCAGGTGTGATTTCCGGGGTTGGAAGGCTGGTGCCCGATGGAAGGGTTGGTGTTGTTGTCGAACCGGGTTTTGGGCCGACAGCCACGACGAACTGGACGGTAAAGGGCGCACCACCTGGCAGCTTGCCGGTGAGAGTGACTGCAATCAGGCCGGGCAGCTGATCGATGGGGACGACACCGCTGATGCTGGGCGAGGCTCCGGAAGGAGGGTCTAGCTTCATCCAGTCTGAAGGAGGCGCAGTGGAGATTACCAGGTCGGAGACTCCAGCAAGTGGCAGGAAAGGTCCCAGGGGAATGGTGAAAGCGACGCCAGGGGTGACTGTGGGCGTCTGGAAGGCCGTCCCAGTCGGAGTCGAGGATGGCACCGAGGTTGCGGACGGACTGGCGCCGAGGGCAACTATGACGGTGAAGACAGTCGTGTATGGGTCGCCACCAGCGGTCAACGCGCTCACCGTCACGGTGATGGGGCCTGGGGGCTGGTTCGCAGGCACGAGACCGGAAATGGCAGCGACAACGGCTGATGCCGGATCAGTGAGGTTGAACCAAGAGAGCTGAGGGTCCGTCCTGATGGCGGACACACTGTCGCTGAAGCTGCGGAGGAAGGGCCACAGCGGGACAACAAAAGGCTGGCCGGGGTACACAGTTGGAGTCGGGCGAGCCGGCGGCGGCGGGCCTGTCGACGTAGCCCCCGGCACACTGGAAGCTCCGGATGGGACGACCGGCCCCGTCGTCGACGGAGCAGGCGCCGCGCTGCCGCTGCCGCTGCTAGATGGGGGCAGTACCGAGGCTTGGACGAGCCTCACAAAAGGCGCACCAAGAGCCGTGGTGCCACTGATGACGAGCGTGAGGTCCCCGGGGGCTTGTGTGGGCGGGACAGTGCCGCGTAGCGACTTGGTGACCGGGTCCAGCGTCAGCCACGGAGCATCTGGCAGGGTGGAGATGGACTGGGGAAGATCGCCGCCACTCTGCAGGTAGTCCAGGACCGGGATGTTCAAGGTCTGGCCCGGCGTGAAGGTGATCGGGGGCAGGGCAGGCAGGACGACCAAGGTGATGATCTTGGTGAAGGAGATGCCGCCCGCAGTCACGCCCCTGAGGCTGAGCGCGACAAGACCCAGAGGCTGCGAGTCGGGTACCGTGCCTCGTAGCCGCTTGGTGATGGGGTCAAACGTCAGCCATGGCGCATCTGGGATGGTGGAAATGTTTTGGGGCTGATCACCGGCGTTGAGGAAGCCGAGGACGGGGAAATCCAATATCTGGAGCCGACTGAACATGAGGAGCGGCGGCAGGGAAGGCGGGGGCGAGGCTGAGGGCGAGGCTGAGGCTGAGGCTGTTGGGGTCGGCACCCCAGCCCCCGCCACGACGATTGGGACAAGGACCAGATACGTCGCACCATTCTGCGGGGCACTGGTGTCGAGGTCGGTGATGATGAGCTGGATGACCCCCGTCGCCTGCGTGCTGGGGACAATGCCCTCGATGGTCCCGGCCGACGTGTTGAGCGTGATCCACGGGGACAGCGGGTCGGTGCTGATGGCGACGGGCCTGTGGGTGTCCCCCCGCCGCGGCGCAGGGAAACTGAAAGGTTGGCCTCGGAATACAGTAACGGCCGGGAAGACCAACGGGCCACCACTGCCCGTGGGGCTCGGAGCAGTGCTCACGCCAGCCGACGACGGTCGGCTCAACGAAGACGTGGTGCTCGCGGCCTCGGGCACAACACCGAGCGTTATCGTTACCACGTATATGTCACCGCCTAGACTGCGCAGGGTGAGGGTGAGTATCGCGAAGCTCAGTGGCTGGTTGTCCGGCGGAGTGCCTACTATCGCGCCGTCCGGGCTGATGCTGATCCATGGGTATGCCGGTTGGGCAGTGAAGTTGACGAGGACGTCGGTTGGGCGGGCCAGGTACTTTGCCAAGGCGATGCGGAACGGCAGACCCGCGAAGACAGTCTCACTCGCGGCCACGTCGGGTGCCCCAGTGGTGCTTGGTGACGCCGCCGGACTAATTGTCGATATCGATGTCGATGTGAATGTCGATGTCAGCGAGCCAATCCCCGGCGGCAGGCTGGCGCTGCTTCCGGGCGGCGCACGCACGTCGATGAGCACGACGAACTGCACGACGCGGGGATCAGCGGCCTGCCGCTTGACCAGACCGGCCCTGCCTGCCAGCCGAGCAGTCACGATCGTTCTCAACTGGATGCTGGTGGGGTAGTCTATCGGGACGAGACCCTCGAGGGCCTTGTTCACCGGATCCAGCAGCACCCAGTTCACTGCCGGGTCCACGATGATGCCAAGCACGCTCTCGATGGGCGTGGTCAACACGTTTACCAGGCTGTAAGTGAAGGGCTGGCCCGCGTACACGGTGAACTCGGCTGCCGTGGGGAACGCAACGGCACCCGGGTTTGTCGGTGTGGGGGCGGGAAGTCCTGGTGGGCCGGGCGGGCCGGGAGGGCCAGGAGGGCCGGGCGGTCCCGGGGGTCCTGGCGGTCCTGGCTGACCGACAGCCCCGGTTGGGTTCGCGTTCGGGGGATTCGGAGGACCTGGGTATGCTGTTGGGCCCGACGAGCCCGGCAGGGACAGCCACGTTGTGACATAGGTGTAACAGAAAGAAGCAGGCTCCCCGAGGCCATATTGCCCCGAGGCCACCGGAACCAGCAGCGCCAGCAGCCCAACCAATCCGAGCCACCGACGAGGCACCCCATAAGCCATGGGTTTCCGTTTTCCTGCCATGATCAGGCCACTCAATCAAGCCGATGGGTAGCACAATAACGATTGACGATGGGTGGGTAGTACAGTAAAGATTGTGATGTGAGAACAAAGCTCGATGCCAAACACTGGTAGCCTGGTCAAAAAAGAGTGACGACTGCTCGAGATACGGAGCGCCTCGTCTTCATTACGGCGTGCACCGAGGTCGACGACAAGATATATATGTATCAATATAGGAATGAGCATTCCGAAAAAAACACAGCCTCGGGTAGTGCCATGTATTGCACGCTAAATTCTACCTGCCTCCTAGCATTCAATTCCAGTCACGTAGCTCCATCGTGTACCGTCCGATATTGTGATTGTGCCGCAGATCGGTCTAGTCTCACTCTTCACGGGGAGTCAGCATGCTTGTATTCAAAGAAACAAAAACAAGACGTTATGTTGAGGTCTTCCAAGGCGCCAGGCCGATCAATGTCTCGGCTGAGTAGCCACAAAACCGTTGTAACGCCCTGCTGATCAGACACTGATCGCCGTTGCATGCCAAACGCCACTACTCTAACTTTGTTGCCCGGGATCGTGTTGAGATCGCGACGGCTGGCCACTAGTCACCAGCATTATCTACAGTCCAGACTCGCATGCCAGATTCCTGTCAGGATTTGACGCGTCTCGAGGAAAATAAACAGGCGTGCCAGGTGGAAAAGCGGTTGATGTAAACAAAACGCCGCAGATACAGGATTTCCAGGTGTCGCTCATCTTATATAACCTGGAGACCACGGCAGCAGAGCAGCAACTGCTAACGTTTGTACTCGTCGGTTTGCCTCTGCCACGGCCCCAGGTTGTTCGGGAGACTCGCCCGGTCCATTCGTTCTCACTCTATAGCTTACACATTCTCTTCCTCGATCCCTTGTATAATGTTTTAACCCCCTCCTGTTATACCAGAAACAATACACAGCCACTTGTATACAATGAGCACTAATAAAATGGGCTCGCTCAGTGCCAAACTGGCCCTTGCAAGCCTCGCAGCTGTCGTCGCCGCCCAAGATATCTGCTACCCCCAACTTACCTCGGCCACCATCACTGAGTGTGTGCCAAACACTGGCGCACCAAAACCCACGCCCTGCGGTGCTGCCTGCCCAAATCCACTTGTCAGGTAAGCCATCGCGGCGACGGCCCGCTTATTCAACGTGTCTAGACAGCATCAGAAGCCCTAACCACAAATGTCACTACATAGCCATGGCGGACGAAAGGGCGGTCCCGTAACGGTGGCCGTGCCGATGCCCTCATGTCAGGAGTGCGGCTGTGCCACTTGCGTACACGCCAACGTCTATACCACCAGTTTCGCCACCTTCTGCCCAGAGGGCATCACCACCCAGGTCTACGTCGTCAAGGAGCTCTACACCGGCATGTCCGCGCCCCCGTCCGTGACACAGCGCCCGAAGGTCCCCATGGGCTTTGCACAAGGCGTCCATACCTGCCACTCGTGCGGGCCCAAGCCCATCACAACCCAGCTCATCTACCCGGCCAAAGGTTGCCCCTTCGTCCAAGGACAGAGCGGGCCCGCCCCCGCTCCGGGAGGAATACCCGGCTGGGTCGTGTCTCCGGAAAAAGGCGGCCCTGGGTTTACTCCCGCGCAGGATGGTAAGGGATGGCTCCCGGCCCCTCCGAAGCCCGAAGGTGGCGCATACTGGGGTGGCCAAAGTCTCCCCGAGAGCTGGGGTGGAGCCCAAGGCTGGTCCAACGCTGGCCCTGGTGGTATTCCTGCTCCAGGAATTGGTGCTGGTCCTGGTCCCGGCTCGCCCCCTGGCCCCGGCGGTGTTCCTGGTGCTATTCCTGCTCCGGGCTCCGGGCCTGGTCCCGTCCCTGCTCCGGGCGGGCCCCAAGCTGGCCCTGGGGCTGCCCCTGGCCAAGGATCAAATGGAGCCCAAGGAGGTGTCGCTCCTGCTGGTGTCGCTCCTGCTGGTGTCGGGGGTGGTGCATATGTTGCTCCCAGCGCACCTGAAAAAGGTCCAGGTAAGCCAAGCCTAGCCCCTGCCATCCACGATGATGGAACAGCAAATTTAATGGATGTCTCCTTTTCATCTAGGTTCCGGGCCCGACAAGCCATCTGGGCCTCCAACTTCCAGCCCAGACAAACCCCCACAACCTCCAGTCCCCGGGGCGGGCGGGCCAGGCTACCAACAAGTGTCTGCCGCCTTTGTACCAACAATCTTTTCGGCCTTGGGCGTCATGTTCGGCCTCTTCTCAACTACAGTTCTTCTTCTGTAAGGAAATATGGATAGTTTGGCTGCTGAACAATTGCATATCTTCTCTTCTGGCGCTGAAGTACTGTGGTGAAATGGCAAATCAAACACCAGCAGAGCATCTTAAGGAGTAGAATCACGAGTGTAACATTATTTCAGGACGGCAAGCAAGAACCCAAGACTTCTCGTTGACTCAATCAATGTCAATTGTTTATGTGCCCTTATAATAGAGGCGAAAGAGCCTAATAGTGTGCAGCATTTTTATTTTAATAATAGACCAAGGACCAATAGGTTCCTATTATAGTCACGGTTGGCTCGTAACAATAATATGGGAAAGTCTTATTCAAATTATCATTGACAGATTTCCTTGTGCTTTAGAAAGTCATCTTGTATTGCAAAAGTAAATTCAACTATAGGCTGTTACGAAATTATACTACTTAATTCTTGATATAGGGAAAGGCTCATCCGTTTCTATACGAAAAATCCATCGACAGTCCTACCATTGTCCCTCTAAAGCCTGTCAATGGTTAGTTTCGATCCTAAAAGACATCTTCGCACGGCATACCTAGGTAACACCCAATCTACAACGAGAGTTGAAAAGACTTCATTCTGCAGAGCGCTCAGTGCTCAGTGCCTCTTCTCTGGTCCTATGGCTCCTACTACAATACTTAAGTACCACTTGACGACTACTTCCACCTCGAAGCCTCTCAAGCTTGGCCCCTTGACCAGTGGGGTGGAAGGTGCATGGACGGAGTCCCCCACAGAGAATCCCAACGCTTATTTTTGATTGCCATCCTGGCGTGTTAATAAGCAACACGGGGCTTGCGGTTGGCCGTAGCAAACTGCATGCCTGGGCATGTCCGGCACCTTGGTTGAACTAAACCTGGTTTCTGGGCTTGACATTACCTTAACGTCCGTTCTTACACCAGAAATTGACCCGCATTCCCCCATTGGCGGCTGCTGATTGATCACTAAGCAAGTTCAATCTGACCAATACGGACATTCTGCGTGATCTTCCTCTCCCCGTTTGGATGTCTGAAATGGGGAGGGTTCAACTTCTGACTAGTTTCTGAAGGTATAGGTCAGATCGACCGCAGATGTCCCACACTAGAAACTCCAGATTCTGATTGCTACAGACGTGGAGGAAAGCATCCGCGGAACGCACACGAGTATGTTTCAACACACTCCCAACTCTAGTTCCACGGCCAAGGCGCAATGGGAACCTTGGAAGTGCCTAGACTCGGACGGCTTTTATTTCCTCTACGACTAGAGGAAATTGATCATCGAGCTCCAGACCCTGTCAGGCTGGGGTGAGGGGCTCTCAGAGCTGTATCTCAACTCCGAGGGCAAATCCGCCTCCGGAAACCTCGATCCGATCATGTGCCATACCATGGCATGGGAAGCTTCCGCTTGTGGGAGAATGGCATCAGAGTTGGCTCCATTCATTTTCCCACCAAGCTCATGAAAGTGGCATACGACCACGCCAGCGGGCACCGAGAAAAGCTCGATGACGAGACGCATATTTTCTCAACAAGCTCATCCCTCATCTTCTTGGCCTGAAAGGAGGCCGCCCACGTTAGGGACTTATTGCCCAAACTAGGCGATAGTCACGCTGACGTAGTTGTTTGTTACCCTGCGAATATCCGGTCTCAAACTGATATAGTGTGGCCGTATTCAGAAGATCTCGTTAGAGGCCAGTTGATGAACAACCTCAGGCAGTTGATGGCTGAAGATATTTGAAATTATGATAATAACTTCTATCATACAGTTATGTGATTTCTTTACGGCGACGCAATCTCAATGTCATAGTAAGGAACGCTTTGAGACCCTCTCCGCTTCACTCCTCTGACGGGCCACCTAAACTGGCAGTGATCCTAATATCGGTTTCCGTTCGTATTGCAGTCGTTTCTATTCCTCGATGGAGCTCGGCTCACTCAAACCGTGACAATAGTCGCCATGATCGGCTTGCTTGGTTGCCAAGCAGTAGAGTCTCAGAAGCCGACTTCGGAGAGAGTCCTACATTTATCAGTCTGGGAAATAGAGCTTGCTTTCACTCGACGGACTAAGGGAAAATTCATTTTGAATTCGATTACACATGCCCGTCATTCTGTAGGCGGTCGCTTAACACGATAGTTGTCATAGTTTTAGATGATATGCACATCCATGGATGCTGATAACACCGCGACAGCTTTGATACACAATTGCGTTGACGAAATGGGTTCGCGCAGACGGTGGAATTACTGGAAGCTGCAGAATTGTGGGACCGGGAGGATTTCAACCTTGGAATGTTGGCTCAAGTGCTTACATCGGTACACACCTACTGACGCAAGCCGGTACTCTCGGCGACTTTTGATGCTCGCCATTCGCTTATTATGCCAGCGACTCTGCCCACCTCCCGCAGGTATTAGGCTTGGATTGGCATTGTCCCTTGCATAGTTTATGTGACCAAGGGATACTAGATCTCTCGAATCAGAACCGTGTAGTCATCGTCTCTGCGCCACATACACGACAATACTAGTATCTTTTGTCTTTCTTTCATCCCTGACACGCGAATACGGACCAAAACAAACATGACGAGCACAGACGCCGAAGGGACGCCCCTACTAGGTCGGCCCTGCGGCGGCGACGCTGACACGGCTTTCAGACGCCGTGTTATCACCACGACTTTCATCATGGTGATCCTAGTGGACCTGGCCGCCTTCTTCCTGGAAGCACCCCAGATGAAGATTCTCGAGGGCATCATCTGCAACCGCTATTATACCGCTGCTGCTGGCGCCTCAATTGTTCCGGGCGACACCGACTGCAACATTGGGCCCGTCCAGTCGGAGCTTGCGACCGTGGTACAGATGCTCAACACATTCAACCGCTTGCCGGGTCTTATCGTCGCCATCCCGTTCGGCATTCTGGCAGACCGCTACGGCCGACGGCCCGTGCTACTGCTGGCGATACTTGGGGCGCTCTTGCAGGATGTCATGTCCAAGACCGTTCTTTGGTACTCGGACCTCGTCAACCCGCGTTTCATCTGGCTGTCATCAGCGGCCCTCATGATGGGCGGGGGTGATTCTGTCTCTGGGTCCATGGTTTATCTTGTCGTAGCTGACGTCGCCTTGCCGGAGCAGAGAGCTAGCCTTTTCTTCCAGTTAACCGCCTGCGGCCTCATTGCGGAACTGTTGGCTACACCCTTAAGCGCTTTGTTCATGGCGAGGGACCCTTGGATACCATACTTTATGTATAGTGGCATGTCACTGCTCGCCGGAACAATACCTCTGGTCTTCCTTCCAGAGACTCTGCCTAAGCCAGCGCTTGAGACGGAGGCCCTCCAAGATGCCACAAGCGGGAGTGATTCCTCCCCGCCCATTAGATCTGGTTTGGCCTCACGGTTTCGGCCTCTCAAGAAGCGCAACGTGGTTGCTGTTCTGTTGGCCTTCTTTGTCTCGGCTCTGGGCCGTCAGTCTACGAGTTTTTTGTTGCAGTTTATACGTCAACGATTTAGTTGGACGTACGAAAAGGTGAGGCCGTTGCAACCACTTCTCAATGAAAAGACACTTCTCTTCTAACCTTCATTCTCACTAATAGGCAAGTCTTTTGGTTACCATACGAGCCGCCCTCAATCTTGTCCTGCTCCTGGTCTTCCTCCCCGCTCTCAACAGGCTCCTGACAAAGCGAGGGATGAGTGCCCCGGGCAAAGATCTCCTCATCAGCCGCTTGTCGCTTGGCCTTTTTGCCTTGGGGTCTCTTGTCATTTCGGTGGCGCCAGCGGTGGCACTAGCGGCAACAGGTATTGTTATCTTCGCCTTGGGATCCGGGTTCCCGCCTGCGGCTCGTAGTCTGGTTACTACATTCTGTCATCAGGACGAGGCTGGGTTTCTTTACTCAGCCCTTGCAATAACTCAATCGATCGGAGGGCTTGTCGCAGGCCCGCTGCTTGCGTTAACGTTCAGGTGGGGCCTCAGCCTTGGGAATGAATGGACTGGGATCCCATTTGCGGCAGTAGCTGGTTTGTTCGCATGTGCTTTCCTTGCGGCTGCGCTGGTTCGACTGTGATTGAAAATGGACTAGAATAGACCAGAGGATGACCACAATTTGTCCCTTTAGTTAGAAGCTTTTAGATTATACCCATCCTGCCCTAATTCACGGAGCGCCCTTGCCTCTAGAAATTGCCCAGACGGGCAAGGCAAAAGGTATCATTACATCCTATCGCAGCATAGTATGTGCAGTACACATCGATTCCACCTATCGTTTTATAACTATTGTTATCGGCATCCTGTTCTTTCCAAGCGCTGGGTCTTGAGTGCATACCACCGTATGAAGGCGCCATGTATGTCCTCGGACGTATACGGAATAGAAGCGAAACCACACACACATCGATTCCGTCAATAAGTGCCTCAGGATGATCACTGTATTAATGTAATACTTTTAACTTACCTTGTATAAGAGACTTTATTAATTTTAATATATAGTTAGTCTTATTAAAGCCGTCTTAAATAGTAGAGAGGAAGAATATTTATTATTTTATATATAATTTTACTTTAATATTAACTTTTTATAAGATATATTTTTATATTTATTTTAAAATATATATTACTTTATTCTTTTATACTTATTATATTATAATATTAATTATAAATATTATTTTAATTTAAACATTAAGTTTTAAATATTTACTATTAAATAAAGGTACTATATATATCCTTAGATATATATAGAATAGAAGTGAAACCACTTAGTAGAGAAACTTAGATACCGTAAATAGTCTTAGAAATATAAGTATTCATATCTCCTGGTAGCTCTTTCTGTATATACTCTTTAGACGATTAGAAATCAGGGGATAGTGCCGTGGCAATACAACGAGCTGAAGTGCTAACTGTCGACCACGAACCATGGATGTTGGCCATACTGGGAACGAGTGAAATTCCAATATTGAAATTTGCTTGGCGGTCAGACTCAGGCAAAGAAGCGGTTTGTCACTGGTCTTTCCAGGCGCTCTCCCCTAAATTCACAAGCACAACAGTTTTGGTACGGTATCACAAGTAGGCGCCGACCACTGCCGGTCTAATGGGATGCAAAGAACGCCCCTCTCAAGCCTTACGAATTAATCTTGAGACTCATGCAAGAGCTCACGTGTTAGTATCAAATAAGGTTGGTTGGGTGCAGTTGCTGGGGCTTCCTCGGGATAGGTAGTGGCTGCGTGGACGACGTTTCTGACCTGGTCCAGCGCATACATGTGCCAGTGGGTTCATGCGCAGTAAGTGGATGCAGGTGAGGCATACGCAAGGCATACACGAAGCTTGGGACGCTTTCCCGGGAGCATAACCGAGACACGCAGCTCTCACAATCTGGCCCGCCGTCCCTCCGTGCCCTGAGTCTTTGCCGGCGGGCGCGCGGCGTCAGATTGGATAGCCTCATTCAAACCCAAAAGCGGACGATTCTTTACTTGCCATTTGTGGAAGCCTATGCCGAGTTCGGCAAGTGTCATCTGACGCCGATGCCAAATCAGCTACCTAGGTATCAAACCACAGAAAAGAATGGGCAGCCTTTAATCCGTTCTGATGTCGTGCGTGCGAAAGAGGCAAAGAAGGGCTCGGGGGGCTCGGGAGGAGGGAGCTGTCGTATCGCAACGTTCAGATGAGACGGCAAGGCCATGCCTGCAGCCATCGAAAAGCAACCTTGGAACCTTTGCAGAGAGGAGCTTCGCCAGCCCGCGTGGAGCCTCTGTTTCAATGGAGGTTTCTGGCCCGTGTGCAAAGATTTCGAGTCAGAAGAACCCCCGCGAAACATTCGAACATATGGAGTCGACCTTATGCTTCACGGCATGGCATCCGAAAAAGGACTGGGTCCGTCATTTTGTGTGTTTGCTGGTCAAGGTTTGAGGCACACGTGAATCCTAGGCACATCATTCCACATTTAGCAATCTTGTGTAAGGCCAGCCGGGTCCCCCGACATAAGCGCCCGTGAAGTATGCAATCGGGGGCAGTACCTTCCCAGGGTTGACTGCCGGGTTACTCCTTTCAAAATGTGGTTGGTGCAGACGGTGGTGGTTGTCCTGTTGGTGTGACAGGGGCAATGCCAATGTTTTATACTCTGGGGTGATATCTATCTAGATTCTGCAGCGTTTCTATGGTGCTTGGCTAAGACCAAGGCACCCCGGCAAACTTCCGAAACAGAGTTTGCCGGTCCGCGCCCTGGATCAACCAAGCACTGCATATGCCCTGGGCCATTTATCCCGGCCAGTCAAGCCTGTTTTACAGTTGAGGGGTGATGTAATGATCATCGAGCAACGAGCAAGCCATCACTATCACTATCACTATCCTTTCTAATGTTAAAAAAGTTTATGTAAACCCAAGTCAGCCTATGTTGGGTGGTGGAAGAGCCACCTATGACATAATCAAGCCCGGGGGTTTGAGAGGTAATTGGTCGAGCTGATGATGAATATGCTGTGCATTAAAATCTACACCTAGACGCGAATAAGTCAGATCGGTGCGAACAGCCTTTGAGGACGGCACTGCCGAGAGCGTTTTATAACATCAATTGATGGCGGGAGGCAAGTCTGGATAAGGATTTGAAGCCCGAATAGTCTGACTTCTAGTGTAGTTGCTCACGACTGAACTCGCAAGACAATGTCTTGCCAGTAGCAACTGCAGCGCCGCTCCAACAGGCTTGACTGCAGCCGAGACCAGGTTGTGGAATGTCGCTTGAATTGACGGATTGGGACGCTGCCGTACCGCCCAAGTGTGGCGCATCGGCTTCCGGAAAGGGACATTGGGGTGGCTCCGGCGTTTGAGATCTGCGCGAGGGACGCCGTGGCGCATTGACATGGCACACAGTCGAAGTATTCTACCGCAACTCAGGACACATCAGACGGTTCAGTCGATTCATCGGCTGGCAACCATTGAAACCTCGATGCATCGAAGTCACCTGTACCGAAACCACAGGAGGCGGGGTGAGTTCAGATGGAATCAGCTGCGTGCGCGCATGTGGTGTATACTGCCAGGACTACGCGCCCAACACATGTCTTCTCTGCTCCTTCTGGGCTGCGCTGCGCTGCACTGCCTCCCGCCTCGGCTGACATTTGATCCCCTCTGAACTTCTGAAACTAAACGTCAGAGGCTGGACACATCATGATTGGGGCAATGGGATGGCAACCCAAGCGAGCTGGTCCATTATCCTTCAAAACCCTGCACCGCTCCAACCTTCAAAAGTTGGCCTCGAACTCAGTTTAGTTCAGTTTAGTTCAGTTCATTGATCACTCAACCAACCACGCGGTTATCGCTCCTTGAAACTACGACTCCTGGGGAGCTGGTTTATTTCTTTCCTTTCTTCTTTCTTTTTCCTCCCATTCTTCGATCGTGCGAGACACGGATCAACCTTCAGCGGCCGAGTACAGTCATGTCGAAACACAGCAGGATGCGCGACTCGATGGAGGAGGTTTTGGTGGATAGGGGCAACGGCGCCGAGGCCCAGGTGGTCGGATCTACGCAACTATTCAAGGATGGAAAGCTTCAGTGCATCCCGATGCCTACGCCCGATCCAAAAGATCCTCTTAACCTGCCAGAGTGGAGGAAATGGGCCGCCATCATAAGCCTCTCTCTGTTTGGCGCGCTGGCTCTCTCAGCAGAGACTATCGTCGGCGCCCTGGTCCCCATCTTCGTCCTCGAGTATGCCGGCATCGACCCCAAGATCCTCGGAAAGATCGACCTCAGCACACTTAACCTCAGCTCGGTGGGCGGTAAGCCGGCGGACCCCATCCAGCTGCTCAACAGCCTGGGAGGCCCACCAATCTCTAAGGTCGACCTCATTTCCACCCTTCCAATCCTCGTCAATGGTATCGCATCATACATCCTGGTGCCATTGTCCATTGGTGTTGGTAGGCGACCTGTTATCTTGTTCTCTGGGGTAATGGCATGGGCAGGAGGTCTGTGGGCAGGGTTCAGTACAAGTCTGAACAGCCACATCGCCGCAAGAGTGTTCCAAGGGTTTGGAGCCGGCGCAGTTGAGGCTCTGATCCCTCTTATCCTGCAGGACATGCTGTTCATCAACCAGCGTAACAAGGCTTTCTCCCTCATCAGTGCCGGCCAGGGTCTCTTCGTTGTCAGCATCGGTCTGACCAGCCCGCTCATCATCATTCACCTAAGCTGGAGGTGGCTCTACTATATCACCGCGGGAGCTGGTATCATCGTGTGGATCGCAATGATCTTCTTCGTTCCTGAGACCCGATGGGAGCGTTCTCAAGACGAGCTTGGTATGTGAACCATTCTGTCCCTGCGACTGTTGCCGGCCTAACACAGAGCCACAGCTGGAAGGGCGGTCTTTCCCCTGCGCCCCGGCGAGACCCGTCCCCGTCTTGACCATGCCCGGTACGGATACCGCACCAACAAGAACGACTTCGGCCTCTTCTCTGTTCCATTCAAGTGGAATCTCTGCAGGCGCTCCGTCGTCGAGACTGTCAAGGCCACCTTCTTCCCCAACGTTCTTTGGGTCATCGCCCTCAACTCCATCTTCATCGGCGCGCTCTCGGCCACGACACAGAACGCTGCTGCCATCATTCTCAGCCTCAGGCTCAAATTTACTCAGCTGGGTCTCGTCGTTTTGCCGGTTGTTGCCGCCACACCATTCGTCTGGTTCTTCGGTGGTTACTTGGCCGACAAGATCAGCAATAAGTATGCCAAGAAAAACGGGGGAAGGCGAGAGCCCGAGGCTCACTTGATCAGTCTCATATTCCCTCTCCTGGCAGGTGTTGCTGGGCCGATCTTGTTTGGCTTTGCTGGTCAGAACACCGCGTCGCGGCCACTGGTACCGCTGCTGGTGGGGTTCTTCCTCATCGGCTTTGGTGGTCTAACCATGAACTCGCTCGTGAGCGTATATTTGGTTGAATGTTATCCCAACTTCGCTGGGTATGTTGCCGCTCGTCCATTATTGCATGAAAAAGAAAGATGGCTAATAAGTGTTGTAGGCCTGTCCTCGTGACCATGTCCTCTTTCCGTCTCATTGCCGGATTCCTGATCAGCTTCAAGTCTGCCGACTGGATTCTCGACATCGGCTTCATTAAGACCTTCAGCATCTACAGCGGAATCATGATGCTATTTACACTCATGCTCCCTCTCGTCTTCTACTACGGCAAGCCGATGCGGTTGTGGAGCGCCGGGAAGCTGGGCGAGTCTCCTGAGCAAGATGACTCCAAGAGTATGAAGAGTATTGAAATGGACTGGGGCGTTCAGGGTCGCAAGAACTAATAAGCTTAAACGATGGGCACGGAACGAGCGGACGGCGAACTATACAGAAGCAAGCACAAGAAGGCGGTCCCTAAGACTGTAACTTGACGAATGGGCTTCTAGTATCGTATAATTAAGCATTGGGCTACATCAACTACAGACATCTGGACGGTGTATACAATTTTTATAGGTTAAAGTTGGACATCCTTTACCCTGGGTGGTGGGATGGGTGTTCAGATTTCGTACAGTTTTTAGAGGTCAATCATAACCTTGTGATATCCAAATCGGCTGATCGATCAGTGCGAGGGCCTTGATTTGTTACCCCTTGCCCAAAAGTCTACCTCTCTGACCAGTGTGGAAGAGCGAACAAGTATTTGTAGAAGCTCAATGCCTCTCGATTAAAAACAGATCTCTCGACCGTAGATAAGCAGTCTGCACCGCAATGCTAAAACATTGCCATGCCGCGCCACGCCGATCATGAACACTACCTTGGCCTCAGAATAGACTTCAAGCTACTACACACGCCCGGCCAAGGTCAAGGCGTCAAATGATCAACAGACGGCCTCGAAAATCCCGAGCAGTTCATCTATAGCCCATTCAGCGTGATCCCAGTCGTGAAGCCTATAGTACCTAAGCATGATCCCGCAAGCGATACAAGCAACATCGCCCCTTGCCGAGGATTGAAGGATCGATCCATCCCCATCAAGCCCTCCACGGCGGTCTCGGACAATTAGACATTCCATGCGCACTTCCTAGGGATAGATTGGATCGTGGGAAAAGAATCTTAAGCATCATGTCTAACCATCCTTTTGGAACTTCGAGGTATGGTTCGCCCTTCCCCCTGGCGTCGAGTTGGTGGAAGATCATCCACATGACTCCGATCTCAAAATGGAGCAATTGTCTTGCATCTCTCACAGAAAAAGGTACACATTATCCTGCACACGATCCTTTAATGTTGCCAGCTCTCCCTAACATGCCTATGCTTTAACCTAAACTGATCGGGAAAAAGGCTAATCGCTCCAAACAAAGCGACCAAACATCATTTTTCGTTGCCGCCGATGGGTATCATGCGTACGCCTTTCACAGCCGACTTCCGGGGCCAGCAGGGAACCACTTGCTGCGCCTCAACGCCCTCAGCCAAGCCCTTCCAAAGTGCATCATTGCTCCCCGCGGCTGTCCTTCCCTTTCTGTACCAACTCCCCGACAGCCTCTGCCAGCTTTTCCTTCGCACCCTCTTCCAGCGCCGCATGCCATGCTCTCAGGTCGACGAGGTAGCTCTTCTCCTTGTCGCTCAGCTCGACCGGTGGGCCTCGAACCTGAGGCGCCGCGTCCTTGCCATCGGCGTTGAACACAGCCCAGCTGGACTCGTCTTCCGTCCTCAGCCCGAAGCCTCTTCCAGGCAGCGATGTCACCGTGAAGCGACGCAGAAGGATAGAGTCGCCTGGCTTCACAACAGGCAGATAGTCTTTGTGGGCGCGGAAAAGGGATACTTCGATTGCGCCCTGAGGGGCGGTAGACGGGTCGGATATGGTGAAAGAAGAGACGTATTGCCGTGCTTTGGTGCGCTGTGGCATCGTGTTCGTGCTGGTAACAACAGCCGCGACGTCAAGGGTGTTCATATTGTAGGACTTGAGGTCCTTGAGCGGGGCGCACTCAGGCATCTCGGTCCCAAGACGCTTGATCAGGTCATTCTTTGTCTTGTTGGCCGACGTGGCGGAGACCTTCCTCCGCGACGGAGACCTGAGGCCAGCGCGGGCGAACATATCTTCCTGTTCATGAGTCGGGCTCGCAGCTTGCTGGAAACTCATGGTCTGGCTGCGCGTTGTGCGCGGACTGGGCGACTGGTCGGGCGGTATACGTGAATTTCGATTCGAAGCACGCGACGACTTGGCGAATTGTATGTTGGATTCTTCACGGAGTGCGCGAATTCGAGAGCTACGCTTTGATTTGCGCACAGAGGGAGACTCCGCATCCTCCGCTTCCCTCGACTCGGAAGCTTGTGAGTTGGCTGTGACGAAACTTGCACGATCGTCAAAGTGCGCCACGCTGGGTGACTCCTCCACCTGAAGGAGCTCGGAGGCGTCATGAAACTCTTCCTCGTCACTGAGAGTCGTAGCAGCTTCTTTCCCCAGAAGATCAATCCTCCTCGGCTCCCCTGCTTCCTCTGAGTCGCTCTGTTGTAGCGGGGACGAAAATGCAACAATCTCGTTCCCGAGTGGTTCTGAAATGGCTTCCGACATGGCGAAATCTTCGTCCTGGTCGTCAAGAGGTGCCTCGTCATGTGATGCCGCTCGTCCATTCTTAACACTTTCGGAATCACTTTCGAGCTCTCCTGTGCCAGGCACTGCTTGATCCGCTGTTGTCGAAACCTTGTCGTCTGTGTTGGTCATCTCCGTATCTCCTCCGGCCCCATCTGGTTGGATGAGCACGTTTTCATTGTCTCGCGTCTGGAAGGCCGCTCCCTTCTCGTCTGTGACTTGCGTTTCAACGTGGCTCGAGACCGTCGTCATGGAAATGTCCATAGATCTAGTCACGGGGCCTTCCCGATGTTGAGATTCAGGCGGGGATGGAGGTGCTTCTTCCTGTTCATCTGAAGAGCCTTCGAAGCTTTTAGATTCCAACGTCTCGTTTCGGACGTTGGGCGTCACTTCCAATCCTGTTGTACCTGCACCATCACGCTTCTCGTTCAAGACTTCGGGCTCCCGATCCGATATCTGTTCTGCCCTCTCCTCACTCATGTCTTGTCCAGAGGCATCCTCCCCAAACTCAGAGGTCCCTTTATCATCTGCGCCGTCGTTTTGACCATCATCCATCAAGGTATCCTCTGCCGCTACTGAATCGAGTCCTTGCCGGTGTGGCGAAGATGAGACATCAAGCGAAGTGTGCGGCTCAAGCACTTGTGATTGGAAAGACCCAACTACGTCTCCAGTCTGTGTCTGGAACGACGCATTTAAATCGACCGAGCGAGCGTGCGAGTCCTCTGATATCGGTCCGCGTCTAGGTGACGAAGAGGTGATGTTAGACGCAGCCGAGTCCATGACTTGCGTCTCAAAAGATGCAGCTACGTCCCTCGATTGCGCACGGAAGGTCGCATCCAGTTCGATCGGATCCGGTTGAAGGTGTGCAACCCTTTCATCTGCCTCGTCTTGATTCTCACTCAGTTCATCAACCTCTTTATCGAGCACAAGCCCGGCCACTCTTTGATCATGTGTATTTTCGACAGTGGTATCCACCTTGGCAGCAGCCCCCTCGATATTCGAGCCTTCACCGAGCTGGCTTTGTCTACGTGACTGACCGGTGCTCGGACTGGCCCCTTCCGCCTGCGATGCGCTGGCGGTTGAGGAATATGGTACCTCGATTTCGCTGGTTCGTTCCACGTCATCACTCACCTCGGCATGAGTTGGATTATCTACATCCATATTACCGTCGTCTTCGCTTGCTTCGTCGTTCTCAGGTTCGCTGAGTTCTTCCTCGTCAACGAACGAGCCTTCTTCTTCACCCTCTAAGTCGTTGATCTCTCCCTCTGGGGATCCGTCTGATTCTTGCTCCGACTGAGCGGGTATGTGTCGATGTTGAAGAGTGGGCGCTACCGAACCTACCGCCGCATGGCCTCTGGGGAAATTTTCGGGCTCGGAATTAACAATCCCGTCCATTTGTTGGCGTCCAAGCTGGCTTTTCGGCGGCGGAGGCGCTGGTGCTTCGTCGTCCTCCGAGTCAGAGAGCAGGTCGATGACGACGGGCTCTTTCGGTGCCTGAGGGAGCGGAGCCCTTTGCAGTATGGGCTGCTGATAGGTGTTCTGGTGTACGGGTTCATCTTCCTCGTAATCCTCCTCCTCGTCATAGTCCTCTTCGTCCTCATCGAATTCTTCGTCCTCTTCTAACAAATCCTCGTCTGGCAAAGGCCCTGGCTTTTCGTCCTCGAAATCATCGTCATCGTCGGAAATGCGGTTGTAGTTCCTCATGTCGTAGTCGTCGCCTTTCTCATCCTCGTCGTAATCTGCCCGCTCGTCGCTGTCCATCGAGTCTTCGTCGTCCGCCGAAGACTCTCGGCCATGCGGGAGGGCCTCCCGTGGAACACCTTGCTCGAAGACTGGTTGGGATAGAATTCCTTGCTCTCTCATCTCATCCTGATTTCTGGTTCCATCCTCAACTCCTGGCGGAATCATGCCAGGAGGCGTTCCCACTGGCGCACTACTGTCGGACAGTAGGTCCTCAGGGTTGTGAACATTGCCAAGGGCGTGCCATGGGCCCGACAGTTGAGGCCCCGCTGCCCATAGTGGCGCGCCGCTGCTGCCAATCTGAGGCTCAGACACATGGGTATGAGTTTCGTGCATGGTCTGGTTGGATTGAATACCCTGCATAACATGCTCGCTGGAACGATGCGAAGGTGGTGACGCGGAAGCCGGTGATTGCTGCGGGTCAGGGTATGCCTCTGATTGAAGGTGAGCCTCCTGATGACTGAATGGCGTCTGTGAGGATGCGTATGGCATACCACCAAATGTAGATTGCGGTTGCTCGCCGAATCCAAACCTCACCGACTCCGTCGTGGGCCCTCCCACGGTGGCGAATCCAGCACCAAAACTCGACGGCTGACCAAAGACGTTCTGACCAAATGCAGATTGCCCAAACATAGACTGAGAATGGGTGGGCTGTCCAAGGTGAGGCTGAACAGGCACCGCGTGCCGCCCAAGATGCTGTGGCGGCTCTGTCCTTTGATGATCTTGCGTAGGGTGAGACACGCTTTGAGGTATCCCAAAGCCTGCTTGAAAACTTGCATCGGACTCGGAGAATCCGGAAGTGCTGGGCGGTGGCTCGAAGAGGCTGGCTATGGGTCGCTCCGCCGTAGGAGGTGGCCGCTGTTGGCTGAGGCCCACAGCATGAAGGCTCGACGTCGAAGCTTGCACGCCCGTGTCTGTGGTGGCACCCGTGTATTGCGCTGGTAGCCTGCCACTCAAGGGCGGCGACGAAGGTGGTGCCCCGCCAGGAGCCCTGGTTGGCGTATCTTCTACACTCTTCGGTGGCGGCAGAAGTTCCAGCTCGACAGTTTGACAAGCCCCGTCCGCGGTCTGGGGCTTCGATGGTGCGTCGGGCATGACAACATCACCATCTGTTGGCGCAGGAGGCCCGGAAAAGTCTTCCGATATCTCGGGCTCTGGACTACTGCTCTCCTCTCGGTACTTCCACCTGCCGTTCTGCACAGAATACCTCGGCCGTTTGCGGCCCTTGCCCCTCCTCCCTCCATCAGCCTCCAACTCCTCGTCGAGGTCGAATTCAAATAGAGGGGCATAGGAAGCTCTCGACCTCTTTATAAATACGGGCGAGGGGTACTCATTGACCGCAGGTCTAGCGCTCTTCTGTGCAACGGGTTCATCGTCGAAGAGGGTGGTGTCGATCTCGGCGAAGGGGATGGGCTCGAAGGGCTCTTCAGGCTGCTCTTCGGGTTCGGTAGGGTCAGGCTGGTCTATGCTGATGAATTTTGTTTCTTGAGATTCGCCAAGCGTGACCTGCAATGTATTGTGAGAAGAAGAACTCGTGGCCGGGTCCAAAGTGTCCCACCTTGAGCGTAAGCTTTCCCACGAACTTCAACTGCCAGTCTGACCGGGAGCCTGGTGGTCGGGCAGGTTCCTCGTTTCTAGCCCACTCGACGCCTTCCAGACCCAATGTCACCTCGTCGCCGCTCCCAAGCTCCAGAGCCCCAACGGCCTCGGCGCTGGGGCCGTTGAGTTGCACGCGCACCTGGCCTCTGTCGCGTCGCAATCGGAAGTCTGGCTCGGCGACGAGGAAGGCAACGCTCTTGCTGACAGAGCTGAAGGGCCAAGTGATTGTGACTTCGCCGTGTAGTTTTCGAGTCTCCTGGTCGGGGAGTTCTGGGCCCAGCTGTGCGATTGGCGTCGCTGTCTTGGTCGCGAGCGACTGCTCGACGTCTCCATCTGCAGCTGCCATCGTGGCGGACGCGGCGTCGTACTGCAGTGGAAAGTATCGACGGCTAGATCATCGCTCATGAGGGTGAGGGAGGACGGGGTGCATCGGCCATCTGACGAGTGCCGGGTCTTTAAATGAATTGTCGCGCCGGTTCCGTCATTGGGGTTCGAAAACAGAAGCAGCTTGAGGTGGATGTCTCGGGTTCGCGACCTGGAGCAGAGCTAGGGAGCTTGTGGGTGCTTGTCAGGGACTGGGGTCAGGTACTTGAGTACACAGTGCTAGGTACCTAGGTACCTAGGTGCCTATGCGCTCAGCACCTTGGCCCACGGGAGCGCGCCTATATTCGGCCCAAGGGAGAAGGCGGTAGGGGCGTGGCGTCCGGTAGGCGCTGCCGAAGAGGACTGCTCCACCCCTCCGGCCCGGCTGAGTCGCGACAGGCCGATACGGCGAGCACGTCAACCCAATCCTCACGCCACGCACTCCGACGTCGTCACGTAGAACAAGTACTAAAATCATCCCCTTGGCTTTTGACTTTTCACAAGTCGTCTCCCAGCTGAGCCATGCTATATACCTCGTGACGTCCTCTTCTTGCTCACTCGACTGTCTAGATTCTGAACATTTGGATCACCAAACAAATCTGCCTGTCTCCCGACCAGTGACGGGTATTTATTTCTTCTTGCCTACGCATCTATTCACACAGCCGTACTCCGCCATGGGTTCTATTGACTCCGCGCCATTCGACGTCAAGAACATCGCTGTCATTGGCGCTGGCCCATGCGGTCTCTCGGCGGCAAAGTACCTTATCGCGCAGCAGGCCTTCGACTCAGTAGTCGTCTTCGAGCAGAATCCCGAGGTGGGAGGCGTATGGTGTTATAGTCGAGAGCCTACACCAAGCCAACATGTACCTCAAGTGAGCCCTTTCTGCCCTCCGGACGCCCCGGTCAAGAGTCCAGATATCGATGCGCCCTTGTTCGCCTCGCCGATGTATGAGCTCCTCAATACCAACATCCCTTGGACCATCAGTATGGAAATCTCCACTATGTTCTTTGCTTTCCCTGCGTGTCTAGAGGTTTTGATGGACGGCTCGATGTGACGGGGATAATTACACCTCTACTCGAGGCCGCACCCGAAGACATTTGCTCCGGAACGTACTGACTCCCACGTGAAGTGAAGTATGGTGATCAAGACTTTCCCCGTGACGGACTGATCTTCCCATCCCGCCAGGTCGTGCAGGAGTACCTGGTGCAATATTCCCAAGACGTCCGTCACCTCATCCGCTTTTCAACCCGGGTCAAGAAAGTTTCGCTCCGACGGGAAGGGAGCCATGACCGATGGGAAGTCGAGACCGAAAACCTTCTAGACGGCCGGAATTCAAAGGCCGCCTTCGATGCTGTCGTGGTGGCCAATGGACACTACGCAACGCCATTTATCCCAGACGTCAAGAACATTGCAGAGTTCAACACCGTTCATCCCGGGGTGATTTCCCATGCCAAGACTTACCGTGTGCCCGACGACTACGCCGGGAAGAAGGTGTTGGTTGTGGGTAACGGGTCGTCCGGCCTCGACATCGCCTCCCAAATCAGCCGGCACAGCAAAAGCCCCCTCCTACTCTCTGTGCATGAGTCCACCCCAGATGAGAACTTGGAGCATGTCCGCGCTGAGGAGGTGCCTGCGATAGAAGAGTTCCTCGTAAAGGAAAAGGGGGTCAGGTTCACCGATGGTAGGGTGGAGAAGGACCTGGACGTCATCTTGTACTGCACGGGATATCTCTTCAGCTTCCCCTTCTTGGAAAGCCTGATACCCGGGCTTGTTTCCAACGGAGCAAGGGTATACGGCCTATACAAACACCTATTCAACATCGACCACCCCACTTTGGTCTTCCCCGGCCTGCCGATCAGGGTCGTCCCCTTCCCTGTTTCTGAGGCACACGCTGCAGCGTTCGCGAGAGTCTGGTCGAACTCTTTGGCGTTGCCCTCTGTGGAGGAAATGTCGCGATGGGAAGAAGAGGAAGCCAACAGGCACGGCAAATCTTTCCACGTCTTCCCCAAGCTCGGCGATGCCGACCTACTTGATGAGTTCCACGATTGGGTCAAGAAGTCGAGCAGCAGCAAGGGAAAAACGCCCCCAGTGTGGAACGCCGAGCAGAAGTGGGAACGTGGAATTTACATCGAAGCCAAGCTCGCGTTTGAGAAAGGTGGGCGGAAGGCGAAGTCTTTGAAGGAACTTGGGTTCCCATACGTCCCTGAGAGCGATGTGAATAAGCAGGACATCGTATAGACAACTAGATACTTGGTGGCGATTAGATCCCAGATACATCATAATCATAGAAGAGTATCTCATCACACGCCATCTCAGCCAGACTGTCTCCTCCATGGCATCTCGGATGTCACGAATTCCTTCCTGACTGCAGAGAAATGCCCGTGGCAGTCCTCGACTTGGATGTGGATGAGCTTGTGCGGCTCGACGGCTGTCGGTCCCAAGTAAGACGGGATATCTTTCCCTGCGGTGGTCTCGATAAGGCCTGGACAAGGGCATGTCATGCAAGGGGGGCTTCCTTATCAGCAATGAGGTGCTTTTGCGTTAGCTGCCGGACAGGAAGCTTCAGACGCATTTGTAATCTACAACAATACTGCTGTCATCGATCCGCTCGCTTCCAGATGCAGACATGTCTCTCTTTCCTTCTCCATCAGTGGTCAAACGCTGCACGCCCAAGCCAGTGCTGTACCCGAATGTACCCTGAAATATAATATCAATTATAAATTGATACACCGACAGATGTGAAGTGCGTGAACCCCAACCGCGTATCGAAATAGCCCGCGCCAGCCAAACCCCAATCTCGACCGTTGCGATGGAGTCGAGCTCTGCGACAGCCGCCGGCTCGGCTGGCATGGCCACCAGGCCAAAGCCCAAGGACTTTAGCCACTACTACTCCGTAACCACGGCGCACCGGACTCCCAGTGCGATGAAGGCATACTACAAGTTCTTCCAAATCCCTGGCATTGGAAACCTGGCTGGCGGTAAGTTGATAGATCCGATAAGGTTTTGGCCGGCGCTGCATAGTTCAGGGACTTTTATATACTTGGGTTCTCGGCGTCCCAATTCTGGATTGACTGCTAATCCGCAGCTCTCAGGCCTCCCGAACCTGCGGTTTTTCCCCTTCGACACTCTCGAGGCGCAAACCGCCAAACCAGAGCGATGGACGCCCTCGCCCAACAAGCCCAATGCCACTGATGAGCTCGCCACATCCACCGCTTCGCTGAAGATCAGTGGTTCTTCCGGCGGTTCCGACCCAGCAGCGGCGTCCCACATCACCGTCCCCAAGGCGCTCTCCGACGACACCGACCCCCGCAAGAAGATCGATCTTGCAACGGCACTGCAGTACGGCCTGGCCCAGGGCTACCCACCGCTGTATTCGTATCTGCGGCAGTTTGCCCGCGAGCAGCTGCACCCCAACGTTCCCTATGAGGGCGGCGTCGACATCTGCCTGACCGTCGGTGCGACGGACGGCATGGCCAAGACACTGGAGTTGTTTGTCGACCCGTGGAGCCCTGAGACCGGCCGTGTCTCTGACAGGCCCGGCCTGCTGTGCGAGACGTTTGTCTACGGCAACGTTCTGAGCCAGGCCCAGCCCAAGGGCGTCCAGATCGTGCCTGTCAAGGCCGACGCGGGCGGCATGGTGGCCACCGGGCCGGGGAGTCTGGACGATGTCCTCACAAACTGGGACTGCTCCAAGGGCAGGAGGCCCCATCTAATGTACACCGTGACGTGAGTGCTGGTGCCTCTGTACCTAATAGCGTCCTGCTGGCCGTGACATTGCGACTAACCCGGGAACCAGGATGGGCCACAACCCCACGGGTATCCTCCTCTCTCTCGAGCGACGCAAGGCACTCTACGCCGTCGCCTCCAAGTTCGACGTCCTCATCATCGAGGACGACCCTTACTGGTACCTCCAGTTCCCCTCCGCCGCAGTCGAGGAGGGCAAGTCCCGCAACAAACCACCAGTCGCCGACGCCCTGTCCACGCTGCAGAAGCCCGAAAAGTCCACAGGCTACCCCTTCATCGACTCCCTGGTCCCCTCCTTCCTGTCAGTCGACACAGACGGCCGCGTCATCCGCCTCGACACCTTCTCCAAGACCGTCGCCCCGGGCTGCCGCCTAGGCTTCGTGACCGCGCAGCCGGACCTGATCGAGCGCTTCGTGCGCGTGGCCGAGTCCTCGACGCAGCAGCCCTCGGGCTTCGTGCAGAGCATGATTGCCGAGCTCATCATCGGCAGGCAAGAGCCCGAGGTCGAGCGCTCGTGGCTGTCGCTGCGCAGGGCGAGCGACCGTGCGAGCTTCACCGGCTGGGACACGAGCGGCTGGGTGCGTTGGATCGAGGGCCTGCGGGGCGAGTACGAGCGCCGCATGAACCGCATGTGCCGCATCCTGGACGACGGTGCCGCCTACGTGAAGCAGGGGACGCCGGTGGCCCCGCATGACTCGGACCTGTGCGTCCTCACCAAGACGCAGCTGTACGACTTCTCCTGGCCGCGCGGTGGCATGTTCGTCTGGATCCGCGTCTTCTTCGAGTCGCACCCGCTGTTCGGCGCCGCAAGCTCCGACGGCAAGGACATCGTCGACGGCACCGCCCTCGCCACGGGCCTGCTCATCTACCTGACCAAGAGCCCTTACAAAGTCCTCATCAGCCCGGGGATGATGTTCTCCGCCACAGAGGAGATCCGCAGGAACGTCGGCTGGCAGTACTTCCGCCTTTGCTTCGCTGCCGAGACCGAGGAGAATGTGGATTCCTGCTCGGAGCGGTTCGTTAAAGGCGTAAGGAAATACTGGAGCATCAAGAAGGTCAAGGATTTGGAGGATCTTATCAAGGAGTCACCCGTGGCCGCTCAAGAGGAGGATGAGATGGAGGACATTGGAAATTTGGGATTATACTTTGGATGTTAGAAAGGTTTCGAGGAGGGGGGGATCCTGTTTTTCTTAGCCTTTCCATGTACTCTCAGAGGGTAAAGCTGGTGGGAACATGTCATGATTAACGATGATTCTTCTATTTCTGGATACAGCCGGTGCTTTGGGTCCAGAATGTAATCCCATTTGGTTTGACTGACTAACGTCAGGGTCACCATAATTATGGGCTCAAGTGCTGTAGCTGTTTTCTGGCCGTTAAGGCCTTGGGTCTTGGCTCGTCGTCCCGCTCCAGTTATGCTCCCTCGTATAGCGCCCTCCAGACTTCACTCTTAATCTTGTGCACAGTCTCTTCAATTGCATCGCAGGAGCTCGACAACAATGGCACCGGGGAGGGGCTTCTACTTCATGAAATACACTTATCTCCCGAGGGCTGGACCACGAGACAGACAGACTTCTTCAACCAGCCGCGACATCTCCCGCTCTATAGCTGTCCAATGGATTTTCACTTCTCAACTGTGCTCAAGGGGACACGGAACATTCTGGAAGCAAAAACCGACTTCACACCTTGAATTCTACCCCTAAGCGTGGCCGGGACAGGCATGACATTCAATTCAGTTCCTTGTAAGCGTATCTCGCAGCATTGATGGCATGAGAGTCCCAGCCAACACGTGCCCTGCTGCCAGGGATTATCAGCCGATGGGCAAACATGATCACAACATCGGACAGGCGGTCTCATGTGTGAAGAGTCATTAAAGAATTCCATGTTCTTTTTTCGATTTGGCAAATGTGCTACCGTGGCTCACACATTCCTGACCAACGCCGAAACCAATCAATTTATCATGCAGTCCGTGTCAATCCCATATTCCCAGAAACCAAAGAAACCCATCCCTTCCTTACTCGGCCAGGGTGAGCTTGAAGGCCTCAGACACAGGCTTGGGCTTGCCACCCTCGACCTTCTTCTCGCCAAGCTTCTCCTTCTGGAAGGCAGAGGCGTAAGGGTTGAGGCGGAGCAGGACCTGCTTGTTCTTGAGAGGGTTCTTCTTCTGCACGTTGCCGCGCTTCGTCCGGGCCTCGCCCTTGGGCGCACGCAGGACGCTCTGGATTTCGGAGGAGTTGATCAGACGGGTCAGGTCGGCCTGTGCAACGACGTTGGATGGCAGGAGGAAGTCCTTCTTCAGGGCCGAGGGCTCGGTGGTGGTGCCGTAGACCTTGTCGAGCGCCTTGAAGGCGGCGGACGACCAGATGACGAACCGGCCGAGGTGACCGCCGGGGGCGAGCTGCAGGAGGTTCAGGGAGTAGACGGACGAGGTCTCAACACCGGGGATGTTGCGGAATCCCTTGACGAGCTCCTTGCCATCGACCTCAGGGTCGTAGATGACCAGAGGTCCACGGCGCTGGCGGTGGCGGCGGCCACGGAGCTTGCCCTTACCGGCGCGGAGCTTCTTGGAGCCCTTGACCTTCTCCAGATCGGGACCGGCGCCGACCGCCTTGAGCAGACCGAGAGCGGCGGAGGTCTTGGCGGCGGCAGCGCCCTCGAAGGCGGCGGAGTCGACAACGAGAGGAACCTCGGGGACGGCCGAGATCTGGTGGCCACGGGCGAACAGGAGGGAGGGGACGGCAGAAGCAGCCAGAGCAGAGGCGGTGGCGAATCGCCTGGGGCTTTTGTTAGAGACTGCATGGACAAGCGGGTGAGAAGCTCCCATCGACTCACTTCTGGTTCTGGTTGATCTTGACGTGCCACTTGCGCCAGGTCTTGGTAGGCGCGAACATGCGACCGGAACGGCACATGTTACCGAAGGCAGCCTGACCAGCACGGTGCGTACCACCACCAGAGACACGGGGGATACGGGCGACGGCGCGACCTGTTTGCCTTGTGGTCAGCGTCACTTCATCCAGCGAAAATGTGTCCAACCCATAAGTGTTTCGTAGGCCCCAACCCCTTCATCTTGAACCAAGATCATTTGTCGTCCAACGAGTTGCTTGTTGATCCATTGCCGCTCGCGGTCTTGCCATGTGATGTTTTCAACATTCCCTTTGCGTGTTCGCCTCTCAATCCGCCCACCGGTGTTCAAAATGTCGAAAGTACTAACCAGTTCCCCAGGACTCGGCAGAGGTCTGGTGACCGGCCTTCTCGCTCACGGCATAGGGCTGGCGCTTGTTCTTGGCGATTCCCTTGTGAACCTCCTGAACGATATCAGGACGGATGGGCGCAGTGAAGACGGTAGGGAAGGTGTGGGTGGCCTGAGTGGCCTTGCCATCGGCACCCAGGATCGTGACGGTAGGACGGGATGCCATTTTGCCCAAGAATCGGCCTGTTTCAATTGCAGAACGTCAGTATTTTGTTATGTCTCCAGATCGAGTGACAGGGCGGCTGGCAAAATATCGTTGTCGGGGTATCATCGCAGACTGACCTCGGTATGTCGATGGCTGGTTGGTTGTCGACGGGTTGGTTGAAGAGAGAAGTCGTCGACTGCAAGGCCAAGTGTGCTGCCAAATTCGAGAAATTTTGGTTTTGGTGGGTTTGCGAGTTTGCAGAGCTGGGCGCACAGTGCTGTATGCAGTCCGTGCGTCTTCCAGGCCACTCTAGTTGGTTTCAGGTTAGCGCAAGAAAGTCACGTGCCAGTTGGCCTTGAAGTACATGTGTCTGATATTCTCGTTACTTTGGGATTCCCATTTGCTATTGATACGGAGCTGTCAAAAGATGGCCTTATGAGTGGTATCATCGGTGATGGAAATTTATAATCATTTGAATGATTCTACTCTGTAGCAGGCCAAAGCACCTGTGCATCCATGGATGTCGTTCAAATTCCTAATGCAACGGGCGTTCTCTTCCGAAAGAGGCTACTTCCATTCTCGTTTCTTCTATGTCGCAGTACTTGTCCAGTCCACGAGGCCTGCATGGCCACAACTCCCAAAGCACTAGCAGTGTAGAAAGTTGACCCCGGGAGTATGCACAGATGGTAGTTTGCGCCACCGGGTACATCGCGTCTACTACACTTGAGTGGATGAGTTGAAGTTATGCTAGGCAATAAATGAGCCCCTATCCGCCTACCGGGCTATATATACACACATACGCTGGGTGGTGGTGATACAACAAACATGCACAGCCCCCGTACCCCTTCCCTTGCGGTCACGAGTCGTTCTTTCTCTCCTTCTCCTTCTCCTGCTCCTGCTCCTTGTCTTTGTCCTGTGCTGGCTGGTTCTTCTCCCTCCACTCCCGGAACGAGCTCGAGCCATCCTTCGTCACCTCTCCCACCCCCGACGTCTCCCCCTCCTTCGCCGTCTTGCCAGTTTCGTCATCTTTCAGAGACAGCTTCTTGGTAACAAACTGGCGGAAACTCGCTTCTCTCCTGGTTGCTTTCAAGGCATTGTATTCTTTAACCCTGGCCTCAACTTCCTTTTGGCTTTCGGGTTGGGGAGGGATGAACTCGGTGACCGGCCTGAACGGCGTCTTCCCCTTCGCCTCCAACTGTGTGGTGTGCCGTCTCGCCTGCCAGGTCTTGGTCACATACCCCGGGTCCTGCCCTACAACGAAAACCGGCAGGTCCCGTGTCATCTCCGTCTCCTGCTTCCTGAACTGCCTCCCAGCACGGGTGTAGTGCTTGAGCAAGCCGTCGAAGGCCGATTTGAAGGCGTCCCTGCCGGGTTCCTTGTAATGGGCCTTGTGCCGCCGCGTCTTGACCGACGCATAAAGATTCTGCGCCCTAGTTTCGGGCACCTCGTCGATCGTGTACTCCACATGCCATTTTTCTCCCTTGACCAACTTCTCTGGCCGCTGCACATACTTGCCGTTAACTTTGTTGCGGATGGTGAGGACCAGGCCCAGCAGCGGTTTGGTCGTGGGCTCCGCTTCCCCCCCGCTGCCGCCCGCCGCCGGCGTGTCTTCGGGTGACCTCTTATCCTCGTCGCCGCTCGCTGATTCCTTCTCTTCCACTGCTGCTTCTGCGGGCGTCTCTTGTGTCTTGGGCATCATGTCCAGCAGGATACTCTCGAAGTTACGGAGTTTCGCTTGGTCCTCGGACAGCTCTTCCGTTGCTTTCTGCGCGTCGCTAGAAGACCCGACGCGCGTGGTCAGCTTGATCAGGAGGTCCTTCAGACTCTCGTCTGATCTCTCATCTGTGGACTTGCCCTCCAGGCCGTCTGCCTCTGTAGCAGCGGCCTCGGGTGCAGGTTCTTTCTCGGACGAGGCATTGGTATTCTGATCTTGTTCCATCTCGGACATCGTCTGTTCTTTCTTGGCCGCTGTGTCAGCATCCTTGGGGCCGGACCCAAACCAGCCGGAAAGGAAATTGAAACGAGAGGTTTGCGGCGCCGGTGGGCTGCCATCGGCAGGCTGGACAGTGTCGGTTTCCTCAGTGGGGCGCACGTGTTGGGCTTGCTGCTGCTCTTCAGGGGTCTCGCTCTCGCTCTGAGGCACCTCGGTCGCAGTTTCGTTGTCGGACTTTGCCTTTTCGGCATCGACATCGACGATCGCCTTCAAAAGTGCTTCCACGTATTGGTCGGCCTCCTCGGAGGACCTTGCATGCAGGAGTCCGCTCTGCTGGAGGGCGTCCTCGATAGCATCGCGGATCGCCGAGATACCCTGGGCGTCGTTCTCCATGGTCTGCTCGACAACATCCATCATATCCTCCCACACATCCTCGCTGTCCTCCTCGTCAATTTCTTGGGCATCCTCTTCCGCTTCCCTCGCTGGTTCGACGGCCATATCTCCGGGCTCTGCTTCATCCTCGGCTGCACTAATGTCCACAGTCGAAGCTTCCTCAGCCTCGTCTAGCTCAGCTCTCGCCGCTTCTGCGGTTGCTTCAGGCTTGGGCCGAATACCGAGCACTCTTTCCTGAAACTTTTCGCCTTCCTCCTTGTTCTTTTCCTGAATCGCCTTGATCTCGTCGTCGCTGACGGGCTCGGCGAAGAAATACATGAACGGGACGACATTGGACGTCCTCGTCTCCACGTGAATCCTGAGCGATTTCTCGGGAAATCTCTCAGTCGCCTTCTTCAGCAGCTCCTCCCACAGTTCAAGACTCGCCATGAACTCGCGATTGCCCGTCGTCAGATCTGTAGTGCCATGAATAGATAGATCCATCTCTTCCAGAGGGATGTACTGGAAGCCAAATATACGTTCGGTGTTGTGGTACGCAACAAATATACCATCCATGCGTCCCATCCGAACCTGCAAGGAGTACTTGAGGAATGCGAGGCGGATCATGTCATAGTATTCCCGTTCAAAAGATTCCCATTGTCCCTGACGCTGTCGAAGTTCGTATCCGGTACCCCTCTCATGGTTTCTGGCATCCATGCGAATGGAAACAACGGCCCTTGTCTTCAGGTCAAAAACACCGGTTCCGGGAAGCCGAGGATCGTACGCGTCCAACTGCGATCGCATCATGAAATCACCGAAAGTCGTGTAGTGGTACGATTCATCCGCATTTCGTTCCTCCTCGGTGAGCTGGTGCGAATTGGATCGGTGGTACTTCTCGTACTCCTTCCTTGGGGCGGTGAGGAGCTTCTCCATGGATTTCCCGAGCATGCTGAGGATGGTGTCCGAGTCGTACTCCTTGTCCGCATCTATGGCGTAGGTGCCGTCTTTGTAATGCAAGAAGGTCGCCGCCGGTGCCCTCAGGATGGCGCCAAAGTTGTCACTGTCGGGCTCGTAGCCTTTGGAGATGCGCTCAGGGTTGATTGGCCTCCATGAGGAGAGCAGGTAGTGGAAGTGCGCTAATGTCGACGTCATGCTAGACGTTGATCCCGTGAACTTCTTGTTGTGCTTCTTGGCTACCTCAATCAGCGTTGTGTCTTTCGAAGAGGTAACGTATTGCTTCAACGCGTCGAAGTCGAACTCGTTTACGGGCATGATGGTCGCCAGGTAGGGGTCAAAATTGAACACCCTCGTGCGAGGGTCCTGCAGAACATAGACGCCTTCGTTGAACAGAACACGGTCGAGTCCGTATTCCACGCGAGGCACTGGAGCCGTGTCGACGTGGACAGGCTTGAGTCCTGAATTCTTGGTCGCCACCTTTGAAATCTTCCTCTTCGTCTTCGAAAGACCCCAGCCCATGGTGCCGTCATTGCCTGCGCCTGCAGGGTCATCTTTCTCCGGTATTGGGGGCGCCGGCGGAGCCTTTTCCACTTTGTTATCCTTGGGGCCCGCTGCGCGCGCAGCTGCCTGCTTCGCCTTCTCCTCTTGTAATAAGGCAGCGAAGCCTTGCGCCACAGAAGCCTCACGAGACTTTAGCTTGTTCCCCGACGGTACCTTGGCACCCTCTTTCCCACTTTTATTAACTGGCTGTTTGCGCTCGGGTTTTGCCGTTTTTGCCGTGGGACCTGGTGTCTTTGCTACCTTGGCCGTCTTGCTGGACTCATTTCTTTGATCCGCTTGGGTTGCCAACACGCTCTTAAGGATATCAAGTGTCCCTTCCAGCAGCTTGGCTTGTCTCTCTCTGGCCTTGTTGGCCTGGGCACTTTGTAATGGCGGAAATTGCGACTTCAGGGATCTTTTCGTATCTTCGCCATCCTTCTTGCCGCCGTCCTTATTGCCACCATCTTTCTTACTGGCATTCTTCTTGCTGGCATTCTTCTTACCGCCGTCTCCATCGGATGTCGCCTGCGCCGGTGCTGCTGAGGCAGCACCTTGTGGTTTCTGAAGGGTTTTCAGGATATCGAGGGTTTCCTTCCACAGCTTGGCTGTCTCGTCAGGTTCCCCTGAGTTGTCGGGAGCTGGCGCAGTTGGGCCCTTGCTGGCCTTAGCCGCACTCGGCGCTGGCTTCTTTTTGCGGGGAGCTGGTTTGTCGTTCTCTTCTTTGGGCTTGACCATCCGCGATTTGGGAGGTTCCGACTGGTCTGGCTGAGAAGCCTGTGCTGGATTTGTCTTGCCCGTGGCGTCAGGAGGATTCGCATCCACCGCAGACTCGGCGGGTGGAGCTGCGGGCTTCTTCTTCTTGGTGGTCGCGTAGGTTCGCGTTACCGGCGCCCTTGGACCGTGGGCGCCTGTGCTGCGAGCGACATGAGCGCAACATGAGGAGCACACAGAGCGTGTGCGGACGCCACGAGTGCCTCTCAGACTCCAGGAGAGCATTGTTCACGCGATTGGCGAGTAAATGCTATGGCCGAGTCTGGATGACGCCTGCGAAAGAATGAGCGCCAAAAAAAAATCCCCCGGCCCATTCGCGTTGCGATAAGATACCGACCGTACCACCCGCCGCCGCTGTAGGGATCTCAGCTGTTAGCGTATAGAGCGGTCCAGAGTAATAAATATAAAAAAAGTCGAAAATATCAATCTACTCACCCTAACTTTTAACA